CCGTGACACGGCAAGCACTCGCTCATCATTTTCGACGATTTGTCCAAGCAGGCCGTCGCCTACCGTCAAATGTCCCTGCTGCTTCGTCGTCCCCCGGGTCGTGAGGCTTACCCCGGTGATGTCTTCTACCTCCACTCTCGTCTGCTCGAGCGTGCCGCCAAGATGTCCGAGAAGCTCGGCGGCGGCTCCCTGACTGCCCTCCCCATCATTGAGACCCAGGCTGGTGATGTCTCTGCTTACATTCCCACCAACGTCATTTCCATCACCGACGGCCAGATCTTCCTCGAGACTGAGCTCTTCTACAAGGGTATCCGCCCCGCCATCAACGTCGGTCTGTCCGTCTCGCGTGTCGGCTCTGCTGCCCAAATCAAGGCCATGAAGCAGGTCGCCGGTACCATGAAGCTCGAGCTTGCCCAGTACCGTGAGGTCGCTGCTTTCGCCCAATTCGGCTCGGATCTCGACGCCGCCACCCAGGAGCTGCTCAACCGCGGCACCCGTCTTACTGAGCTCCTCAAGCAGCGCCAGTACACTCCCCTCCCCGTCGAGCTCCAGATCTGCATCATCTTCGCCGGTGTCCGTGGCTACCTTGACAAGCTTGAGCCCAGCAAGGTCACCAAGTTCGAGGAGCAGTACAGCCGACACATCCAGGCCAACCACCAGGATGTCCTCGAGACCATCCGCACCGAGAAGCAGATCTCGCCCGCCACCAACGACAAGCTCAAGAAGATTGTCGTCGATTTCCTTGCCACTTTCAACTAAAGCGGCGGCAGTTGTGCGTGCACTTTTTCCTTGTGCCCCTGTTCATCTCTACCACCTTTACTAACACCATCGCCACCATCTCTTCCACCCCCACCCCCGAAATCTTTTTGTACTGATGTTTTTTTTTTCTATTCTTCTTCTCCCCCTCGTATAAATGTTGTCCTTTTTTTTTTTTTCGAAATTTGGAAACTTTTTTTTTAAAACCATTTGTTCGTTCACGACACATCTGATCATCACCATCATCACCATCATCATCATCATCGCCAGCGTAGCTTGTATTCAGGATGACGAGCCGTGCCAAATTCAATGACACTGTGTTGGGGGTTTTGCGAGCTGAACAAACACGGTCAAATTGCAACAGATGCAGAAATCGTTGGTTGCACAAATGCAGGGCCGAAGAAGGATAGCAAGCGTGGCTCTTTGATCCAACCTACCCAAACCAATCAATCGACTACTACCAAAGAAGGACAGCGTGTCACTCTTTGTTTCTGTGCTTCCACCTCTTCTTCTCCAAAAGTAAGCTCACTGCACATCATCAAAACCCCAAAACCAAGCCAATCCACTGTCTCTTTGTTCAATGCTCTCTGCTTCTCGTATGCAGCCATATCTGCACCTGCAGCGACCGACCAGCGGGGCATTTTTCACCACAAAATACCACAAAACAAAAACAAAACAAAAACAAAAACAAAAACACAAAATGGCCCACCGCTGGCCGCTGCTGGCCGCTGCTGGCCCACTTCGAAATGGATGGCCATGCGCAGACTCGAACACCATCGCTGAAGAATGGAGGAGGAGGTGGATGGGGGGGGACAGGGGCGCGGTCTCAGCACAAACGAGCGCAAAACTACGAAGCCAAGGGAGTCGTGCAGCACCGCTGTGTCCGCTTTCCCACCTCACCTTCCACCTCCTCCTCCGCTTCTCTGCCTCCTGCGCTCTGGGCCTCGGATGCAAACTGTTGCGACAATCTATAAGAATATCAAGCAGAAGAGGCGACAGAGTGACTGGCAGTGAAAGCGCGCCATGTTGAACAAACCACAGAAAGGCAAAAACAAAATCCTCCGCATGCCCAAAACCACATCAGCCGATAAGGACTCGAGCGCGTCGCCTCGTCTCCCCCACCTCCACCTCTTGGAGGCGCCGCTTGTCAACGATCACAGTGGGAGCGACGACTAAAATAGGCCCGCGTGGGAAGGGCCGGAGCGACAGGCGACAGGCGACAGGCTGCGTTGCGGTGGTGTGAGGCAGGACCGACTCTCCAACCACAAAGCGTCGGAGGTGCGACAAGAGCTCCACACTCGAAGCCATCCATCCACCCATCCACCCATCCATCCATCCACACACAACTGGCGCTCAGCAATGTGAAAGTGAATTCGCGGACGAGGCGTCTTTTGAAACACTGCGAGCTCACCTTTCCTTTGTCAACGTCTCTGCAGATGACACCAAAAAGGGCTTGCTTTTGGTCTGCTGCTGCTGCTGCTGTTTGGCGTGATGTGTCACGTCCAGCTGGCTCAAGCAGCCGATGCGTGTGGCACTGGCGGCGTGTGCTTCTGCGGGGGATCCACTGTCAATTGCCAAAGCAGAAATCTCACTGAGATTCCAAGCGAAATCCCAGTTGGCACCACGAGCCTGTACGTGCAGCCGATGAGTTGACCTTGAATTGAAGCATTGCCCTCCCTCATAATTGGCATACGGTCGACAGGAGTCTATATGACAACCAAATCACCAGCCTTCCTGCCTCTGCATTCACAAGCCTGACTGCGCTGGTTGCCGTGTACGTAAGCAAGAGAACCATGAGTGATGCAGAACGAATAGCTCACACGACGATCTGTAGGTATTTACAAGACAACCAGATTACCGCCGTTCCCGCCTCTGCCTTCGCAGGCATGACTACCCTGAAACAACTGTAAGCACGCAAAGTCGGAACCAATCACGCGCAAAACGACTCACTTATTGGGCCTCGATCTGCAGGCACCTGGCGAACAACCAACTTACCAGCATTTCTACCGGCACATTCGCAGGCCTGACTTCGCTGGTGTCCTTGTAAGCAAGCAGAGGCAGGAACATTCAATCGCACACGACTCACTCGTTTGCGACTTGTATCTGTAGATATCTGGCTGGCAACCAAATCACCACCATTCCCCTAAACGCATTCGTCGACCTCACTCAACTTGTTGGCCTGTACGTAAGCTAGAGCCATGACAGATTCAACCCGAATGACTCACCTGTTCGTACCACGATCTGCAGGGAGCTGAACAACAACCAGATTACCGACATTCCCGCCTCTTCCTTCACTGGCCTGTCTGGCATGAAACGCTTGTAAGCAAGCAAAATCCTTCAACAATCAAACACAAACGACTCACTTACTGGGACACACTTTCTGCAGGACCCTGAATAACAACCAAATCACCATCCTGTCCGCCAACGCATTCACGGGCCTGACTGCGCTGACAGAATTGTAAGCAAGCCAGAAAGCCTGAAACATCAAACTCCAATGGCTCACTCTCATTCGCGACTCGATCTGCAGGTATCTTTCCAGCAACACCATCACCAGCATTTCCGCAAACGCGTTCACTGGCCTATCTGCGCTGACCATGGTGTAAGCAAGAAAAGACATGACAATAGCGCACAAACGACACTCACTCGGTTTTGCTCCACACAATGTCCAGGGAACTACAATTCAACCAAATCACTAGCATTGCTTCAAACTCATTCACAGGCCTGTCTTCGCTGATTTTCCTGTAAAACACGCACAGCCATAAAAAGTCGAGCGCATGAAACTCACTAGTTCACCATCATCTCTACACATCTAGGGGGCTCAGTAGCAACCGCATCACCAGCATTTCTGACAACGCATTCACAGGCCTGACTCAGCTGGTTTCCTTGTGAGCAAGCGTCGACTGGTAGAATCTCACACAAACAGCTCATTCGTTTGCGCCTCCATTTGTGTAGAACTCTATTTAGCAACCAGATCACCAGCATTTCCGCCTCTGCACTCACAGGCATGCCTGTACTGCTCCAATTGTAAGCAAGCAAAAGTCACGAACAATCGCACACAAAATGGCTCACTCGCTTTGCTACTACTCGATCTGCAGGCGAATCAGTGACAACCAGATGACCAGCATTCCCGCCAACGCATTTCAAAGTTTCCCGGCGCTGATGCTCTTGTAAATTGGCAACTCGCATTGCACGTACTTGATTCACCTCTCACTTCCAGTTGCTCTTAGGACTTTGACTGGCAATCCCTTCACCACTTTGCCGCCCGGGCTGTTTCAGGGCATGCAGAACGACATGTACTTGACATATGACGGCCAATTCTTCCAATATCTGGCCCCCAACAACTTTACCTTTGGTGGGAACACTGTCGCTCCGCCCAGCACATACGGCAATGCATCCTACCCATACAGTAAGATTTTGAGAGGGCCCTGCAATTCCCATGCGATCATTCTCACTGACTTTTGAAACGCAGAGTGTGATACATTCTGTGCCACCTGCTATGCCGCAGGGCCCGGGTCGTGTTGCGCGACCAACTGTCTGACATGCACTTCATCCACTGTGTGCACTCAGTGCTCTGAAGACTACGGCGTCATGGAAGGGTCCTGCGTTCCCCTGTCTGTCATTGCCTCCTCCGCTTCAGTCGCGTCCACGCAATCTGCGTCGGTTGCGTCTCTCGTTTCCGCTACTTCGGAGCTCTCGGCATCCTTTGCTTCGCTGGCTACTGCATCATCAGCTTCTGACGCTTCCGCTACCTCAGCGTTTTATGCTTCACGCGCGTCTGCATCTTCCGCCTCGGAAATGTCTGCTTCCGACGCCTCCGCTACCTCGGCGTCTCTTGCTTCCCTCGCTTCTGAATCTTCTGCTTCTATTGAGTCTGCTGCAAGCGCATCATCTGCGTCTGTCGCTTCTGACGTTTCCGCCACGTCGGCGTCAGTCGCCTCACAGGCCTCTGCATCGGCCGCCAGTGCTTCATCCGTCTGGCAGACGTCGGCTGCATCTGCCGCGTCCAATGCGCCAAAGGGTTCAAGTGACTCAGATTCATGGCCTATTATTCTCGGAGTGATTCTTGGCCTGTTAGCTCTCATCTTGTTGGTTGCGCTGGCAGTGGCTCTTCGGCGTCGTCGCTCTCCAGCGGCACTGGCAACCACTGCATCGGCTACCAAACTACGCGAGCCAACATCTGACTCATCCGACCCGACCTACCAGACCGTCGGCACTGTGCTGAACGCTGTGAATCCAGCCTACGACATTCTGTCTGCCAATCCAACCTATGACTCTTCATCGGCGAATCCCACCTACAACACTTTGTCTCCTCCTGGCAACCACGCCTTGTACGAACACGTTGACACAAAGCCCCAGGCTCCTGCGTCGGAGCAGGTGTATGCTGAGGCATCCATGTCTGCATCCGGTGAAACGAAAGCCTCAGGCAGCAGCGGTGTCGATTACGCCGATCCCTCGCTGCCCAATGCCTCGTCTGTCCGTGTGCCGCCCACGTCCACACCAACCTCTTACTCGGCGATCACTGTTGTGCCATCTGAGCAGACGTACGAAGCAGTGTCTGCTACTGGCGCCCATGCCGTGTACGACGATGTTGGCGCAATGACCAAAGCTTCTGGTGTCGAGTACGCCAATCCTTCCCTGCCCAGTCCTTCTTCTGTTGGCGTGCCGCCCGCGTTCTCGCCAACCTCTTACGCGACTGTCACTGTACCTTCCTCACAGACCGAGAAGGTCGACAGCGCGTGATTTCGTACATTGTTTGTTGATTTCACTCTGTGTTTTTGTTTTTTTGTCTCTTGCTCCCGCCCACCTTTTTCTCTTTTCTTTGACCAAGTACGCCGAACGCGCTTCATCACACTCAAGATTATTCTCGCTTCTTTTGAGAGTGATCGTTGCCGCGTTCAACAAGCGGAGCATTTTGCATTGTAGACATTTTTGTATCAATGAAGGCTGCACTATGAGTCGTTGACGTTGAATTGCAGTGGTAGTACAGTAGTACCGTCGTAGGATTTATTTGCTTGGTGGCGAATTGCTCGTCAAGATAATACCGTGGCCCTTGGTTGGATGGAGGCGGCACCAAAGATTGTGCTCGTCTCAAAGGGTTGAGTTGCTGCGGTCGCCAAGGAAAGGACGGTGGCACCTGCACTGGTTGCTGTCCCATTTGTGGTTGCGCTACTTGTGGTGGTTGCTGGGTGGAGCGACTCATCGGCGTGAGACTGGGTCTGGTCGAGATAGATGGCGGAAACGACGCCGCCCACGAAAATGAAAAGGCACACCATGAGATAGGCAAGACGCTGGAGACGCACCTTGCGCGGCAGCTTGGCCGACTGCGCGGAACGAACCATGGCTGCTGCCCGACGTGTCAATGTCGCAAACGAGGATTGTTTCTTGAAACTCTGCTTGCGGGCACGCCGAGCCATCTCGTTGTCAACACCATCGTCCGCGTCGTTGTCGCCGTCTTCCTCTTCGACGTCGGAGACATTGCCAGAAGAGGAGGTGCTGGCAACTTCATGCGTGACCAAGCTGAGGCGGTCGGTCTTTTTGACAGCGCCTCCTCCGCCGTTAGACAGTTGCTCAAGTTGGAGCGCGCCTCCCTCAACGTCGCCAGTGTTGCCTTCACTGGCCGCCTCGATGCCGTCCTGCGCTCGCGCGTTCGCCGCAACCGCCTGCTCGTCCCAATTCGTGCGGAAGATGCACACAACCATCGAGCAGCATTGCACCAAGAGGCCCACCGCCAGACCCGTCCACAGCCCATGCAGACCCCAGTTTGCTCCAAACACGAGCGCAAAGCAGAGGGGAATACCGACGATCCAAAAGCCAACGAGATTGAGAATGGCGCCCAGCTTTTGCCGACCACAACCACGGAGAATGCCGGAAGCCACAGCCTGGGTAAAGTCGAACAGCTGAAAGCATGCTACGATCGGAATCACCTCTGCGACGAGGGCCACCACATCCTCCTCGGTGGTGTAGATTCGACCCACCACGCTCCTGGTCGACAGGATGAGTATGATTGAGCAGACTGCCACAAACAGGATGAGCAGCATGCCAGTGTGCGCGGCACGACGAGCCACGCGTGGCTTGTTGGCACCGAGCAGCGTGCCGACGCGAATGTTGCACGCGACCGAAATGCCGAGCGGAATCTGGAAGGTGAGCGAAGCCACCTGCAAAATGATGGCCTGCGAAGCGAGCTCCACCGTCCCGAGCATGCCAGCCAGCAGCGATCCGAGCTCAAACGACCACCACTCGAGGCAAATCATGAGCAGACCAGGAATGGCGAGGCGAACGAACTGGCCCCACTCGAACAAGCACAGCACCGTCCACCCACGCCACGTATCCACATACACTTTGGATTTCAGAATGTAAGTGAGCAACGCGGCCACCATGACGAGCATTGTGAGCCAAAGCGCGTGCGCGGCTCCGAGGAAGCCCATGTCAAAGACGTAAATGAAGAGGTAGTGGAGCAGCGCGTTGACGCCGACGCCCAGCATGCAGGCATAGTTGGCTGGCTTGAGGATGGACTGGGCTTGGAGATAGCGGTTCATGAGAATCCAGAGCATGTCGAGCGGCAGGCGCGGGAGCAGGCGACGCATAAACTGACCCGTCAAACGTGCAACGTGCGCGTCCTGCTGGAGCCCGATGAGCAGGTACTCGGCATTCAACCAAATGGCCGCAACCGGAAAGCAGGTCATGAACTCAATGACCAGTGCACGCTGGAAGATGTCGCCAACGCGCTTCTTGTTGTTGGCGCCGAAACTCTGGGCGCAGAGCGTTTCCATGGCCGTTGCGAGGCCAATCACCATGCTCAGACCCGTCACGTTCGACAAGAGCGTTCCGAGCACGGACGCGTCGAGTTCTTCCTTGCCGATATGTCCGACAAAGATGGCGCTGATAAAGTTCAAGCTCATCTGCAAAAAGCTCGTCAACACGACAGGCCATGCCAACCGAGCCAGCTGGAGCATTTCGCGCAGCCGTTTCCGAGAAAAGACACGACGGATTGGTTTACAGCGCGCCGATGCCGCAGCCACAAGCTCGTCGTCATCTGCCCATGGATCGTCCATGTCGAGCTGTTCGATCTGATGGCCTCCAAACCCGTCCGACGATTTTGGCTTTGAGCGCGTGGTTTTTGCATCATCCTCATCGTCGTCGTCGTCGTCGTCGTCGTCGTCGTCATCCGAGGACGATGCAGTCGGTAGCATCTTCCCATCAGAGCTTTCTTGCGCAAGTTGAAATGTGTCTTGGTCTTCTTGCTCTTGTGCTTCTGCTTCTGCTTCTGCTTGTCGGCCATCCTTGTGGTGAGACATGTCACTCGTGGTGGCGAACGTCACTGGCACTGGCGACGGAGATTGTCCGATCCGTGATGTCAGACGCCCACCTCGATGCTCATGATGATGCTCCAGTAGTGATGCTGGTCCTTGGTCTTGGTCTTGGTCTTGGTCTTGGTCTGTATGATCAGCCCGGAGCGGACTGTGATGATGTGAATGACGGTGATGGTGACCACCGCTGCTAGCATGGGTCGTGCGGTCTGCACTCACGCCGGCCGCGGCCTCGATGGCACCCAGCGTGGGCACCATGAATGGCGACGTGAACATTGCAATCTGCGCAGTCGGAGAGTGCGGCGGCACTGCGCGACCGAGCCGCGGGCTGCGAGGCGCCAAATGGCTGCTTCCCGCCATTGGACTGTGCGACTGCTGCGGCAGCTGCTGGCGATCCTCATCACGATGGGACGCCGCATCGCCATCAGCATTGGCATGCTTACTGTCATCGCTGGAGAGCTTGCCGAGTGGCTGGCGGGACGGACTCGCGTCGCGTGGCAGGAGGAGCGCTGGGGCGTCCACATGTCGGTGATGACCGAGCGGCTGCTGCTGATGCTGCTGATGCTGATGCGTCGCACCGCTCACAGGACTATGATGACTATGAACAAGCGCATGGCGATGACTAGGATGTTGGTTGCCGGTTGGGCTCGCACTGTGCGACAGAAGAGTGCTCGGCTTGTGCTGAGGAGCGGCATGTGGTCGGCTGAGCGTCTCAGAATCCAAGTCAGACAACTCGTCCAAATCCATGTCGTGTGACCCGGCAACATGATCAATGCGGAGGAGCACGGCTCGACTGCTGCCACGACGTGCGAGCAGCCCCGACGGCACAGGCGAATCGGACATCAATCAATAAGAAGAGGAGGAGGAAAAGGACTGACTGAGACTGAGAGCCTGAGAGACTCGGACGTTTGATGGGAACTACAATGGGGTCGATCTGGAGATTTTCACAGTCTAGGAATCAGAGGTACATGTCAAATCTCGCACAAAAGCCTGGAGTTCAACCTGAATGAAAGATGTCTTTGGCAAAACAGCTCACAACTTTGACTGTTAACAACGCACACTTGGTTACTGACGACTCAGGAGAAGCTGAACAAGGGGCAGAACAACTTTGCGCGACGCAGCGGTATTCTCCTGAGCAAAGGACGCGAATGGCACGGGGAGACCGAGCCGCTGGTGATCGCCCTCCGCGAAGGATTCCGTGGCAGCAGAGCAGTCCACAGGCACAATTTCTCTCAGTTGTAGATTGGCCTTGCCATCCCCGGCACAGTCAATGGCAAGTTGTCTTGCGCGGGCGGGCTGCGCGCGATCAATGACTGCGAGCTGGCGGCAAAACTTTTCTCCAACATAGAACGATGTCATGATGACGAGCAGCGCAATGTTTTTTCGCGCCATGAAGGCGTGCACGGCCTGCAACACAATGGGCGTTTCTGGTGCGGCCACAAGCGTTTCGCGTTCGCATCGCCGAGTGGCCATCTCGAAAAGGGAAAGCCCGACGGAGGAAATTCCGAAAGGGACAGGGGACGCCAGGTCCTCTTTGTAATCCTTGCGAAGCAGCTCGTCTAGAGTGAGCGACGCCTGCGAGAACTTGGCATCATTCAGCAGCGAAAACAGCTCGGGGCGCGGGGTTGGCACCAGCCGTGCAAGTCGTTCCACCAGCGCCACGTCCGCTTCAGTGGTCCGTCCTTTGGTCGAGTCGCAATTCACAGTGTCGAGCAAGATGGTGCCGTACAACAGCTCCGCGATGGGCTCAGGGAGCACTTCGCTTGCCGAGCGCTGCGGCTGCGCGTCCAACAGCAAGCGAGCAATCAGCGTGGCGCAAGAGCCCGCCATTTCAATCACTCGGTTGACGCCGGATGCGCGTGCACACATTGCGTCGTCGACATGGTGGTCAATGATTTGGGTGACGAATGGCTCCAATGCCCGCTGATTCGCAGCCAGTCGATTGTGGTCGACCAGTGTCACGCGCAGCGACGCCAAAGCCGAGGTAGACGGCGGGCCCGCCTTCCCCACGAGCGTATCCACGAGGTCCGACAGGTCCAAGTCGTCCAGGAAGAGCAGCGACGATGTGTCGAGCTTGAGCCGGTGGAACATGAACGTCGCTTCCGTTCGCAGCGGGAACTCTGCTCTCGGGATGTTCATCAACGGAATAATGGACACCGATGGCACTGGCACCACAGGATGCACTGGGATGGCAGCAGGGCCGGCGGTCTGGTTGGCCTGGCTGTTGCTGGCCTGCTGGTTGTTGAGCGCAAAGGCCAATGCAATGGAGCACGCCATCGAGTCGAGGTCGGACGCCTCGTTGCCCATAATCACATGAAGGATGGGTGATGATTCTCGCGTGATGCCATCAGCAGCAGGAGTAGGAGCAGCAGCAGTAGGAGCAGCAGCGTCGGCAGCAGCGAGCGATTTCAGCTTGGTCAATGCAGTCTGAGCCACACAGACAATAAAAACACACAGAGGTCAGCAACAAAGATGCTCAAAGTTCAACGTCCAACAGCATGAGTACGGGATGAAAAGTGGGCAGACAACCTGAAGCACGGCGCGACGCGATTGCAGAAAAGTGGTCAAGGCGAGTGACATTTTCTGAGACGGCAAGACAAAATAAAAAAGACTACAACGGTATGGTAAATCGAGAGCCGAAGAAAATACCAAACTACACCATCATGGGAGACCGAGGGTAATATATGACACAGGCTGTACTAAACAAAACTCAGCAACCTGGCAAACAACCCAAACAAAATGCACACAATCCGATCAAGGCTCGTCGCTGTGCGGGCGAAGAGAGTTCATGTCAATCGCATGTTCATCAACTTCGTCACGGCCCCCTCGTTGCTGCATGTGATCGGTTGCCATGAACATGTTGATTGTGCCGTAGACAATCTCGCTCGCTTTCTTGGCACCCCAAGTGGCATATTCCACAAGACTGGCAGTCTATAGGTCAAAAGTTAAAACAAGAATGGTGAGTGGTGTGGTGGATGAACGAGAAACAGCCAATCCAGCGGGGTGGACGCACCGACAGCGAGACAGTGACGCTTTCAACATTGTCCTCTGTCTTGCGGCGCGCGTTCGCTTCACGCGTCCACTTGACTTCGAGAATGACACGGAGCAGCGTCTCATTCATGAAAGCGGCCTGTTTTACGAGTATTGACGCAAGCCCTGGAATGAGCAAGATGATGCAGTACAAAAAGCTCGAAAAACGCGATTCTAGTCACTCACATAATCGGAGTTGAAAACCACCCATCCTTGCAACGCGTCTGTGGCAACTTCGATGCGGAACTGCTTTGTAGTTTCATCCAATCGCCATTTCTTGATGAGAGGTAGCTTGAACACATGGTCGGCCTGCAGAAACAACAACAACCGCGGCGTATTCAGTTGAAGCAAGAACAACGACTCGACATGTCATGCCAACGACGTACGTACCTTGCTTTCAAGAGGCGTCTCAGCAAAGCGGAGCGTCACACCGTCCACAGCAAAACCCACAGTGGCTGTCGTTTGTTTGCCCGCAATTTCGACGATACAGGGCGGGAAGAAGAGGGTCGAGTAATTGGTGACCCGTCGGACAACGTCAAGGTACTGCACGCCAACAAAAAGAGGAGTCGGAGGGGGGGGGGGAGATTCAGTGTTTTTTTCTCGGGGCCGTTCAAACTCAAAGAAAAAAAAAACCAAAAAAAAAAAACAAAAGAACATTGCAATGTTCTTACGGCAATTTTGGCGCCGGAAATGCGATGCTCTTGCAGCTCCTTTGACAACTCAAGGGTGGGCTTGAGTGCACCACGGGTTACGTCTTCCTTGGCCTGTGCAAATAGCAGGCCCACAGCTGCTTCATCATCGCTGACAAAGACTTCTTGAAGCTTGGTGAAAATCCACTTTTTCAACACGAGAATATCGGGCAGCAGTGTTCGGGAGTCCTGGCCTGAGTGCTTTCGGATGATTTGCAGAGGGTACTCGGTCGGTTGGAGTTTGCGTTCTGACGGAAGAAGTCGAAGGGGGGGGGGAAAGATGCGGGAGGGTTAGTGGTGGAAAACAACACAAATCAAGAGCAGATCAAAAAGTGTTTTCAAGCTCACCAAAGCCATTCTCGTTCTCAAAAAGGGAGAAGAAATGAGCGCTCGAGTCGCGCAGACCAATACGCTTGACGACCATCTCGAAAACCTCGGCAGCAGTCGTTGTGGGCTTCGCAGGAACGGAAACGGTGGTTCGATCGGGCAGACGCACCAGGATTTCAAACGCACCACCTTGACCAACATGCTACAAGACGACCGAGACAAGCGTTTTAAGAAAACAAAGAGATGGGAGCAATGAGGGCACGAAGATGAGCGAAGAGCGACCAAAACGACAGGAGGAAAAGTCAATTGTTCAATGTACTCACCGCTTCGTGATCTGGCGTCAAAAAGTCTTGCATGATTTGGGAGTCGGCAACGCCATTATCAGCCATCGCTGTCAAAAGAGCAAGTCACGAAAGTGAGGACTTGCACACTTTTGCTGCCAAAAACAACAACCACACAGTCGTTTGTTACCAATCTTCAGAAACTCGTCAAGCTGCTTTCGACGATCCTCAATCTGGGGCGCAGTCAGCGCAAATGGCCACTTCATCGGGAAGCGCGAAAAGTTGTACGAGGGGAAGGCGACCTTGAGCTGTTTGCAAACAAAGTAACCGCACACACGCGGGTGGGTTAGCGGTTGGTTCCAGACATTTCATCAAGCTTGTAATCAGCACCAAGCCAATGAGCACGTTGTTTCCATTCGTATTAGAATCGAGGTTTCAAGCTGAGAGCTAGAATCGACTCCAACTCAAACGAACGCTCAACTGGTCCACCGTTCCGTCGGTTTTGCCGGCATTCTGACTCCTCGAGCAAAACACTAGCTCTCCTATGCAGCAACAAAACCAAAAACCAAAAACTGCGCAAACTTGTACGACTTACCGCCCCAGCCAGCGCTGAGAATTCACTGAAACGGCGACCGCAGCAGTAGATTCCATTGAGGAAGATTTCGTAGAACTGTGTTGCTTGAATTGAACAAGCCAAAGTTACAGTAAGTTGAGAGTGAGTATTGGAAGAGGAGGGTGGTGGTGATGGTGCAGCCTGGGTACAGCTATTTGTGGAGGAATATGGCAAAGTAAGGCAAGTAACGGGGAAACAGTCAAGGTAAGGAGGTCGGGCCAAAAGCTCATATCACTCAAATGGAGAATGAAAAGTACAAACAGGAGCATTGAGCAAGTCAATGCATGCGTGAGGAAAGGGGGAAGAACCGGTGGAAGGGGACAAAGGGCGAGGGGGTAGGAAAGCGCGGAACTGGAACCTGGGAATGAGGATACTGACCGTGACGTCCTCGCCATCGACGGCGGCTGAGCGGATGGACGGGACTGAGATGACACGGCGAGACGCAGCAGCAGCAGAAGCAGAGGCAGAGGCAGAGGCAGAGGAGGAGGTCGAGGCAGAGTGGCTGAGCGACGCGGTGGACGACGACGATGACGACGATGCCAGTGAAGCCGACGCGGACGGGTGCAGCAGCGACATGGTGATGATGATGAGGAGGACTGGATTAGAATAAAAAGAATAGTACACAAGCACAGTGGATTAAGATTGGATGCGATGGCAACCTGGATCAAAGGCCTCATTGAAGCATTGTGTTTGGCTGGAAACAAAAATCCAATGGAAAGTTTACAGTCAAAGGTCTCAGAGCTGAGCAGCTGAGATTGGACGACAATAACAATACTCGTGATCATGATCTCCCAGTCTTATTCTTTTTAGTCCCCCCCAAAACAGCACATCATGGCTGACATTGAAGTCGAGAGCTCTGCAATGGAGCAGGACGGTAAACGCTCATAGGAACACTCAACCCCCCTCCCGCTCTCCCCTACACATGCATCACTCACTTTAGAAACGTCTTGTTTTGCTGTTGCTGACAGAGTACGACTCGCTCCCAACCACCAGCGACGACAACGGGCGCGAAGGCGGTCCCCAACGCTGTAAGTCGGTCGATTCGGCTGCGTTTCTGCATTTGCCGCCGTGCGCACTTGCCGCTGAGGGGGGGGAGGTGTTGCGCTGATGCCCATGCCAGTCAAAGCATAGCATCGTGTGCTGCGAGCGTGGAGCGCGGGGGGGGGGATTGTTCGATTTTTGGCCAAAGACTTTGAGATCTCGACGTTTGCCTATGACCTTTCAACTGACGCTCGATTTCATCGTGACTTTCTGTTGGATTGTGTCTGATGGGACGACCACATCAATGAAGCGACCGAGGGCTGGGTCGTGATGGTCACTGGACTGCACGAAGAGGCTGCCAAGGACGCCATCAACGACAAGTTCTCAGAAGCTGGCCATGTCCGCAAGGTTGTGCTCGAGTACGATCGCCGGACAGGCTTCAACAAGGTAAACGAACAAGAAACGTTCAACAAAAAACCGTGGAGGTTTGGGAGAAGGAATCGCTCAGCTTTGAGCTTTTCTATTTTGTGTTTTTGTGTTTTGGTAGGGTTACGCGCTGATCGAGTATAACGAGATGAGCGAGGCACAGACCGCGATCGAGGAGCTCAACGGCACCTCGTACCTCGATCAGACTATTGGCGTTGACTGGGCGTTCGTTCGCCCGCCAGCTGGCGCTCGATCGTCGCGACGGTGAGTGCTGTTGATTTCAAACGGACAATTGGTCCATTGTGGCATTGACTCACCAGGTCTTATCTTGGATGTGTTTCGTTTGTATAGAGGCGGCCGTGGTGACCGAGAATAATAAAATGCGTCGCGTTTGCTGTTGTCTGATCTGTTGCTTTGTTGGTTGGCGAAAAACGTCCATTAAAACACTCTAAGCAAAAAAAATGGAGAACTGTGTGTGTGTGTGTGTGTGTGTGTCGCTCTCAGGCAAATAAGGCAATGCACAGTCTTGGGTTCGATTAGGATGAGAACAGCCTGGCCGCAAAGTACCCAATCACTAACCACACTCTGCGCTTCGAATGACACTCTCTGCAACAAGAACTGCTCGACATGGTTCATTGTAGTACACGATACACGCTGCACAACGAGAGAAATGACAATTCATCATCATCAAAAATGGAGAAATAAGAAGAAAGAAGATGCACACAGCAAACCACATCAAAAGCGATCAAAACGAGATTATTGCAGGATTAAAGGCGCGCGATGATGGCCTTGGTGAACTCGGAGCACTTGGCAGTGCCCTTAAGATCGCCAGTGCGAACCTACAAGATGGGAAGGAAATGACAAGAAGGAAAAACAAAAAAAGAAAAAAAAAAGTGAGACAAGACGAGACAACGAACAAAAGTAGACATGAAACAAAAGAATGGAACAAAGAAGAATCAGATTTCTCAAAGGTGTTTTGGTTGTGTCGTCAGCAAGAGAACTCGCTCGGGAGAGTAAGTCCCAAACATTGAGAACCTTTCAGCCTGACGTGCAATCCTTTGCGTAGCAAAGACCAATGAAAGTCATCATTTTGGGAAGGTGGTAAAGCGGAAAAAGCGCGGGAACCAAGAGCACAAAGCAAGCGAGCCAGAAATCCCGGTACCAGAAAAAAAAAAAAAACACCATCCAACCAAACTAAATCACCACAGCTCCTCACCTTGCCCTCCTTGATGGTAGCCAGAGCAGCAGCCTCGACCTTGTCGGCGTACGAGTTGAGGTTGATGTGACGGAGCATCATGCAGGCGCTGAGAAGAAGAGCGGTGGGGTTGGCCTTGTCTTGGCCAGCAATGTCGGGAGCAGTGCCGTGGACGGATTCGAAAATGGCAACGCCGTCGTAGCCAATGTTGCCAGAGGGGGTGAGACCAAGACCGCCGATCAGGCCGGCGCTCAAGTCACTGAGAATATCGCCGTAAAGGTTGGGCATGACGAGCACGTCGAATTGGGAGGGATCCATGGTGATCTGCAGCGTGGGAAGCGTTGTGCGAGGCGGAAAGAAATAAATGAGCGGATGATTCAAAAGTAGCTGCAGCACAATGACAGCCAAAAGCAAGCCAATGGTGTTGCTTGGAAAACTCACATTCAAGCATGCCTTGTCGAGGAACATCTCGGTATACTTGATAGTGGGGTAGTTTTGGGCAACCTCTCGGCAGCATTCCAGGAAAAGACCGTCGGACTGACGCATAATGTTGGCCTTGTGGACCGAAGTGACAGTCTTGCGGTTGTTGGCAACAGCGTAATCGAACGCAAACTTGGCAACGCGCAACGAAGCGGGGCGCGAGATGACCTTGATGCTTTGCACGACGCCATCGACGACCTGGCAATCGGCAGAAAGGAAGTGAAAATAAAAAAGAACAAACGAGAGAAAAAAAATAAATAAAAAATCCGCGAACGTACAGTGTGCTCAATGCCAGAGTACTCTCCCTCAGTGTTCTCGCGGATAATGACAGTGTTGACGTTGTCGTAGGGGGTCTTGTAGCCCTCGATCGAGCGGCAGGGGCGGACGTTGGCGTACAGGTTGAACTCCCTATAGAAAAAAAAGGCAATCTCGCGTTAGTGGTGCTTCTCCAAACCGTCCCACAAAAAAACGGCTTCTTTGATCAGAATCGAGACGTACTTGCGAAGGGTGAGGTTGAGCGAGACGTGGCCCTTGCCAATTGGGGTTTCGAGGGGACCTGCGATGAATTTCAAACACAGCAATGAGCACAAAACGACGCTTCTTTCGCTCATAGCGCCGGTTGAGGACGAATGCTCACCCTTGAGGCCGATCTTGGCCTTGTTGATGGTCTCGATAGCGGCCTGGGGGATGGTCATGGTGCCATCGGCGCGGCGAACGGGCTTGACGTCGACGTTCACCCAGTCAATCGGGACCTACTCCCACCGGCAGATCAACAAAGCCCGACGAATCCTCAACACAATGAGATCATCATCATCATCAACAACAACACACACACACATACGCTGGGGGAAGCACTGCAGCTCAACCGCAAACAAGCCGAAGCTGAACTGTGCATTGCGGTTTTTTTTACCTGAGCAGCAGCGAAAATGTTCTGGACGGCGGCGGAGATCTCGGGGCCAATGCCATCGCCGGGGATGAGGGCGACGGTCTGGCGGCCAGCAGCGCTCTGTTGGTGTTGAAGAGGATGGTGAGCAGAAGGACAGGAGAACGAGGAGAGGGAGGGGAAGGGAGGGGAAAGTATTGAAAAACAAAAAACCGATTAAACAGCCGAAGGGCGATCGCTCTTGCCTCGGGAAGCGTGGATGGGACGGCAGAAGGGGGAGGGGGGGGGGGAAAGAGAGTCGGGGGAAGCAACAGCATGAGCATGGTGGAAGAAGTGTCGATGGCCGAGGAAGCGAAGGCGGAAAGAGAAGGGAAGGAAAAAACCAAAAAAACCAAAAAAATAAAAAATAAAATAAAAAAGCGCCAAACCATGTGCTTTGGGAAAAAATAGAGGGAGGACCGCTGTTGAGGGCCGATCTGCCGTTCAGGCGAACCCATCCACAAGGCGAGATGTGGAACATCAGGGTGGTAAGAACTGGAGAAAAGACGGCGAAGCAGGACGTCGCTGGCGAGTCAGAGCGCGGAGCAAACGAGGACGATCGGAATAGGGAAACCGGTTTGACAGACGGCACAAGACCGCAGTTTCATCGCGCTCAAATGGAGCAGGACGAGAAGTTGGGGATGGAGGGATGTGAGGTTGAAGAGCATGAAGCCGGAGGGGGAAACGTACGGTGGATGCAAGGCGGGAAGACGCGGCACGGAGGACGCTGGCACCACCCTGGAAATGAAAAAAACAAAGCCAAGAGAGAAAAAGAAAAAAAAAATCATAAAGTCAATGGAAATCCCATACAAAAAAAAAACAAATAATAATTAAAAATAAAAAGGACGAACAAGAAGCTTGGACGAGAACATTTGCTGAGAGTGAAAAATGAAGAGTGATAGGAAAAATCAAGAACAACGTTGAAAAAGGTGTGAACAGTCAAAGTGAAGCGAGGGGAGTGGGGGGGGGGGAGAGATGAGCGCTTTTGAACTTGGAAGCGATTGATTTTCTGATTTTCTACATGCATTCGCAAAGTCCACAACAACCAAACTGCTCATTTCTGCACAAAATCCTCGTCATCCACATCATAGCCGACCACGGCAGCGGGCAACTGCAGCTGTTGGATGAGTGATCCGAGCGATTCCGACGCCGGCATTTCCTTTTGCATTTCGATCAGGGCAGTTTGCGTCTTCTCGAGCCACTTGTCGATGAGCGTCTGGAGTTCGTCGAGGTTGTTCTGCGTTCAAAAGCAAAAAAAAGAGCATTGCTCAGCGACATGACACAAAGCTCTCTTCTCGACGAAAGCCATCAAACAATACCGTTTCACGATAGTGCTTGACCAGCCGCAGTTTTCGCAACAGCTCTTGCTTTGTTGCCAAGCGCGCGACAATTTCAGCCTGGGCTTTGGTCCACGCCTCGACGGGAGCGTCGTCACTTGGAAGCTCCAGAATTTGTTGCGCAGGTTCATGAACTGGCTTGGCCGCTGGCGCTGGTACGACGACATGCTCTTGCGAAGAGCTTTGCTTGATGTGCTCCTTGCGCTGTTTCGCACCTGCAATCTGCTCTGCACTCAATCCAAATGGCTACGCCAAGCAAGCAAGCAAGCGAAGCAAGCGAAAATGAGCTCCTTTTGACTCGCAAATCCTGCACCAAGATCAAAATGCCGTTACTTTGCTTGTTTTCCGAGCAAGCGTTGGCGGAGCCAGAACCATGCCAAGCGGCTGTGAGCTGGACGGAGTGGAGGGCAGTTGCTTGATCCAGGCGTTTGGATCGAGCGGCCAGAAAATTCTCACGCAAGTCGTTCCAGTCGCGCCTTCCGTGTCGATCGGTAGCAACCCAAGCTTGCCGACCTGTGCGAGGCGAATCAGCTCGGTCTATGCATTTTTCGAAAGCAAAAGTGAGTTCAACAACAAAGTTCAAAACAACACAGCCAGAGACTCGACAGCAAAACCACCGCCACCTCCACCACCATACCTCGACCTCGTTGAGCGACAGGAACTGCATGGCATGCACTCGAACATGCTCACGCAGGTCGGACGCAGAAAAATGGAGCGCAGCAGTCTGAAAGGGCAACCGCGCGACAGCTTCACTACACCGCTTTGCAATTGCTTGTGCAACGAGCTCTGTGGTGGTCGACTCGTCCGTCAACGCACTCAAGCCAGCGCGTATCGCGTCCTCATCGAGGGAGAGGTCTTCTTCGTCTTCATTGTCCTTTTGTTCGGCTTCATTGTAGTCGTCCTGCGCTCCCGTTTTGCCTGGTGCGGCTCCTTCTTGCCCTTGATCCTGCACTTGCTCTTGATCTTCCTCTTGCTCTTGATCGTCGTGGGCCGAGGGATCCGACTCGCCGTCCCAGACCACGTCGCCGTCGACCGCCAGGGCAGAAGGGTCAAACTGCGTCGCTTCTCCGCTGTGACTGTTCGCCAGCAGCAGACGCGCTTTGGCAATGTCGTCGCGCGTCTTGGACAGCTTGGACAGCGGCGGCTTGCGCGACGAGGGCAGCGACCGTGTGTTCTGTGCATGCAACTTTGCGTTCATGTTGTTTCGGATTTTTCCCGCGCTTTTTGCACTCGACGATTCTGCTTCTTCCTGCTCGCTCGTCGTCGCCGCCACGGCAGCAGCAGCAGCAGCAGCAGTCTCTTCACTGAGCTCGGCTTCATCCTCGGGGTGCTCGTCGTCGTCGGCGTCGTCGTCGTGGTGGCGGGATGCGCTGGTTGGCTCGCAGTCCATCGCGGCTGTTTCAGAACTGGCAGCTCCGTTTTCGTGCTCCTGAGCAGCAGCAGCAGCAGCAGCAGCAGCGTCAATGGCCTTGTCTGTCTCTTCGACTTGCTCGTGAGTGCGCTTGCCGAGCAGCGTCGCGGCAGAGACAAACTCTTTGCTGGGCTGCATTGATGATGAACAACCAATAGAAAAATCAAAAACGACTGAAGTCTGAGATTTTTGTTTTTTGGATTTTCTTGATTGATTCTCAAATCACTTCATTTTTTTTGAATTCTTCTTTGTAACAATGGACGTTGCCTCGTCGATCATTGCGCTGCAGAGCAAGACTGTCGGAAGGGACAAAGTCTACAGGTACTCAACTCGTCCTCCTCCTCCGCTCCGACGGCAACGTTGCTCGGCTCGCTGTCCATCTCCATCTCCGACTGCTGTCCTCGTTTTTCTCCAGCACGATTCAGTCAAGAAAACAATGAGACGATTGAGTGAACGGAGACCATGGTGCGATTGGAGTTGCGAGTGAAGTTGGGGACACAGCGTCCGACATTGGCTTGGGATTTCGCCCCAAGCGCACAATCGCACAGTGGCCCAACAAAGACGCTGCAGACCGAAGCGCTTCACGTGAATATGCGAACGCAAGCGTGATTCGAGCACCGTTGGGGGAAACTGCCATTCAGCGAAACACTCAAACAGAGCAATGGAAAAATCACGTTCATCGTCAATGCAATGGCTGAATCGCGCGCGCCTACCAAGTTCGCTTGGCTTTCGTCTCTGCATACTCTGCATACACTGCACAGAGCGCATGCCAGCGCAATGTTAAAGCCAGAGCGGGCGCGGTTTGAGTAAAGCCTGACCAACAGCGCACCGTCGGCCAAATTGAAATCCACCCGTCGGTCGATTATTCTGAGCAAATCCGGGCGCTCGTCAGCATTACAGCGAGAAAAAAAATAATGTTGTCCATTGTTCCAGCAGTTTGTACTCCTTCAGATTCGAAGCAAAAGCTGTGTTTTGTACTCCAAATCTCACTTTTGATGCGTCTTCCGACAGAACTGTGCAATACGCTTCCAAGTTGATCGGATGGTACCTCGCGCGCACGTCAGCTAGCAAGGGCACCATCGAGAAGTTTTCAAAGCTGGAGAGCAACCTCAGCTTGGCACGCAAGCGTAAGTCACCCGGATGAAGCGAATTTGCCGAGTTGTGAACTTGTGGCGCGTTGCCCACCGTCCCGCACACATCTCACTTCTATGGTACATTGTCGTCATGCCACACACGATACGTGTTGCACCTTGCTCCTGTTGCTGATTGACAGTCTTCCGCGTTGGCAAGCCAATCGACTTTTTCGTCGAAATTCTGCGCCAAGTCAAGAACGCCGATCCCGTGCTCCGAAACACGCTGACTGGCCGCGCAGCATGCCTCTCAGGCTGGCTGTTGATCGATCACCTGCTGTGGTTTGCAAAGGCTGGCATTGTCAACGTGGACGCGAAAAAGTGGTCTCGCCGCTCTGCCTGGTTTTGGCTGGCCGGCCTGATTCTCGCCGTTGTCCGCGACATCTATCAGTACATGCGCGTTGAACAAGCGCGCGCACGCTACATCCAGCGCTCCCTCAACCAGCCCAATTCGGCCGAGCAAGCGCAGACTGTGCTCTCGTCCCCGACTGTGCAGCAGTTTGACAAGGACCTGGCCACCCACAGACTCGAGTTGATCAAGGATGTTTGCGACTTGATCATCCCTTCGTCGTCTCTCGAGTTGATCCAGCCCTCTGCCGGCCTTGTTGGACTACTGGGACTCATCTCTTCTCTGATCGGCTTGCACCAAGTTTGGCCCAAGCAAGTTCCGAAATAAGGAACTTTTTGTTGTTTTGTAGATTTTTTGCAATGCATGCAGAGCTTGTCGTTGGTCACAACTTGCAATGAGAGAATGATTTTTGAAGATCGCACCAAACAATCGATCAAAATCAAAGATGTGTTTCGGATCTATTGCTTCAACTTTGCCATCATTTCAGCAAGCATCGCAGATGCGTCTTCATCATCACTGTCGTCCCCGCCATAGTTTCCTTCATCATCTTCGTCGTCACCGCCGAGCAGAGAATAAAAGCTCATTGCGACTTGCTCCGCCAATGCACGCCGTTCCTGGTCTGGCAAGCCCGCTGCTTTCGCTGTCGCAGTCAAAGTCCAACGAAAGCGAGACAATGATAGCAATGTGTGAGTATGCAACGCCCGTCTGGCAATTAAATGAACGACAAATACCAACGACGTACCTTTCATTTGCGCCAACTTGCCAAGCGCCTTGTCAAATTCATCAAAGTGGGCTTCGGTGTCGTCCTCCTCGGGCCCGAGACCCCAGTCAACACGGTTGTTAAGGCCTGAGGCCGAGGGCAGGCTCGAGTCAGCTGGTCCCGTTCCCGCGCGAAGTGCACTCGCCAACAGCTGCTGCAAATCTGCCGCTGCGGCTGCACTGCTTGCCGTGGAGGTTGACTGCTGCGACGATGGACGATCTCCAGCATTAGCTTGAGCGCCTGCCGTTGTGGAGTTGCGTCCTGAGCGAGTAGCGTTGCCTGCGTTGGCTTCTGTACGCACGCACGCAAAAATTCAAGTTGAAACGTCCGTTTCTTCAATCGCCAAACACATCATGAGCCTCAGCCTTACCTTTCCGGACCATTGACTCCCACATGTTGGAGAACAGAGCCTGTCGAACACGATCAATGCCTTCATCGTCATCATCTTCGTCCTCGTCGTCGTCGGCAGTCTGCGTTGCGATTGCGTTTCCATTCGCGTCCAGGCCTGCACCTCGCGCCACCGCGACATACTCGAATCCGTTCTTGATGCACCATGCGATTGCCTGCTCTCGGGATACTGTGGATGTCGCAGGCACTTCATTCGAGCTGGCATTAGTGGTTGCAGTATTGGGCTGGGCTTCCTCGCCGCGGCCAGTCTCGTACGACCGCACGCACAAGAGGACCGACGGCTCGTGCTCCTGCACATGCTGCAATGCATCGTTGAGCATTGTGAACGTGGCGTGCTCGTGCGCGTCAAACACGGCGACGACGGCGTCGGCCTCGGCCCAGTGCGCTGGCTCGACGGCGTCCCAGTGCCGCGCGACTGTCACAACGAGGTCTGCAGTGTAGTACTTGTTGTCAATCGTCCACGGGTGGTGCGACGCGGCCGCGGTTGAGCTCGCCTGCGCGACCGACTCCAATCGCTCAGCGCCGAGCAAGTCTGAGCAGACAAAGTCAATCCATGCGTCAGTTATAAGGTCATCTCAAAGCATGGATGCAGTATTGTTGTAATGGGTCGTACGCGCAATGACAGGCTCCCAATGGCCACCAACGACGAGGACTCGATTCCGTGGTGCGCTCATCGAATACAATGAAGACTGGAGAAGAAAAGCTCAGAACAGCTCAGAAATCAGACGACAGTGCACAAGACGCTCACCATGAAGCACATCTACCACAGAGACGGGTTAGCGAGAGAGTGAGTGGTGTGTTTGATGTGAATTACTGTATTCGCACGATGATCTGTTTGTGATGCTTCCCATTTTTCACTTCTTCTTATGATAACACAGCATTTGGATTTTTGTTCCATCAATCAACCCACTCCTCATCATTCATCATCCACCATGGTCAGATCAAAGGCAGACGCTGCTTCGGCGGTGGCTGCTGTCGGCCCGCTGTCTCATCTCGCGCCTGTGGCAGCTGAAATTGCATCCGCTGCATCTGCCTCCAGTTCCAGCCACGCCTCAGCACCAGCACCAGCACCAACATCAACATCAGCCTCAACCACGACGAGTGAGACTGGCAAGGCGGACGAGGGCGAGGCAGCAGAGGGCAAGGCGGACGAGCCATCTGCTAATACTTCGCCTTCTTCGCCTTCGCCAGCAGCAGCGATTCAGGCGCCGCAGCCGCCGATGCCGCCACGCAAGCCGCTCGTGGGACATTTGGCGCTGCTTGCGTCTGGCCGCGGCGGGTGCGTGTGCGACGCGCTGCACCGCATCCTCATTGCCCACGGGAACATTGTGAAATTGGACATCGTCGAGCGCAAGGCCATTGTCATTGGCTCTGCCTCTGCCATCCAGCGCGTCTTCCTCACCCACACCGAGCTCTACCCAAAGGGCGCCACTCTCGACGAGCTCCGCGCGGTCGGCATCGGCGGTAAGGGCATCGTCGAAACCGAAGGTACGTGCTTGACTCTGGTCTTGCTTCTTTTGGACGCGCGCGCGCCTCTCTCTCTCTCTCTCTCGCGGTTGTCTTTGTTTCATACAGCTCACGTTGGGAGCGTCCTGCGGTCAAAATGGACGATCACAGAAGCCAACAGAGTTTGGAAGAATGAGATTCCTGGGAGAGGGATGAGGGTTACCGTGTGCGAGAGAACAAAAGATCAACAACGGTATTTTTGTATTGGATTGCTTTGTGGTTGCTCGTTCTGCAACAGTCGAGAGCCAAGTGAGTGCATTGGAAGCAATGGTGTTGTGATGACTTTTTGTATAGAGTTAAGATTGGAAGGGGGGGGGGGTTTGGAAGTGGGGATGGGTGAGGGAGCAGTGATCTGAGTCCTTACAACTGTTTGTGTTGACATCTGTGAATACCTGCGTTGATGATGATCTGGAGGGGGGGAGGGGAACAAACAACAGGATTGCAGTAACAACAGCGGAGATGAATTGGCTGATGAATTGGCAGGGAGGAGGGGGGGGGGAGAAATGAACGTGGATCTCAACGTCTGCAATCTCAATCTTACAGCGAAATGAACAAATCTGAACGTCGCTCTCATCAAACATCTTGCTTCGTGCTGGGGGTTACTCACTTCCTGAAATCGAAAAAAACCCCCACATATGGCGTACTGTGGAAATAGGTGCAATCTGGGAACGGCAGCATCGCCTCGTCCGTCCAGCCTTCCGCAGTTCCATTATCGCCAAGCTCGCAGATTCCTTCCTGGACATTGCGCAACGCGGAGCAAACCTGCTGAGCGAAGGGACTGAATTCGAAGGCCTTGCGCTCTTCTCGCGCGTCGGATTCACTGCCGTCGTCAACACGCTCTTCAACCAACCAACTCCTGTGCTGGACTCGCTCGACGGCAACGACACTGTCATGAAAACTACGCACTATGTCGGCGGCGAGCTCATGAAGCGCATGCAGCGGTGAGTTTGGTTTGTCTGCCATCAATATGCTTGTGGTTTTTGGTGTTTTGCTCACGCACGTCTCTGTTGCAAATTCTGTAGAACTCGATTCTGGCGCAAACTGCCCATTCCCAGCAACTTTAAAGTGCGCCGACTCGTCAATGAGATGCGTGAACTCTACTCAAAGCAGATCGAAATCCAACGCAAGGATCCGCTTGGTGCGCTCCTCTACGAGATGTTGAGTAAGTAACCCCCCGAGTCCAACACAGAGTTGCAGATGCTTCTGTTCACTCACTCCCACCTGCTTTGCCGCTTCTCCCCTTCAGCCTACCGCGATGAAAATGGTCAGCCTCTGCCCGAAGACGAGATTTTGGACACGTATCAGAACATTCTGGGCGCGGGTCACGAGTCGACGGGAAACACGCTTCACTGGGCCCTGTACATTCTATGCACGCATCCGGAGATTGCCGCCAAGCTTCAGGCGGACATTCTCACGGCATTCGACGAGAAGGGCCAGCTGAATCTCGACAAGCTCCGCAACCTAAAGTACCTCGCTCTCTTCCTCAAGGAGCTGCTGCGTGTGTACACGCCCTTCCCCGTGCTGTTGCGCGAAGTCGCGCAAGACGACATTCTGGACGGCTTCCGCGTCAAAAAGGGGTACTGGGTGTTTGTGCACACCATGCGCATGCACACGGATCCGGCCGTCTGGGGCAATGATGCTCATCTCTTTGTTCCAGAGCGGTTTAGCGACGAGCGCATGGCCTCGATCAACCCCAATGCCTACTTGCCTTTCTCGGTGGGCCCGCGCGCTTGCCTCGGCCATTACTTTTTCACCCTCGAGTTTAAAATCGTCCTGGCCGTCTTCCTCCAGAGGTTTCACTTCTCTCTCCTCCCCAACCAAGAAGTGCTGCCCATGCTCAAGTTTGCCCTGCTGTCCAAGAACGGCATTTGGTTTAAGGCGCACGAAAACGATCCAGCCGCTTCGGCCGCGGCACGTGCAGCAGCGGCTGCCGCCCAGGCAGCCAAGGCAGCATCGGCGCCTGTTGAACGCTCGCCAGACACGCCAGTCTTGGCGACTACGACGTCGCTCTCCCTCCTGTTGAGCGACTCGCGCAACACTGTGATGAAATCCATCGACGCCAAGAAAGCGCCAACAGCGGCCCACAACACCCCGCTCACGATTGTGTACGCATCGCAGATGGGCACGTCCGAAACGTACGCACTTTGGCTGTCGCCTCTCGCCAAAGCGCAAGGCTACGATGTCGAGATCATGTCTTTTGCCGATCTCCCGCCCGTTTTGTCCAAGAAATCGCTCATTGTCTTTGTCTGCCCGTCGTACAACGGTTAGAGTTTTTTTTTTCCCAATTGCGTTGCCATTTGTTTTTTTTTGTTCGGGAGATTGGTGATGTTTGACTTTTTTTTTTTGATTCTCATTTGGTCAGGCTTCCCGTGCGAGAAGATGAAGTCCTTCTATGAATACATGCAGACCGTTGCAAGCAGCTCTGAGAAGCCCGAGTTTACAGGCTTGTTTGCTGGCTTTGGGTGCGGCAATAAGCTGTGGAAGAACACCTTCCAGGCCATTCCTCGCGCTGTGGACGCGTTTTTCGAGAGCATTGGCGGAGAGCGTGTCTCGCCCCTGGGCGAAGGCGACGCAGACAAAGACTTGGATCTTGACTTTGAAAAGTGGAGCGCGCTGCTCTGGCCTGCGCTTGCGCTGCGTTTGGACCTGAACTTGGCTGACGGTGAGGCGAAAATATTGAAGGAGGCGTTCGACTCGGTTGTTGCTGTTTTTCTGACGTGATGCGCATCGCTTCCTTCTCAGCTACTCAAGAGAGCGCACCCTCCCAGTCCACGTACGCTTTCGAAGTTTCCAACGCTGCACACCCAGCCGATCAGAGCAACCCCGACTCTGTCCTGTTCACCGTTGCCGAGTCTCGCAACTTGTTCCAGGCAGCACCCGGTGTGCACGTCAACCGCGATCGTCTTGTGTCGCACTTGGTGTTGACCACGGATCGGCCGGTGCAATACCAAGCTGGCGATTACTTCTGGTACGGAAAAGCACCTTTGTCTGAAAATCTTTTCTCGAGCATGCGAATGCTGATTTGGAATTTTTTTGTTGGCTTTTCACTACACATTCACAGCGTTACTCCGCCAAGCAACCCGGCGGTGGTCGAAGCCCTCTGCGCCCGTCTCGGCGTCTCTCCCTCGACGCTCCTCACCATGAAGCCCCTGTTCAGCGGCGTAACAGCCGTGTACCAAGGTGCCAAGCCGCTATCCACAGTCCTCTCGCGCTACTTTGACTGCACGTCCAAGCCGACCTGCAAGTTCTTCCGCTCCATGGCTGCGCATGCCACTGACGCCGACGAGAAGGCTGCACTTCAAATTCTCGCGCTCCTCCTTCTGCCAGAGAATGCGAGCCCCGTCGCTGCCACCTTGGCGCGTCGAATGCCGAGCACGTATCTTGAGGTAGGAATAGGCGACAAAACCCGATGACGTGCGCTGCAGTGTACCAAGTTTGTGCTCACCACTTTTATTCTCTTGTTGCAAACTCGACAGGCGCTCCAACTCTTCCCTTCCGTCAAACCCTCGCTCCAGGACTTTATGCAAAGTGTTGCGCTCACAACACCGCGCTACTATTCGATCGCAAGCGCATTTGCTCCAAACAAGATTGAACTCGGTGTTGGCGCTGTCCAGTACGTCGAGGCAGCCTCTGGAACCCTGGTTCACGGCTTGTCGTCCTCGTGGCTCTGCAGTCTGCCTGTTGGTTCCGTGATTGAAGGGTAAGTTTCGCACATGTTGGGCGTTGAGCTAGTGGAGTTTCAAATGTGCCCTGCAGATGCTCAAATCCTCGCTTCATACTTTTGTTTTGGCAGATCGATCAAACAAGGCGATTCCTCCTTCCGCATGCCTTCGTCGCATCGTGCTCCCATGCTGCTCGTCGCAGCGGGCACTGGCATCACCCCCATGCGCAGCTTCCTGCTTCAACGCGAGCTGGATGCGAAAGATCAGCAAGACTCCGATGCCCCAGAGCCCGCAATGCTCTTCTTTGGTTGCAGGACGCTTGGCGATGTCTACTTTGACGCCGACTTCCGTCGCCTCCAAGACCAAGGCGCGCTGGTTTTGCATACGGCCATCTCTCGTCCGTCTGCCGATGACAAGAGCCCGAAGCAGCATGTCCAGGATAAAATGGAGGCTGAGGCCGAATCTGTGTGGCAGCTGCTGCAAAAGCCGAGTGAGTGAATGGTTGGAGCGGCGTAACGAGTGTTTTGGCAGACATGCAACTCGATTTTTAACTGAACCCCTGTTTTGTTTCCTGCTGTTCAGATTCGCACATGTACGTGTGTGGCATGCCGGCCATGGGCGCCGCGGTTCGAAACACGCTGGTCAAGATTGCTTCAGAGCGGCTTGGAAGCGCTGAAGCTGGCAACGCATTCGTGCAGGAACTGGAGCGGTCTGCGCGCTATTGCCAAGAGGTGTGGGGAACCGACGCGATGGCGTCGCCCTCCACGTAACCCTGTGACTGCTTTCTTCTGTGATTCTTTGACGACAAGCTGTATTGTACGAGTCTTTCATCAATGTAGAGAATTCCCATCTTGTGTTGGAACAAACTGTTTTGCTGTTGTTTTGGACTTTATCACCGTTCACATGGCTCTGCCTCATATTATCATCATGCCAATACAATAATTCTGTCAAAGACTGACTTTATCACCGTTCACATGGCTCTGCCTCATATTACCATCATGACAATACAATAATTCTGTCTCAGTCCTTTTCTATGCACGTGCCACGATGGCACGTGTCTTGCTCCCTGTAACTCAGAACTTGCCGCTCAATCTGAACATTCACTCCACACTCATGAGTTTGACTTGCCTTTCGTCCAGCCGACAAGCCGATCGATCTTCTTGGGCATGTTTGGAGATCACGTTCCACTCGTCCTGAGGCAGCTGGGGCTGATTGCGATCAGCGAGCTTGTTTTGAGCGGAGCTGGCTTCCTCCGAAAGCGTTCGCGCCAGCTCAATGCTTGAAGTTGATTGACCAATTTGTTCAAGATACCGGGAGAGCATTAAGCGATGATGCAACTGCTTGAGTTCGGTCATGACGGGGAGCCAGCGGTTCAACAGTGGGCCAAGGTGGTCAGTCGTGTCTGCTGCCTGTTGTTGCGCATCAATCAAAAGCTGAACAAAGATGGTAAACTTGTTTTCGCCCCGATCGACAAATAATGCATCGAAGAAAGGCTGGGAGAGGCCGTCATGACGCATCTTGAAGGAGACGGTCGAGACCAGCGCCTTGCACAAGCAGCGCGGGTCGTTCTGGTCATTGTCGTTGAGCTTCAGCATGCACTCGGCTAAAGAAGGGTGCCAGACGTAACAGCAATCGTGTTCGTTCACAGCTAGCGCGTGCCAAATGGGGTCCGTTGGCAAGAACACTTTGAGGCAAGTGCGAAGCGAGAACGGCAGGCCAAGCAGAGTCAGGAGCGCCAGAGCACTGGCAGCTGTTCTGTCCGCACATCGAGCCACACAGTTCTCCACAAACTTGGGGAGCGAACTGGACGAGTGATACAACGCAGCGATGAGGAACAACACAATGTGGCGATGCTCCTGCGATGCGCCGACTTTCTGGCATTGTTTGGCGATGTCCTCAAGAGCAGCTCGGCGGTTCGGCTCTGAGAAAATGTTGCCTAACGCGCATTGCATGCGGCCAGCTTCGGCGTCAGACAACCAGGGATCAAGGTGCAGAAAGGCGTCGACAGGAGCTTTCCAAGCCATGGTGCGCACCAAGCAAATAAACACGACCGGATAGGCGGGATTGAGTTTTTGAAGCGAGGAGGCGAGACGGTTGGCGGTGACCTCGGTGTGGTCCGAGTCGTGTGGGTTGTCGCAGATCACAACGACACGTCGCGTTTGCGCAACCTCTGCGATCGCCTGCAATGCGGAATCGTCCAGATCGGTCGTCTCCGACCACAAAATGGCGACTCCCTCGTCGTGGCTGTGGCTACGAGCTAACTGCTGAGCAACGGCTCGCAGAACGGTCGTGCTGCCGCATCCAACAACCGACTGAGTGACAATGATTGTGCTGGGGTTCGCGCCTTGGAGCTGCAGCTTTGCTTGAGTGATGAGGAGCTCTTCAGCATCACGAGTTGCATGCACATTGTGACCCAGCAGGCCCCACGAAATTGGCTGACGCCCGCGGCGAATCCAATCAGCCGCCTGAGCCGCGAGCTCAGACAGAGCAAAGGATTGAGGATGAGCTTGAACCAATGTCAAAGAGGAGTTTCGCCAAGCGAGAAGCGAGTTGGGCAAGGCTCGCGGGACCGCGGGCGGCACAAAAGGCCGAGCTCGCTGTGCAGGAAGATCGAGAAGCACGACCTCAGTAACAGGAGGCTGACTACAGGAAAAATGATGAAGCGCCTCGTTGAGCGGTCCGTTGGCAGTCGTACTTGCAACAGTGGCGAGCAGAACAATCTCCGTTGGGATATGAGGCTCATCAGCGCCAGAAAAAGCAGCAAGTGGATCTTCGTTGGGCAACAAACTCAGACGCTTGCAAGCGGCGTGGTTTTTCACCAGCTGGACTGTATTTGGATCGCTTGACGAATCCACAAGCAACACGCGTGGCGCGAAAGGTCGCCGGCGAAACAAATCATCAAGTGCCTCGAGTGTAGCGGGACTGGCCTGGTCGATGACCGCATCGAAAGCAGCGGCCGAAGATCCGACGGAGCGTGCAAAAGCAGCCGCATCGTCGACGAGCTGGGCCGAATTGGCACAGAGACGAATGCGAAGAGCAATACCGCTCGCGAGCATTCCGAACGAACGAGGAGAGAGGCCACGGGTACGCAGCCAAACGTACAAAGGTCCAACAGTCAGTAGAGCGCGTTCTCGAGAAAGAGCCGTGGTGATCGATCGCGGGGGATGATAGAAGATGGAGCACGGTTTGTCTGAGAGAGGCGCGTTGAACTCGACGGTGATGATGTAGCGAGATGCAATGCCATTTGTCAAAAGGTCCTGGTCGCCAACAGCAGCCAGTACCGCACGGACGTGCCTGTCTACCGCATCACCAGTCGCAGACGATTGCTGCTGCAAAGACCGGAGCTGGTCGAACGGCAAGGCGTGTAGCGTCGGGTTGAGACCTGCTTCTTGCAGTTGATCCGGGGTTACGGCGTCTCGTTGCATGATGACAACGTATCGCCTTCTGTCCGCAAACTGGGTTCGTACCGCTCGTCCTTGGCAGCATTTGAGAAAGACTTGGATGTGGTCTCCATGTACCATGACAATGTCAAAGTCAGATGCTGTGGCTGGAGTTGGAATGGGAGGAGCAACTTGGGTCAAGTGCAGAGACAGGGCGGCTGTTGGAATGCGAGGGACGAATTCTGAAGCCCAGTTGAACAGCTGCTTGCGAGCGCGCTCCTCAAAGTCACTTGGCGCCGAATCCAGTTCGATTCCGATGGCGCAGGCAGGAGAGTCACTCATACCCACGGAGAAAGTGGCTCGACCAGGTTGTAGCAGGGACAGGAAGTGCTCGTTCAGCTGAGAAATCAAGTCTTCCGAGCTGTAGACATAAGGCATCCCCACGTAGGCGTTGCGCTGCCTTCTGCTCGTGCTCTTTCCGAGCCTTGCGCGCTGTCTTCGGCAGGACAGCTTGTACCAGCATGTTCAAACGATAGAGGCCTGACATGACTGACATGAACCGGCGTCTGCCGAGCCGTCAACTCGCGGGCGCCAAGAAATTTAAGTGAGGGGACCCACTCATTTGGGCTCACAGAACGTCGCGTGGTGAACTCACGTCGAAAAGTGAAGCCGAACGTGCTGCCAGTGTTGAAGTCGGTGTCGCTTGAGGTGTCAATGTTGTGGGCGAGAAGCATGACAGCGCCAGCAGGGAGAGGCTGAAGAACCGAGAGCTTCGCAATGCCCATTCTGTCATCATACCCTGCTCCCTCGGCTACTGATGAATGGTCGGGAAATTCCACCCGGATGGTCAGGTTCCAGTGCGACAGAGACTGAGGAGGCTGCAGGGTGAACACGGGCTGAGGCCAGAGTCGTGAAGGCACCTGGTCTTGAAGTGTTTTCAGGATGTTGTCTTTCGACTGGTTTTCAAACCAAATCTCCAAGGCAGACGGCTCACTGTGGTTGAACATGGCTGCAATGAACTTGGTTGTCTTCGGTAGCTCATAGGCGAACCGTTCTAGAACTGTGACCGCCGATGGCCCAGAGCTGTCACTGGGCAAAGACACGTCAGCCATGCAGACAAAAAGGAACTGTGACTGCTTTCTTTGACGACAAGCTGTACTGTACGATGCACGAGTCTTTCATCGAAGTAGAGAATTCCCATCGTGTGTTGTTGGAACAAACGTTTTAATGTTGTTTTGGACTTTATCACCGTTCACATATCATCATCCCAATACAATAATTCTGTCTCAGTCTTTTTGTATGCATGTGCCACGATGGCACGTGTCTTGCTCCCTGTAACTCAGAACTTGCCGCTCAATCTGAACATTAACTTCCACTCATGAGTTTGACTTGCCTCTCGTCCAACCGACAGATCCTGACACTTGTTCTCGAGCGTGGCTTGACTGCATCGCGCGAGCGGGCGCAGATCGCAGCCGCGTTTGCCCAGTTCGAGCCAAAGCAGAGCGCGGCCAAGATCAAAGGTGACCTGACCTGACCTGACTTGACCTGGCTTTTTGCCAACGGTGCTGATCTCGCGCGGTTTCGCTCATCATTTGGATGTTGCTGCATCATCTGCAGAGCTTCTATCGAGTCGCGAGGGTCGCTTGCGGCGGCGTCCTCTCAGCACGCCTCAGTCACTCCCCGACTCCAATCGTGCGGATTGGCGAAATTTCGACGAGGTCACTTTGGACGCCGATGCCAAGTTCTTGACTGTGGATACAAGTCAATCGAAGCAGCCTATGGTGCACTTTGCGATTTTGAAGCCGCCAAGTCGAGCTAACGGCGTCATTGCTGCAACCGAGTGGATGAAGGGCGTTCGTACGGCCGATTGCAAAGCGACCGTCGCGACTTCAGATGCAATAATCGAAACAGTGTCCATTCGGAGTCGACTGAATGGCGCATCGTCGTCAGAGTCAGCATCACTTGCGCACGATTCGCCGTTGCGCAACGCAGTGATGCATTGGAAACCGCACGGGCTGCACACGGTCTCTGCTGGCGTGTTTGTCACTGCCGACTCTCTAGATGACTGTTTGCTACGGCAGAGGCGTCAAGGCGAGCTGATGGCGATGCAGGGATTGACCACTATCGATGATCGACCAACAACAACACAAAACAAAATCGCCCGGCTACACGTGCCACTGCTACCGCGGCGCATCGACACATTGGTCGAACAGGGTCTAACCCATCGGCTGGATTACGCTGTCGGCGGCTGGGTGCTCGGTGGGCTTGACGCCGCAACCGTTCAGCATTTAATCGACGCGCGTCAAAAAGGGCAAATTACATCGCATTACCGACTGCACACCAGTCCAGGACTGCAGTTACAACGCGTATTGGCCGACTTTGTTTTGGAATCCAACGGAGGAGCCACACAACAAGAGCTGGATCTAACCCAATTGAGCAATTTTGGCGTCGGAGCTGCCGCGCAGCGATTGGATGCAGACTGGGTTCAAATTCGAATCATGAGTGACTTTTCAGGTACAAACTACCGTCCGATGCAAGGAGATGGGTACATGACACGTCTGCTTATCCCAGCAAAGCAGATTGCCGAGCGAGCCAAAAGCTGGACCGTTTACGCTTCGATTGTTCGTGGCCATCGTCGGCAAGTTCGCGCCCATACTGCATGGCTCCAACTATTTATTACCGGAGACGAGTACTTTCAAGAGCCTATTGCTACATACAACCTTGGTTTGGTCACTCGTCGTCAAGCATCATCAGAAACGAAACACGATGCCGTTACCATCCAAATGCAATGCGTTGGCTACACACTGCAAGGCCAACTGGTACTCGGGATGCCTCTCAATCCCATACCGCCATTGTGAGCACGAGAATAAGCGAGGCATTGGCTCTGTGGCGTGCAGCTGTTTAAAAACTTGTCTTTGTTCACAATACAGCAAATCTACAACGGTTACCAATTGCGTGCTTAGTTATTGATGATTTACATTGAATTCTAAATCTGGTTCATCAAGTTCACTCTTATTCTTTTCCCCCCTCCAAATCTCAGCAGAATGGGTGCTCAGCTTTCCGCTCATCTCGAGATGGCCAACAAGACTGGCGTTTTCACGCTCCAAGACAAGGGGATATTAAAGGTTTGGCAGCATCATCATGATCCAAGTTACCATGTCGCGGATGATGATGATGACGATGATGATGCACTTTGAGTGATGACTGACCATCATCTCGTTCACTTTGGCTTTGGGCTTTTGCAGGTTCCACCGGAAGTCGAGCGACTCCAAGCCAAGCTCCGCACTATCGATGTCTCTGGCAATCGCTTGACTGCACTGCCTGACTTTCTGGGCGGCTTCACAGTCCTGCGCCAAGTGACGCTCGACCGAAACCGCTTTGGTAAGAACAGCGACCTCATTCAAAGCCAACCTTCGACCCAAACTTTGCAACGAAGATCTTACTGAGGTCTTACTGAGGTCTTACTGAAGCGTGAATGTCGGAAAGAGCGGGAGGGGAGGGGCGTTCGATTGGACGAAACGACCGGTTCCGACGTTTTCTGAGCTGTTTTGAATGTGCGATTTTTGCTCTCGACAGCGGAATTTCCAATCTGCCTCACCAAGATGCCTCGGTTGGAGGTTTTATCGATTGAATCGTGTGGATTGAAGGTCTTGCCGGAAGCGATTGGAGACTGCCCGTCGCTCAAGCGGTTGGTGCTGGATGGCAACGCACTTGCCAGCCTACCAGCCACTATTGGAAAGCTGGTCAAGCTGGAAGCATTGAGTGTCGTTGGGAATCAGCTCACGGCGCTGCCTGACGAGATTGGCGATCTCACCATCAGCGAGCTGAACGTTTCGCGAAATCAGCTCGCGTCGCTGCCTGCTTCCCTCGCTCGCAACCAGTCGCTCAAAATCATCAAGGCGGACGAGAATTGTCTCGAGGATGGCAGCATTCCGCTTGTCGTCTTTGGCGATTCGTCAATATGTTCCGTCACGCTGGAAGGCAATCCGTTCAACTCGAAAAAGATTCGTGAAACGCCTGAATATGAGCGGGTGAGTGTTGTTGCTGGTGTTTGATCGTCTACATGTGCAACACCGCTCACTTTGGACGTTTGCTCTCCGTTCTGGCCCAAACACACAGTACATGAAGCGAGTGACACAAACGCAGATTAAAAAAATGTAGCAAGTCACTTTTTTTTTGCTTGACTTGTTTTGAAAACAAAGAATTTCAATCAAAATCTCGAGCAGCACAAAACACACGAAATCAATAATCTTTACACACACAGAGCAAATGGGAATAAAACCAGGAATGAGAAAAACTCACACACACGAAAACAGAGGATAGAATTGCTGTTCTTGCTGTTGCTGCTTTTTAGAACCGCAGCTTGCCAGGGCAGTACTTGTCAATCAACGACTGGTAATACGGGGTGAGAGCCACTGGGTCGGGAAGCTCGTCAGACTTGGAATAGAGATCAAAGCGGTTGAAATCGTTGACCCACTTGAGCGTTTCCTCGTCTTGCTCGTTGCAAAGGTTGCGGTAGGCGCCAGAGGTGTGCCACGGGTAGAAGGAGTGGTAGCGGATCATGCGCAGGCCCTTCTCGGGGATGGTGCTCTTGTTCATCTTGAGCACATTGTAGAGGTACTCGTCGTGGCCCCAGGACAGCAGGACGTTGTCCAGGCCGCAGTTGGCAGTGTAGATGCCGTTGGGCGTGTTGTACTTGGGGTTGTGCGTGTCGGGGTTTTTGACAAAGTACTCAGAGTAGACGCACTTTTCCGAAGGAGCGGCGCCGACGACGCAAGTGTCGCCCACGGTGGCCCACTGCGGCTCGCCCCACAGCGCCAGCACCTTGCCCAGATCGTGGATGAGGCCGACGAGGTGGAACCAGTCCTCGTTCGGGTACTCCTTGCGAATGCGCTCGGCGGTCTGGAAGGCGTGGAACGAGTTTGGCACGGCCGTGTCCGGATCTGAGTCGTCGACCAGGTCGTCCAGCAGGTGCAGGGCCTCCATGATTGTGAACTCGCCCTTGTTGAGCGCGAGCCACTTTTCGCGGCGACCCTGCACAAACTCGACCGTCTGGTGCGTGCGCATCAGCTCGTACGTGCGGCGCACCGTCTCGGCGCGCTTTGTGTCGGCATAGTTTCGGAACTCCTCCTGCTTCTTGTTGGCGTCAATGTAGGACAGGTCGAACTTGGCGGCGAGTTCGGGGTCGATCTGTGAGAGTCCAAGAGTCAGCATGTAATTTTTCAACCCGATTGTTGTCTGAGCAATTCAGCGCCTCCATCCACAAAGTCGTCGGAATGGGCGACTCGTGTCGGTGTTTCAGTTTCAAAGGGAATCCCACCCATACACAATGTTTATTGCCTTGTCTGAGCAGGTGGATCTTTGCTCAGAGATCCACCAGCCACCAAATTTGGACTTGCCATTCCACCCGGCTTCCCTCTCTCTCGTATTCGACGTCACTTCGCAGTGTCTTGAAACCTCACCATCCACCATAGAAATCCCAGCCTTTTTGAGGATGATGATGATGATGATGATGGAGTGGGGGTTCAAACAAGTTTGACTGAGCCAATGCATTGGACCTGTTTATTGTTATTGTTAGCTCGTTCAGCGTGATTTTCGCGCTACGTCCTTTCCTTTTCTCTCTCTTTCTCTCTCCGCTTCTCTCTCGCCATTTCCTACATCTACCTCCCTGTCTGCCATGTTACGCTGATACTCTACTCCTCCCCCCCCCCATCTCTCTTCTCTCTCTACTCGACCTCAGTCCCAGCGAACCGCACCCGCGTTTTCGAATAAATTAAAAAGCCGGTTTATTCCGACTTTGCCGTTCCCTTTCCCCCCTCCTTACTCTGACTCTGACTCTGACTCTTCCCTCCCTCAGAGTAGTAGAAACAGAGATACAGATAGATGGGGGAACTGCGTTGCAGTCGCTGCAGAAGCCCCAACGGAACGAGAGAATCAAACAAGGTTCTTTGGTGTTTTCCATTGATTCTTCTATTGAATGGGTTGTTTCTAATGTTGTTTGCTTACAGTCGTCGTGTCGGACGAGTTTTCGCGGCTTTCGACTTTCATGATTTGAAAACAAGTGAGAAATAAAAAATCAGAATGGAAGACTGAAAACGGAAAAGGAAAAATAGAATTGGAATCGGAAGAGGATGAAAAACAAAAAGAAACACTAAAACTCAATGGAACTGCTCTGAACAACGGATCGAGGGTGATCTCAACCTTGTAAAAGATGTGGTGTTGCGAGATAGACGTGGTGTTGCGAGTTGAAATACGAGCGAGTGTTTTGTATTTGAGCGGGCTTTCACCAAACATAGGTCTCCTCGAAGGACGCATCGGCAGTTTCGCCCGAGTCGTACAGATGCCTGGCAGAGGCATAGATGAGCGCACTGCTCTCTGCAGCGGCATTGGCAAAGCGGTTGCTGTTCTGGCGAGCTGCAAGACCCCCAAAGAAACATCCAAAACAATGCCAAAGATTGAGTGAGCAAAGCCACCATCGGAAACCAGCACCAACCCCATTCACCACTGACTACATACCTTCGCCGACGAGGAAGTTGGCCATGTACTGCATCGTGTAGATGGCGTCTGCCGAGTGATCAATCACTTCGTTGACCCACTCGAACTGGTTCTTTTCAGGGTGCCACTGGGTTGCGTAGACGGGATACTTTTTGCCTGGTGGAACAGAGTGGTGAAATTCAGTAGATGCGCACGAGGATGAAGCAAAAAGTGAAAGGAACAAATACAAGCAAAAAAAGCAAAAAAAAGCACCAACCTTCAATGGATGAAACAAAATGAACACCCTGGCGATCGTAGTTGGTTGACAGCACGTTAAAGAACGACGTGAGAGCAGCGGTAGCATTGAAGGTCTGAACAAACAAAAAGAAAGATTGATGGTTAAATTTTCGAAGCTCGCCCACTCGCCCATGACCCCGCACCCCGCATCCACAGTGTTTTGTTCCAAATAAAATGCCTCTTACAGAGACATAGACGCTCAGCATGTGGTTGTTCATGGTAATGTTCTTGGTGGCAAGGTTTTGAATGATGATTGGCTGAGCGCGACCAAACATGCGCGAATAAGCAAACTCTGGACGGAGCATGTTCCACACACACACACAGATACGTTGGATTGTGAGTAAGCAAGTGTGAGTCACAAGCATGCCATGTCCACTTGCTCATCAAAACACAAAACACAAAACACAGAGGCGTTTGTACCGGGAGTAAAATCCAACGCAACAGTGTAATTCTCGGCGTCGACCGATCCCAGCACATTGGCGTTGGACACGAGGTTGTTGATGAGCTCAAAGCCCATGCAAGTGCCCCAGAGCGGCATGTAGATTCCGGCATCGTTGAGCTGCAGAATGGTATTGTAAATGACCAGCGCGGTCGAGTAGAACTGCGTCCCGACCGAAATGTCTGCGCCGCCGCCCGTGAACAGCACGCCATTGAGCGACGCGACCAGCGTGCGCACGTTGTCCGCAGTCTCGTTGTAGAAGATCGGGGCGACGCGCGCGCCGGCAGCCTCGACGTACTTGACGTAGCTCGCTGCAATGTACTGCTCGCCAGTGTTCGGCCCGGGCTGCGCCAGAATGCCTAGGGGATGCAATGACAAGGGTTTGTAGTGGTGAGAGTGTGGAGCTTTATCCAATGAGCGACGTGGGGGGGGGACAAGCTGGAGCGGAGGGTTTTTCAAGTACTGATGGCGCAAAGATTGCTCCGCATGGAGGGTCCACGTAGTAGGACTTGGCTGTTTGGCCATCCATTGGCTTGACAATAAGCGAAGCCCCCCATTCGAACTCACCGATGATGGGGCGCGTGGTCGTGGCTGCGTCGACCGACGATGCCGCAATGCACAGGATAGCGGCAATGCCGACCCACAGCAATCCGCCTCCGAGCTGCATTTGCTTGTTAGGTTTGGTTAAAATGAGAAGCCTATGAAATAAAAGTGAGCTTGATTAGAGTCATGATGCTTTGGTGTCGCTGATCTGATTGATTCTCTGAGCAGATTCTCAAATCAACGAATTTAAACAAAATCAAAAAAAAAAAAAAAAATCCAGTCTTTTTTTTTTTTTTTTTTGTTTGTTTGTGTTAGTTGAGGTACAGTTTTTACTAATCGCGATCCTAAGAACTCGCGTTTTCATCCGTTTTTGTTCCATACTCTTCCATTCACCGAGTCAGTTTGCGCCATCACTCCGGTGAATTTTTATTATCATTATTATTATTATTATTATTTTTTTTCCCGTCTTTTTCCTTCTTTTTCCCCTTCGCTCTCTCTTTCCATTGCGTTTGTAACAAAGCAACATTCGCTCTCGTCTTCTGCTTGTCCTTGTCTTGTTGCTGTGGACGAACACTCTTCCAACCCTTCTTCTTTTCAACAACAAAACCAAAAAGGCAAAGCACAATACAAATCGAGTTTTTTTTTTTTTTTTTTTGTGCCTTTTTTTTTTTTTTTTTGTTGTATTGATTTTCCATTGCCTTTCCGTCTCTCCCTCTTTCTCTCTCTCGCTGTCTCTGGGTTGACGTTTGGGGGGGGGGAGCTCGCTTTTGACTTTAATCCTTGCATCGCGTGTCTCCGCTCATTGTCGCCACTTCACCTCTCTGTCGTCGCGCTCTGTCTCTTCCCATCGCCAAGGTGCTTGCTTTTTTTTTTTTTTTTATTTGTTATGATGATTTTTTTCTCCTTTTCTCTCTTCTTCTTCTCTCTCTCTTCGCTGTGCGCTCCTTCGTATCTCTCATCGTATCATCGTCGTACACACACACTGCAGCAGTCGCACTCGCCCGCTTCGGTCGCTCTCTCGCTCGCTCGCCGTCTTTTTGTATTCATTCTGAAGGCCCAATTTTTTTCTTTTTTTTTTCTTTTCCTTTTTTTTTCTGTTACTTTTTTTTTCTTCTTTTTTCAATCTTTGCCTGAGTTTTTTGAATTCAGAGTTTGAGCAACGACGACAACTCAATGCTGAGTGCAATGAAAATGATGAGCACGATTGAAGCGAGATTGAACGATGGCGTGATCAACAACGCTGAGATTGAGAAAGCAAGAGAAAGAGATGAAAAAGACGGGGACAGAGTCGCTCAGAAAGCATGTCTTCACTTTATCATCGACCTTTCCCTACACATACTTTAGAAAAGCACCGAGACTGAGAGAGAGAGGAGGACGACATCACGAGAAGAATACATCTCTCAAAGTCGCTCAAAAAGTCCCACTGACCCTTTCCAACTGACCCTTTCCTTTCACTTGCGTAACTTCTATCAGACTTGACAACACAAAATCCGAATGGCGACGCGCAAGTGGTTCCACCCGCATCTGACGGGCCTCGAGGCCGAAAAGACACTCAAGGAGAAGGGTTTTGACGGATCCTTCCTCGTGCGCCCATCCAAGTCCAACCCGGGAGACTTTACGCTGTCTGTGCGCCGTGGCACCGAAATCACCCACGTCAAGATCCAGAACAGCGGCGACTTTTACGATCTGTACGGCGGCGAAAAGTTTGCCACCCTCTCCGAACTGGTCGAGTACTACATGGAAAACCAGGGCCAACTGCGCGAGAAGAACGGCTCCATCATCAACCTGAGATACCCGCTTCTCTCCGAGGATCCCACCAACGAGCGATGGTTCCATGGCAACATTAGCGGCAAGGATGCCGAGACGCTTCTTCAGAGCGGTGCCGACGGTTCCTTCCTCGTGCGCACCAGCCAAAGCAAGCCCGGCGATTACTGCTTTTCCGTCCGGTAGGTTTTCAGAGTTTAAAAGTGCTATTGTCCTTTTTGCTCTGCGATTTCTGAAGCTTTTGTCGAGTTTTTTTTTTTTTTTTTTTTTTTTTTTTGCTCACTTCGATGCTCAATTTCTTTCCTCCCCCACGCGCCCACCCTAGTGTCACGGACAAGGTCACGCACGTCATGATTCACAACCGCAAGGGTCGCTATGATGTCGGCGGCGGCGAGTCGTTCTCGGACTTGACCAAGCTCGTTAACTATTACCGCGAAAACCCGATGGTGGAAACGACCGGCTCTATTGTCACGCTCAAGAACCCGCTGAACGCCACCAAGATCAACGTGTCGTCCATCAAGGGCCGTGTCACCGAGCTGGAGAAGGAGACGGATGAAATTTATGGCAAGGCTGGTTTCTGGGAGGAGTTTGAGCAGCTGCAGCAACTCGAGTCCAAGAACTTGTACAGCCGTGTCGAAGGTCAACGCCCCGAGAACAAGTCCAAGAACCGATACAAGAATATTCTTCCATGTGAGTTGGTTTTGGGGGATTTTTTGTGTGCTTTTTGGGTTCAAGGGCGACATCTCATTTTTCTCATTTTTTTTGTGTGTTTTCGCAGTCGATCACACTCGTGTCGTTTTGCAAGACGTCGATCACAGCGAAGTTGGCGCGGATTACATCAACGCAAACTACATCTCGGTACAGAGCTAAACTCACTAGATAGGCGGTGCTCGATTTGAACAAACGACTCACTTTTTTTTTTTTAATCTGCTGCTGCTTTGCTTCTTTAGGGCGAATACCCCGATCTCGAGCGCGCATACATTGCCACCCAAGGCCCGCTGCCAAACACGATCGATGCGTTCTGGCTCATGATTTACGAACAACACTGCCAGGTCGTCGTCAACACCACCAACGAGACAGAGCGTGGCCGCACCAAGTGCGAGCACTACTGGCCCGACAACGCCGATCCAAAGCAGTACGGCCACATTATCGTCTCATTCAAGGGCGAGGAGGTCTTCCCCATCTACGTCAAGCGTGAGTTTGAGATTGCACACTTTATGCACGGCGCGCCCTTCCGCGTGCAGCAGTTCCACTACACGTCGTGGCCAGATCACGGTGTCCCCAAGGACCCCGGCGCCGTCCTCAACTACCTGCGCGACGTCCGCCAGGCTCAGGCCTCCTTCCCGCGTGCCGGCCCCATCATTGTCCACTGCAGCGCTGGTATCGGTCGCACGGGCACGTTCATGATGGTTGATATTCTCATGAACAACATCCAAGCCAAGGGCATTGACTGCGAGGTTGACATTCAACGCGCCATTCAGCAAATTCGTGGCCAGCGCTCTGGTCTTGTCCAAACCGAGGTATGTTGTCGTGCTGTTGTGTGGCTTGGATTTTGTTTGCATTGTCGATTTGTTTGTTGCTTCCCCTCACTTTTCTCTGCTTATACTTCCCCGCTAACAGGCCCAGTACAAGTTCGTCTACCTCGCAATCGCTCACCACATTGATACCCTCCGCGCTCGCATTCTCGCCGAGCAGCAAGTCAAGGCTGTCGGCGCTCCCTCTGGCCAGGAGGCCTTGTATGGCAACATCCACGGCAGCCACTACGAAAACCTTGGCGCTCGCAAGCAGCCCACAGGCGCTGGTGCGCAAGCAACCAATGCGATGCTGCCTGTTGGCGGCTGGGGCGCGCTTGCCTCGAAATCCGGTGGCCCAGCGTAAGCGCGAATGAGTTTGCTGTGTTTGTTTTTGTTTTTTGTGTATTTCATGTTGCGTTTCGATCTCTGCACTGACCCCTTTTTTCTTCGAAAACCGAATGCTGTGTCATTGTTGTTTTAGTGCTCCGACGGCCGCAGCCGACAACGGAGAATACGCAAATGCCGAAATGCTTATGCGACAGAACCAATGGAAACCGAATGCTCCCGCCGAACCCAACTATGAGAACATTCCCGGCCGCAAGCGTTAACTCTTTGTCTGTGTGCTTGTGTGTGTTTTTTTCTGTGTGTTTGCGTTCGCTTTGTTGGTGCATGGTGATTTTCGTGTGTCTGGTTGGTTTTACACGATATATGAACAAGTCTTGCTTCGTTTTACAACAAGAGTCGAACCCAGTAGATGACAGTCAGGGTTGGAGCGATGAGAATGAGAACAAAGCGAAAAACTCATTCAATGCTGAAATTGCCGAGTTAACGTTTTCCAACCGAAACAAAAGGCCATTCTGGATAGAATATTGTCACAGAGGTATAAATCGATGCGCAGGTTGCTTCATTTCTCAGACTGTCTGAGTCAGTCACTTTTCCATTGCTTTTTCCATTGTTTCTCGTTCGTTGACCTCATCGCAGTCTCTTGCCCCCCCCCCCGCATCGATGGCGTCCAAAAAGTCGAATGCGCGATGGAACGCTGCTGCCAGTAGCTCGACGACTCCCAGCAGTCCTGGCACTGGTCTCAGCACTGGCAGCACTGGCATTAGCAGCAGCAGCAGTAACAAGAGCAGCAGCAGCACAAGCAAGTCCGCCGCGGCCGTCGCTGCCGTCGCCGCTGCTACCTCAGGCGTCACTGGCGGCGGCTTCTCACAGCACGAGTTTGTTGCGAACGTCTATGGCGAGGACTGGGCGCGCATGATGAACTCGACCAACTACGATCCGGTACTGATCTGCATTGCACACTCTCGAACTGTGATCATGACGTTTTTGCATGGTTTGAGACGACTTGACACTAACCTTGTCTGTGCTTGTGTGAATGCTGTGCGTGAATCTTGGCGCAGTTTGAGCCGCTCGGACACGTCGTTCGCATCTTACGTCTCAGGTCTGAATTCTACAACAAGCGCTGAGATGTCGCAAAAATATGATCAAAGGCTGACTTGCTGGATGTGAATTTGAATGTGTTTGAACAGCTCGGACGAGCACGAGCGAAGCAAGAAACGCGAGGCGTTGGTCAATGAGTGCAATCGGCTCGAAGCCAAGATGGACGAGATTATCAGCGGTGAGTGCGGCAGTGTTGTCAGAGCAACATCGTGATTCGATGAGCATGCCACTATCGTCAAATGCAAAGTGGATGATGGCCGTGTGGAAGCAAAGGCTCACGTTTGCAACGGCTTGGTTCTGATGTTTTTTTTTTTTGTTGTTCGAACAGTCCACTACAATGACCTCAATGAATCGATGCGCATCTTCCAAAACGTGGTCGGTCGCATCACGGGTAAGATTATCTTGACTCCTGCAAGGAGTGAGAGTGACCGAAAAAAGAATCTCATCATCGAAATCCGATTTTGTTTTTCGCTCGCCAGACTCAAAGCAGAGGATTGTCAAGCTCCGAGCAGGCATTGCTCGATGCAAGCAGTTGCTGCAGTTCAAACGTGACAAGCTGCACCAGCTCTGGATTGAGCACATCGAGTACAAGGAGATGATTCGCCTGTTGGACAAAGTGTAAGGCATTTTCGGTGTTTTTCACTTTTGTTCCAACCACTTGCTCCATCGCTCACTCGAATATGTGAATCTCCTGTTTTGGCTGGGCGTGTGTGTGTACCTTCGCAGCGAGACGGTTCGTCGTGTGCCAGACCAGATCGACGTGCTGATCGGAAGCAACCACTATTTGCGCGCCACTCGATTGGTGGTTGAAACAATCAACACGCTCGAAATTGACCTGTCGGGCGTCAGTGCTCTGGGAGATTTGCAACAAGAGCTCCGAGAGAAGAAGAAGGTTGGTTGCTACCAAAAACATGCGTTCTTCTACTTTTGATTGAAAAACCAGAAACACTAAACCCCAACCCGGCGCTACAGATGTTGTTTGATGTCATTCTTGAGGAGCTGCACAAGCAAGTGTATCAACGGAATGTCCCATTCGAGACCAGCGCGGCTGCTGCAAAACGCCGCGCAGAGCAAGCTGCTGCCGCCGCCGACGTTCTATCTCCGGCCAAGACAACGCAACCCGAACCGCAAAGCGACGACGAGGATGGTACGGTGCTATACATCTGAGAAATTATGATTTTGAAGAAATCGCATGACATTGACCTGTGTTCTGTTTGACTCGCCAGAATTTGTTGTCGTTTCCGCCGTCGAGCCATTCGATCCCAAGCATCGCCCAATGCGAGATCATGCTGTATGCGTTGCGTTTTCTTTGTTTCTTTGTCGTGGACGAAACGTTTGATTTTGTTTGAGCTCATGAGTGCACGTTTTCCCTTCGGTGACAGATCGATGATGACATGACCCCGAACCCCGAGCGTGATCCTGCCCACTACGTCTTCATGCTGCTAGAGTCACTTGCGCTGTTGCAGCAGCTTCCTGCGACAGTCAAGGTATGCATGCAGGCCTTGTATAGCTTGAGCATTGTGAGAAGCAGCACTGATTTGCTATTTTATTATTGTACTGCAGGCATTGGAGCAACGACTGTCGTCAGAGTTGTCTCGCTTGGTTCAAGATGCCGTGGTCTTTGTTGAGAACACGTACGATTCTTCTTGTTGCGGCTCACGTGTTTGACTCTCTACATTTGACTCCTAACCCTCCGGTTTTGCGGTTTTTCGCTGTAGATTTGTGATCAACAACCTCAACTCATCGTCTACAGCGGCGGACATTGCGTCATCAAACGTCCACCAGCCCATGCTGTTGGTGGAGCTGCTCAACGTGGTTTTTGCGCGTCTGTGCGAGGTCTTGAAATGTCACGTCTTTGTGCTGCAAGTTCTTCGCTACAAAATTCGTCAGCACGAAACTTCCGTCAAGGTAGCGTCCGAATTAGAGCTTGGTGTGTCTGCTTTATTGGTGAAATTTCGTGCACTTACGATTGGTTTTTCTCGTTTTGCGGCAGAGCACGCGAGGTCCCGCAGCGGGCAAGCATTTCTCCCAAACACTTGAAGCCTACGCTTTCTTTTCACTCATTCTCCACGTTTTGTTTTGCAGAGAGTCAACTAGCCGCTGTGGCATTGTATTCTGAGAATGACATCTGGTCTGCCGTCCAGCACGAGGTTTGTTCGCGATTGTTCTCTCTTTAATTTTCAGCCACATTGCTCACTCTCACTTTCTCAACTTTTGGTAGGTTCAACTGCTGCTGTGTGACTACTTGAATGTCCCGAAAGACACACATTCCGCCGCAAGCACCTTCTTGTCATCGATCAACACGCCCGAGGACATCAACGACGGTGACATTTTGCTCAATCCCAGCAGTTTGTTCCATCACAAGGCGGCTTCCAAAAAGAAGGTATGCCGATTGTTTTTTTGCTGCTATTTACCGCTGTGTGACCACACATTGCGCACTTTTCGCACGAGGCTGACTTCACTTTGAAACTGGTACCTGCAGCTGTTCAGCTTTTCAAATTCGCACCATGCAATGGCCTTGCAAACAGTCACGCGGCAAGATGAACAGCGGCGAACGCTGGTACGTCCTTCCACTTGTTGCACGACTTTACGTTGTGATTTCGATGATCATCTCATTGTTTTCTTGTTCTTGCGCGTTTTCGCTCTCGCTCTCTTTCTCTCGCGTGCATTCAGTCTGGACTGAGTGGTCTCCCTCAACCGGGGCCACAAGTCGCGATTGCCAGCGACATGTACTCTGTGGGCGAGAGCGGCTTTGCAGCCTCCCATCTGCTTTGTCATCCAGATCCGCGCAACGTGGTGCACATTTTCGCTGCTGTCATGACCATGACGCGCCATGCGGAGACGGATTTGTTGCCCGAGACATCGTGAGTAATCGGTGGTTGCCGTGAAACAACGACTTTTTCACATCTCACGTTGCACAACCTGCAGAGTCACGAAAGATACGCTCCGCCAGTTCCTGACGGATTTCGTCGATCAGACCTTCTTGCGGCTGGAAAAGGAAGAGGTTACGCGCCGCGCCAAGCTGGCAATGGAAGGTAAGTGCAAACTTGATTGATCATTGTTATTTGTTTGTTTGTGAAAACCGGAAACTGACACGCTGATCTTTGCGCTGCGCAGATTCCGACGCATTCAAAGTCCCTCGTGACGGCCTCAGTTTGGCAAAAGACACGCAGTTCCCTCTGTTGCATGTAAGACTGCCATTTTTGGGTTTCAGTTGACTTTTTGACTAACGTTTCGATTTCTTCGGTGGTTTGCAGAGCGCCGCAAACGTCGAACGCGTCATCCGACAAGTCTGCTTCCTTCCGCTCGAAATGCCGGCGTATGCCAATGAATTCATGTCCATGGTGACGACCATTCTTGACCGCTATCTCGACTTGTGCCAAAATGTGACTCGAGGTTCGTACTCGCTTTGGTCTGCGTTGTTGGTTGTCCTGCTTCAGCGCCAGCTCTTCATGTGCTCACTTGGTGGATTTTCTTTGAGCAGGCGCCATCTCTGGGCGCAAACCCGCGGGATCGGTTGAAATCCCCATCTTAAGCGGCGTCTGGGCCACCAATGAGCGGATGGTTGCGGTCATGCAGCAGTACAACTCTTGGCAGAGGTTGAAAGGTCGACCGGACACGACGGGTGCATTGGTGCGTGCACATGACGCAGCACAGCACATTTTTTGGTTCTGATTACCTCATGCTGTGTTTTCTAACTCGATTTGTTTATCCACGTTTGCACAGATGGACGATAGCGACCCTGCGCTTTATGAAGAGGTTTGTCCTATTATGATCGCCCTTAGCCTTGCCCAATCGTTTGCTCAATTGGATTGGTTTGATGTTGTTGTTGTTCCAGGAGTTCACCTTGCAGTCCGCTAGTCTGGAAAACAAGCCGGTGGCCAAAACAGCGCTCATTTACGACTTGAGTGCCGTTAGCTTTTTGGCGCATCTCCATCACAGCCTGGTAATGATTTTGATGGTCATTTGGGTTGGTGTTGCGTGATGCGGAATCAAATTCTCACCGTTTGTGATATGCTTTCCAGGAATGGTTTGCTCGTCACGTTCGCCTTCTGTTGCGCCGATTGGTGCAAATGCCGGATGATTTGTGGAATGAATTGTCGCAAGATCCTCAAGTCAACGCAGCCGCGGCCATGGCCGACCCGCTGCTGGACAATACCTCGAGCCTTGCGTCCGCAAATCAACCCATTCTCCGTCAAGCTGATGAAGATCACAACATTTCCCCAGCGTTGCTTGCGTGCGTTCTGATTTCTTTTGTTGCTTGTTGCGATGTCGTCCCGCTGCGCGTTTTTGTTTCTGACATCGGTCTCTGTTGTCGTAGGACTGTGTCACCTGTGGTGGAGCAACTCCGTGATTTGTCACGCCAGTGCTTGATGACGCTCCGACTGGAAGTGCGCTCGCGCTGCTTCTACTCGCTTCTTCCCGTGATGCAGAAGGTCGGTCGATGCCATTAAACTTTGCCACTCGCCCTTCTCGCTCTGTTTTTTTGTTTTTGCGTTCTTGCTCGACTCACTATGACTTCCTTTTGTAGTCCAACTACTACTGCGACCGCGAAGAAACAGAGCCCGATCCGTTGGTGGCGGGCTTGAACAAGGAGCTCAACATTTTGGAGGAAACAATGGCTGCTGCGCTCTCCCCTGCAAAGATTCGCTTCATCTTTGACGGCGTGCCACACCTCTGCAAGTCCATCCTCATGCGCAATCTGCACTCCATCAAGCGTATCAACAAGCACGGCGTGAACAAGATGTGTCGCAGCGTGTTTGCTCTGGAACAAAACCTCAGCAACATTACGAAAACGGGCGATGTTGGTCTCGATCGCGCTCGGGCTTACTTTGAGCTGCTTGTTCACAAGCGCGAGGTACGGTGTTTGAAGATGCTGGCAATGCAGCTTCTGTTTGAGTTGGAAACAAACTCATCTTGTCGAGGAAACACAACTCCAATAGGATATTCTTGCCGACGTGGAGGCCGAAGGTCCCGGATTTACGCTGGAAGAGTACAAGGCCATCTTCGAACTCATTCACAAGTCCAAGACAAATGAAGATCCGACAATTCACTCTGGAAACATTGAACGGCTGGAGCTCGCAATTTCACGAGCCAACACCCGTCTGCGTGTTGCGCCTGCGCGCTCTTCTTCTGCCGTGTAGCGATGATTTGAAAACAACAGATGAAATGGTGTGTTTCATGTGACTGTGCTGTTTCGCCTTGTGAACGATTTGTCCAAGAGCAGCAGCACGGAATACATTTGCGTCTCTTTTGCCAAACCGAGAACATGATGCTGCACTGTATTCTTTGCGTGCTTTATTCAAACCAGGACCGCGTATGCATGGCGTACACTCGCAACACAGACTGCAAAAAAAAAAAAAACAGCAATGGTGCGATCTTTACTTGTTCCCAGGGCTGTTGTCGAGAGGCAGACCCTTGGACCTCCACTCGCCAATGCCACCAATCAAGGAAGAGACGGAGGTGTAACCCATGTCCTGAAGAGCCTTTGCAGCCAACGCCGAGCGGAAACTGCGAGGAGAACACACAAAGATCCCAAAAATCTAAGACTTAACTAATCGCTCCAAAAACATGAACATCCGCTTCTTTACCCGCCGCCGCAGTAGAGAACAAGGTTGGCCTTGGTATCCGGAACAGTCGCCTCGATGTCACGCTCAATAATGCCCTTGCCTACAACCAACAGGATTCAGCGTAGCGTGAGTGTTTTGTGAGAGTTACATCCTCCTCTGATCCACTAAAATTTCAACAATGCCAGAAAATCACTCATCTTGACATGAGCGAGCCTTGTTGAGTTGCTTCTCCATGCAACTCCATTGTTGGTGGGCTTTACCAAGGTGGATGGCGCCGGGGATGCGCGAGGCAGTCCATTCAGCGTCCTCGCGCACGTCGATCAGCAGCGAGGGCTTTGCGCCTGCAGCAATGGCCTTCTTCTGGTCGGCGTTGAACTGGTCGATCGTGACTTCCTTGACCTTGCTCTTGGCCGCGTTCACCTGCGCAATGAACTGAGCGCCGGCCTGTCAAAAACCGATCCACCAAACGATTCACCAAACGATTTCGCCTCGTTCCAGTTGAGTTTTTGAATGCCACGCACGCCCATACAATAAGGAACATGATTATTCAGATGTGACATTACAGGATAGCCGCGGCGGAGCGCGAGTGAAATCGTCGATGCGAGCTTTGGTGCAGTGAATCGCAGCATTTGGAACAAGCTATTGCAATAGTAGGAAGACTGGACTTGCTGAACAGGGATTGAGATCATCATGAATTCGAGATCGAGTGAACAATTCGGCGTGGATCAGCAAGCATTCAAAACGTGCATATTGGGTGTAAAAAATACAAACGAAAACAAAAACAACTACGAAAACAAAACTCGAGCATCAACTACCACGACACCGCGCTCAGATGTGCACGCGGTTGCGAGTCAGAATCCAAGACACAACTTCCTCGAGCAGAGGGAACTGGTGGTAGCGGGCAATGCTGAGGAAGACGCGCATCGAGGAAACGAGCGGCGCGGTGGCGAGGGTGTTGCGCCACTGCCCGGAGCAGCCGCAGAAGCTGGACATGTTGTCGCCCTTGACCTGGCCGCATGTCAGGCACATGAGATCCTGCAGCTGGAACGTGACCGAGAAACGCTGGACAATGCTGGTGAGCTGGGACTCGATCGAGTCGCGGTTGTACTCGGCGTTGCAGTCGACGCAGTGCCAGGCGCCGCCGTTGGCCGCGAGCAGCTCGGGGTTTCGGCACAGATCGAGGTCGCGACAAGAGTTGCACGCTTCGCAAAAGACCTCGCAGAGGGTGAACGAGCGACACGGGTTGCGGAAGACGCTCTCGGGACTGAACTCGCGTGCGTTGATCAGCCGGAGCAGGCTCTTGCGCATGAGCGACACTTCTTCAAACAAGTCCTTGTCGAGCGCCAGGACGTGGCACACCGACTTTGTAAACTCGAGCGCTGGATTGTGCAAGGGCAGGTACGAACCGGGAAGTTGGGGGAAGTCGACACCAGCCTCGCTCGACGAAGAGTCGCCCGTCAAGGCGTTGTGGATTTCGCGCACAATCGAAAACAGGCGCTGGGAGATTTGGGAGCGCACCAACTTGCGCGAAAAGGCGACCTCCGACTTGGCAATCTGCAACGCAGCCTTCTTGCCCTTTGCAGGTCGGCCTCGGCGGCCTGGCTTGTCTGAATCGTCCATGTCGTTGGGGTCTTTCGGGCGATGCTCTTCCAGCACCCATGCCGCATGATCGTCTTCTTCTTCTTCTTCGCCAGCGTCTTCGCCGTGGTCGTCCTCATCTTCCTCCTCCTCGTCGTCGTCCGCAGCGGGAGTATCTTCGAACGCATCGAGGCCAAATGCGGGGCGACCAGATGCGGCAAACGCTTCATGAGGATCAAAGTTTGGATCGGCATCGTTCAGCCCCGCGCTTGCTGCTGCCGCCCGAGATGCAGCCATTTTGCGCTTCAGCGGCGTTAAACCATTTCCGCGAGCAGTGCGCAGCTCCAGGCGGTTTTGGTACACGGCGTGCATAAACTCAGTCACAATGACGTGGAAGGGCTGCTGCGTCGCAACGGGCAAGTACTCGGCCAAGTTCCAGTGCATGTCAAACACAATTTTGGGCTTGCGCTGATGCCGGTGATGCTGGGAAGACCGCTGCGAGCGCTTTGTCTGATGATGCTGGGCTTCGTCGGGTTCAACATTCATGCTTTCGGCGTCGTCGTCGTCGTCGTCGGGGCTTGCATCCTCGGCTTCTTCAGCTTGCTCGCCATCGTCGTCGTCGTCTTCCTCTTGCTCTTCGTCAGCATCATCATCCTCGGCATCGTCATCATTGTCGTCGGCGTCGTCTTGCTCGATAAGCTCGCCTTCGTCATCATCCTCGTCGCCATTGTCCAATTCGTCACCTTCGTCGTCAGATCCGGGACGAACACGCTTGCGACCTTGATCCGCATCGGCATCGGCATCGTCGTCTTCGTCGTCGCTGAACACTGCGCGCTTTTTGCGTTTGCTGGGTCCAGCAGCAGCCCTTGCCGCTTCGGCAGCGATACGACGCTCTTCCATGAGCTGCTCGCGACGCCTGACGCGCTCTTGGCGCGCTGCTTGTCGCGCGTCCAATTTGGCATCAGCGGCAGCAGGTTCAGCGGCAGATTCGGCGTCCTGTGCAAAACTTGCGTCGTCCGCCAAACGGCGCGAAACACCCGTTGGCTTGGATGCCGACGCCCCCTTTTCCGCTTGCTGAGAGCGACGAGGCGTGGCTGGCGCCTTGGAAGGCGTTGCCGGCATGGACAAGCGCCCGCCGTCCACACTCAGGCCCGAGCCGCCATGAGACTGCGCCAGCAGCTGGTTGAATGCGTCGCCGAGCTGAACGCCGCCATAGTTGGCCTGGTCCATCCACAGCAAGCCATCCCACCAGTTGGTCGCGGTGATTTCGATGCCACCAAACAGGGTTTTGTTGCGCACGTTTTTCACGACGTAGTCCACGTAGGCAACAGCGTCGGGCAAGGTGTGCTTTTTCGTGCTCAGCACAATGCGGTTGAAGCTGGCATACACAATGGTAGCGCCAAGGCGACGGAACTCGGCCAACAGCTGCAAAAACAGTTTGCGCATCATGTTGGAAATCATCTTGCACAAGCCGGGATCGTACAGGCTGGACTCTGGCGATTTGAGCCAACGGTAAAAGTGCACAAGCAGGGCGTCGGCGTAAAAGTTGCGGTGGTGCGTGACCTCTCGCAGCCAGGTGTGCACTAGCGATTTGAGCACACGGAAGGCATGGCCGCACAGGGCCGACTCGTCAAATGTGGCCGAAAGCATGTTTGCCGCGACGTTCATGCCAGCGACCTGCTCTTCCATGGTGCGAGCAGGCGCCATGTCAAAGCCAGCCACCACGCCAGCACCGCCATCAATGTCGTTCACGTGCGCAGACTGCAGGACAGTGTTGACGGCGAGGCGGGCGAGGGACAGCTCCACGCACACGTGCGGATAAGCTCCTGGCACGTTGAGCTCGACCACTGGGGCGGACGACGACGGCAGTGTGCCACTTTGGCGTGCAGCGTTGAACGAATCGAACGACGACGCATTCGTCGTCCCGTCCAGCAGTGCAGCAGCTTCAGCGTCGTTCGCCGTCGCAGAAAGGGCGGCGCCAGTGATGCCAGCGTTGCCAGAGCCGCCAGCGCCTCCTGCTCCCCCTCCGTGGTGCGCAGAACGTGCTGCTGGGGGCACAATCTGAACCTCGCCAGTCAGCAAACGCGAGTCATCCTCCTCGCGACCACCAAAATCGGGCAGCTCGCCCTCGGCATGCATCCACAGCAGAGAGGCGTTGTTTCTCAGGTGACGCGCGTAAAACAAGTCCGCTGCAACCAGCCCAGAGTCTGCTGGAAGATTGCCCAAGGGAATGTGGGCGTAGCGGGCAAAGTTCAACTGGAACTCGACGGTGCGGTCAATCGAGAGGAATTCTTGCATGAGTCGACGGACAACATCGCGGTGCCAGCCCAGGGACGGGTAGACGTTGTCTTGCGGATGCTGTGGACAAGTGACCACGGGCAGATTGCGGAGCGCGGGAACGCCATCAGCAGCCAACGCCGCGGGCGGCACGACAGACGAAGCAAACACAATTGAGGGACCAGGGCGGTCGTCCAAGTAGGTGGCAAGGATGCGCTGCAAGGCACGGTGGGCCTGAGTCGTCGAGATGACTTGTCGGACTTCAAACTCCACGTCCTTGCTGGGCAAGATGGCCGCAACTTCGGCCTCGTCCTCGGCCTCGTCCATGCTCGTCTCCTCCTCAAACGAGGCTGCGCGCTTCGAGCGGCGTTCTTCCAGCTGGGCTTTTCGCACGCTGGTCCAGTAGTTTTGGTAGATGCGCTGGACATTGGGCATGTCGTGGGTGTTGCGATACGGATCAATGACAAGCACGTACGCGCGTCCGCCCGTCGCCACGCCTTGACCAGCGGCGGTGGATCCGCTGGGTGCGCCGTCAATAAACAAGCCAATCATCCCACGGGTATCGCACTGAGTGTACGACAGGAAAATGCGGCGGAAGCTGCCGGGCTGAAGATAGCCGCACTCGCCAGTCGTGCGGTACGTCAGCTGGTCGAGCGAAAACGAGTCGGGTGCTGTTGTCAGGTAGCGGCTCACGTCGCGCTGCACAGAGCACACACATCCCAGCTGGATCAGCGCACGGGTGAGCAGGGGAAGCTTGAGCTCGTACATGCCGGCAATGTTGGGGTCGGTGAATCGGTTTAAAATCTCCTGCTGGCGCTCGCGAAAGTCGACCTCGGGCATCGACACCTCGTAGAGGGTGTGGCACTTTTGCATGCGAGGCAGAATGCGCGTCACACGCGGGTATCGGTTGTCGGGGTTTGGGACAATCATGTTGACGTAGAATGTGCGCGGAATGTCGAGGTGCAGCGCGTGCATCGACCCTGCAACAAGCGCCCAAGCTTTGAAGCGTCCTGGCAGTTCAGTTGGCTCGATCTGCATTGGTAGAGCAATCGCCGACAGACACACAACAACAACAACAACAACAACATCAACAACAAAAAATCAAGGAAAAATTGAGACAAAACCAAAGCGAATCGACAGCACAAAATGCCACAACAAAAAGAGGCCATACCGTCACCAGATGCCAGGGACTTTGCAAAAGGAACCGCGCTTGGGTCCGCAGCATGGCCGCAATGCCAGTGGTCGGACCACGCGGAACGGGCAGGTTGGAGGGCATGCTTTTGAGCGTGTTCTCAATGTCCGCTTTGTAGCGCTTGCGCTCGTCGCGTTGGAGTCGCCACTTGCGCTTTTGGTACTTGATCCACGCTTGGTAATCCTCGCTTGGATCGGGCGCCGCGCCAAGGATTTGCCGCCAATCGCGCGTATCTTCTGCGGCCGCTGCAGATGCGGCTTGGTTGTCAGCACTTGATTGTTGCTTTGGTTGCTGCGAATGCTGGGAGGCGCCGTGCCGAGCGTGACCAAATCCTCCGTTGCTCGAGTAGGCCACAACCATCGTGTCAAGCTTGGATTGGACAGCGCCGTCCGCTCGTCGCTTGGCGTGCTTTGTGACCATTGGGCGCTTCATGGGAGCCTCGCGAGCTCGACCAGAGAGCGTGTCCTCAATGTCGACGGTGGCTGCACGCAATCGTCGATTCTCGTCCTCGAGCGATTTGGATCCCTTGACAGTTTCCTGCTCTCCATCCAGCTCTGCGTCGTCGCCGTCACGATCGCCGGAGTGCTCCGACTCGACATTCATCGGCTCGGCAGCGTCGGCCAGCGGCTTCTTTGGACCGCGGGCGAACATGTCTGAGATTTTCTTTTGCTTGAACACGTCGTTCCGCGCCGAGATGCGCTTGTGCAGCCAGTCGGGATGCGGGATGCGCGGGACGGGATTTTCGACGCCCTGCATGGCTGCCGGAATGGTGACAATCTTTTGCACGGCAGAGCCAAGCCGCTCAATGTAGTACTCCCAGTCGAGAACGCTGCGCAGGTCCATGTCGGTGAGACCGGGATCCTTGAGCCAGCGGCGCAAAAAGTGGCGCTGCACGCCTGGACGTTGCTCTTGGAAGATGGCGAGCGGAACGGCGCGCTCCGTGACGGGTGCGCCCACGGGTTTCTTGGACACAATGAAGCGGCAGGCCAGGCCCTTGTCCTTGACCATGTCGTCGCCCAGAAACTCGGCCAAACGCTTCGCTGTGGTAATCGAGGTGGACTTTTGAGCGCCATACTCTTCGAGCATGCGCGACATGGAGCGATTTTCAGAAATCAAGTCGAGCAAGTCCTCGTCGTTCATGTCCACTGCACGCGTAAAGAGCACGTCCAACCAGTGGTTGGCAACATCGCCGACAGCACGGTAGCACTCCTCCAGGGATCCTCCCTTCAGGAAGGTGTCAAACACTTCCGATTGGAAGATTTTGATCAGCTGGAGTTCGCCGCGGCGCTTAATCTCAAAGCCCTTGAGTTCAGCGAGGGTGCCATTCATGTTGAAGACGGCGTAGCGCTTCTTGAGCAAGACATCCTCCTCCTTGGACGAAGGCAAGATCATTGCTCGGTACGGGCCGTCGACCTCGAAAAAGATTGAGTTTTCCGTGCGCGTCGAGTAGTTGCCAGTGGCCGGATCAAGCGTCTGGTACTGGTCGTTGGTAAACTCATCCGAGACCATCAAGTTGAGCATGGCGCCGGGATAGCTGATGACAACCTTGGAGCGCTTCGGATCGGTGGTCTTGAACTCGACATTTTCCGGGAAGGTGCCTGGCAGGATGCACCAGATACCGTCCGTGTCGAGCTCGAGTGGTCGGCCAATCTGCTCGACAATCTCGCGCGCCTTGGTGATGATGTGGGCACCGGTGTGGCACACGATGCCGGCCATCTCCATTGAAAACCAGCGGGCGCCGCGACGCATGACGTAGCCGTAGAACGAGTTGAGAATGCACTTGTGCGCCAGCTGCAGCGACTCGTACAGGACTTTGCGGTTGGTGGCACGCTCGATTTCCGTGGCGTTGCGTTGCTCGACGGCCTTGGCGTAGTTGCCCTGCCAGGTCTTCAGCTCGCGCTTGTACTGGTAGCGACGGTCGCGGAAGGCCAGCACGGTGTTGACGTAGAAGGGATTCTCCCTCATGCAGACGGTGGACTCGCGCTCTTCAATCTTGGTGATCTTGTTCTTCTTGTACGCGTTCTTGATGTACTTTTTCAAGCGATCCTTGAGCAGACTGACCTGCTCCTCGGAAGGCAACTCGTGGTAGCTGCGTGTCGGATCTCCGGGCTGCAGGCCTGGAACACGCTCGGCCTCGAGTTGCAGCTTGATCATTTCGTACTCGGAGCGCGTCGCGGGCAGGTACTCGCCGCGCCACAGCCACTTCATGCGCCGTTGGCAGTTGGACTCGGGTCGGTTAAAATCGCAAGCCGCGCACGTCTCCTCGTCGACAAGCGACGAAGGCTGCAGGCGATTTGTCAGAATAATGTTGGGGTACATTGCACCGACGTCCAAGTGGTAGATGAGCGGTCGTTCGAGCCGATTGGGTGTGTCGCGAAGCGCGCGCAGGCGCGAGTGCACCGCTTCGACCATTTCGTCCATGTTGGTGACGGTCGCAGGGTCTACGCCGGCCTCGGCGCGCAGGGTGTGCTCCAACGCGCGTCGAGTATCACGAATGAGCGTTTCGAAGGCCTTCGGTTCGAGCTTGAACTTTGAATCCAGGTCGCTGCGAAAGACGCCAGACTCGAGGGCCTCGACATGGCCACCGACGTACGTCTCGCTGTCCAGCAGATGCCCGTTGAACATTTTCTCCGGGTCGGTCTCTTGCTTGTTGGGCATGATAATGTTGGCCTCAAAGGACTGGACCATGAGCAGCGTTTCGCAGAGGGTGCCAGAGCCTTTCCGCAAGACCTCGTCGGGCTCCATCGGAATGATGTTGCACATGGAAAAGATGAAAGGGTGCACATAGGTCATGTACAGGTAGTACGTCGCGACGGCATCCGAGACGGAATAGTTGGCCAGAGTCTGGGGCTGCTCGCTCGCCATCGGCACCATCTCCTCGGGGTCGAGTTCGAGTGGGTTGTAGCCTAGCTTGGCTTTCGTGACGGCCTATTACATGAATTAGAACGAGAGAAGGAAGGCAGTGGAGGAAGAATGAGTGCGTGGTGCGAGAGGAAAACACAGGCAACAACAACCGCAACAACCACACCAACAACACAGATCAAGAACTGCGTCTCACTTTGAGGCCCTGACTGCCTTGTGGCAGGTAACTATCACGCTTGACCCAGCGGAAGGCATCCATGTGGATTCCGGGACGAGACTTGTACTCCTCGTTCGAGTCGGGTGCAAAGCCAATTTCTTGCAGCATGCTCAAGTCGTTCGCTGCCGCGCGTGCCTCGATGAAGGGCCAATCGAAAAAGTCACCGTTGAACGTCACGTAAATGTGCGGACGCACTTCGAGAATGTGGTCAAACCATCGTCGAATCAGTGCTTTCTGTTTTTTTTTTTTGGGGGGGGGGAGGAGTTGCAAGAAAAGTCGAAAAAGTGAGACGACGAAGCGTACAAGAGCACAGTGTGACGTGCATCAAAACAGGCATCACACGAGTCCAAGCACTGACCTCATCTGGAACGTTGATGCAGATAAACGGGCCGGGGAATTCGGGCTTTGGCGTGTACTCGAAATCCTCAATGTCGTCCGAAACAATCTCGCGGTTGATAATCAAGTAGCCCTGACGATCAATCATGTACGAAATCATCATGATGTGGTCGGACTTGGAATCTGGAAACTTGAGCTGCTGCTTGGTCGTCTCGATGTCGAACGCGAGAACGATCGGGTCTGGGCGCTCCACGCGCTCCGGGAACAAGACGATTTGCGTCACGTTATTGACGACGTTCACGTTGTACCAGTGTCCCACGGTGATGCCTGGTCAAAGATGAGAGTAATAGGACGGCGTGAGTGCGATCAGTGAGATGCTACGAGCGAACCAAAACAACCCAATAAAAAAAAACCGGGGAAAAACAAAAACTCAAAGCGCTCCATCTTGCAGTACCTTTATCAATAGCAACTCGAATGTGATAGGGCACGTCGTATTCACGAATATCGGTCACGAGCTCTAGCATGTCTTGAGGGGCGCCGCGGCTGGTGTCGGCGGATTCTCCCTTGATGGCGCTGCGACGACGAGTTCAAACAAACAAAAAATGGTGCTTGTCAGAATCAAACGCTGTGTCGAGCAACTCTTCGTGTTGCAGCTGGGTCTCGTGATCTCCATTCGTTGTGTTTTTGCGCCGAGTTGAGTCGTTACCTGATGAATGCGGCCTCGCTGTACTTTGCGGCGCTGGCTTCGCGTTGGGCTGACTTTTTGGCAGCAGCCATCAGTGGCTTGCGCACTTTGAGGAGCTGTTGTACATTGTTGAATGTCAGCTTGATGTACAGCTGCTTGATACCGACGAGATGGTTTTTCTGTGGGGAAAAGGACAGGTCAAAGTTAAAAGTGAAGCAAATGCGCTGCGGTCATTTCCAGCCGTTTCAAAAAAGCAACAATCAATGCTGCTGACTACATTCCTCCCCATACGTACCAAGTCTAAATCTTCTTTGGCAAGAATCTGCACCGAGGAAACGGAGTCCTCGTACTTGCGCTTCAAGTACTGCTCCATTTCGGTTTCGCGCCCCTCCTGTTCCGTCGCCAACCATGAAACGAGGGTGAGTGAAGTGCCGAGATTGTTGCATGCATACCGAGATGGCATTGCTGTCAAAACAAGTGTGGCCTTACCTTGACGGCAATGAAAAAGTATGGCTGAAACTGCACTGTGGCTTTGAACCGCCCGCCGTCCTGTGCCAAAGCAACGATGATCGGGCAAGTCACCCAGATCGAAATAGGTTAGCACTTGCATACACCATCCATGATCGCGAGCGGATGGCCGTGCACGGAGGGCGCAAGAGTGGAGGGGGCTCCAATCCATGCGATCCAGATTTGGCGGGAAAACGTGGAATTTGGCGGGAAAAAACATCCAACAAAGACAAACAAAACTTTGGTGTTGCTTCTCTCCCTCTCCTCTGCTCCATTGACTGACCTCTTGAACAAAGTAGTAGTCGACGGCACTGTACGTTTCACGACGGTCTGCGAGGACACAAGCCACCAGCACAAACAGCATGAAGTCAGACGATCGCCCTTGTCTCTGCTTTCCCCCCCCCCCGCTTCTCTTCTCTCTCCCACCCCGATTCCTCCTCCAGCTCGCTCACCGGATGCATGTTGATCAGCCAGCCAAGTCGCTCGGAGGAACCAGTGTAGCGATCGTAGCCAAACTTGACGTCCATCGCGTCGTCAAACTGGAGCCGCGCCGCCGCGTCTGCGAGCTGCTTGTCCTCCGCGCTGATCACTGCATCGTCGCCAGCACCACCGCGACCGCCAGCAAAGCTGCCGCTCATGCTGCCTTTGGGTCTGTACTGGCCTCGGCGGGCAGGTCCTCCTCGCCCTGCGCCGCCACCGCCTCGGCTCTTTCCGTCTCCAAACGCCATTTTGCACAAAGATGAAGACTGATTTGGGACCTGTCAAATCTCAGATCATGATTGCATTGACTGATCGAGAAGTAGCTTTAAGGTCAAGAGTGTTGCTTGATGTGGACTTCCAACAAAGAGTGGTCGAACAGTGCTGGTTGAGACCAAAACTGCACAAACACTCGAAACTAACTTTGCTGAGCTGCTCTGCTTTTGCTCTTTTCTTGTTTGATATTGAGACGAAAATCACAACAAAACCAAAAAAGACAAAAAGACAAAAAAACAAGAAAAAAAAACAAAAAAAAGGGGGGAAGAGACAAATAACAACAAACAAACAAACAACGACAAAGACATGCGGATTTGGTAGGTTTTTAAGACTGTGGGAAGAGCTGGTTTGACAAACCACTCAAAAAAAAAGACGATAGTGAGAATACAACGACGAAAGCAAAGGCAAGGCAAGGCAAGGGAAGTAACAAGGCATCACAAGCACATGGGCGCGAGGGGCGGGAGGGGCATTTTTCAAGCAATAGTTGAGTGGCAGTGCGCAACGAAACAGGTTGATTGGTTGGCAAAACAGACCAACTGCGCTTATTTTGGTCGGAAATCGTCGAGCGTCTTGTAGTTGGAAAGAATGCTCTGCAGCTTGGCGTCGAGCTTAAGCGGGCGAGAGTCCTTGCGGTACTTGAGCAACGCCCAGAACTTTTCAATACCGTATTGGTAGCCTGCGAGCGAGCCAAAAGTTGCAAGGAAAAAAAAAGGTGAGCACAACCTGCGACGCATACATACCGTGACCACAAAACCACTCCAGAAACAAATCATACCAAGCTCCATGTCCAACAGAGTATCCGCCTGGAAGAGATCGAAAACCTCGGGACGGAATCGCTTCTCAAGACCGTAGCTGTAGAAGCGGAAGAGGCACTCAAAGCCGTAGCGGAAGCCTTCACGGGCATCCTCGATGGCAAGGCCACGGAACTGGTCAAACATCCTGCGGTTGAAGTTGTCACGCAGGAAGAAGGACCAGAAACGGAACAGGGTGTTCATTTCCATGGATTGGCCAACACCAAGGCGCTTGCGATCTGGAGAACAGCAATAAAAAACAAACCCAAACAAAAGACAAAGAAAAAAAAAAAAGTGAGCTTCAATCAGAACAAACAAATAAAACTCATCTCTGCACTCGACCGAGAGTCAAACTCACCCTTCAGGCAGGCCTGCTCGTACTTGTGGTACTTGTGCTGAACAAAGCCACCTTGCTTGAGCATGTCGTGCGTGGGGTGCGAGAACTTGGGAATCGAAGTGCCAAGGGCGTCCACGCTCGACGAGAAGCTCTCGGTGCGCTGACGGGACGAGGGAATGTCCGTGGGAGCGGATTGGGCGGGAGCCGCAGCAGCCGAAGAAGTCGAAGCGGCGGCGGCGGCGGCGGCAGAAGAGGAGGCGGCAGCCTGGGGTTGGGCAACCTGTTGGGGCTGCGATGCCTGCGGCTGCTGCTGCTGCTGCTGCTCGGCTTGGAGCCGTTGCTGAAGCGGGGAGCTGTCCAGCGGGCTGGCAGTCGGGGTAGTCTCCTGCGGGTGGAAAGGACGCGGCGACATGAGCCAGCCGACGTTGGATTCGATCGGAGGCTGCTCGGAATACTTGGTCTTGGCCTTCTTCTTGCCAGCGACGTCGGGAGAGGCCAGCACGTTCTCCTCCTTGCCGGTGGGGGCGGGGTAGAAGCGGGGGGTGGTCTTGGCATCCTTGGGAGTCTTGGGAGTGCGCGGGGTCATGCGGCCGGGGGTCATGGGCGTCTGCGGGTTGGACGGGGGCGCGACAGCTGCGGCGGCAGCAGAGGCGGTGGCCTCCGCTTGAGCCTGCTCCTTGCGGAACGAAGCCTCGTCGACGACCGACACGCGCGACAGGTGGGCCTCAATGTCCTGCTTGCGGTTTTCGTACGAGTTTTCGTCGTGCTGGTTGAGCATGTCTTGCTCATAGTAGTACAGACCCTCGTTGATGCGATCAGCCATCTCGGACGACAGAGCGCTCTTGGAGGTGAAGCTGGCCGTTCGGTCACGCTTGGTCACCACGTTGCGGTTTTTGCGCGGGGGAGGCGTCTGGGTGACGATGAGCAGCTTGGCAACGTCTTCGTCGTCCCACTCGCCGTCCGACTCTTCGTCGTCGTCATCGCTCAAGTCGTTCTTGCTGGACGAGCCGGCGCCGGCGCCCTGGCTGGAAAGATCTTCGTCAAACTGAAAGTCGAGCTCCTCGACATCCTCGTCGCCAGCGGCAGGCTTCTTGGCGCCAGACCGTGCGGAAGCCTCGGGCTTGCCAGAGTCGTCAATCGGATCCTTGAACTGAATGGACTGCGAAATGCTGCCAAGCGACTGGCGCTTGGACTTTGGCGGGTGCTTAACAATGGTCCAGTCTTCAACGACCTCGTCGTCCGAGCCAGCGCTGGTGGCGGTGGCAGTGGCGGTGGCGGTGGCGGGAGCAGCAGCGGCGGCGGCGGCGGCGGGAGCAGTCGCGGCCAGGGTCGCCTTGGGCACAAAGGCCGAAAAGTCGCCGCGCTTGCGGAAACTCAAGCCGTCGGCCGAAAGCTCGACGGGAACAGAGTTGCTCATGGCCGACTTGATAAACTCAATGTCCTGCGAGTGAATGCGGACGCGGTTGAAAGTGGCAATCACCGAGACAAGAATCCAGCCCTGCGCATCCATCTTGGAGAGGAGGAATTTGTCGCGAAGCAGGTTCTCCACGCTAAAGTAGTACTCAATCTGGCGGCGAACGAGGTCGCGGCGAGTCTGATCGTCCATTTGCACGGGGGCGTAAACAACGGGCTGGAAATACGAGGGCGGCGCAAAGGCAGGGGCGGAAGTGGCAGCGACGCTGGCAGCGTTGTTGGCGCCAGCGGCGGCCTGCGCGCCTGGCGCAGTGCCGAGCAGCGCTGGTTGCTGGTGGCTGTGAGGGTGCGCAGCCGACCCGGCCGAGGACGCAGCGTTGGCGGCAGCAGCGTTGGCCGCCTGAGCAGCAGCAGCCTGGGCAGCGTGCTGGGCAGCGAGCGTTGCCGACATTTGCGGGTGGCGAGCGTTGCGCGACGAGTTGTTGCTGTTGTTGTTGTTGTTGTTGTTGCTGTGGGCATTGTTGTTTGAAGACACGCCACCGGCATTGCGGGCGCGGCTGTGGGACTGGTTGCCACCAGCGCCGGCGTGCGAGTTGTTGCGGGACTGCGAGTTGCCAGAACGCGGGGCCGACGAGCGAGCCTGCTGGTTGTGCGCCTTGCCGTCAGCGGTCGTGGCAGCGGAAGCAGCAGCAGCAGCAGCAGGGGTGGAGGCGGCAGCGCCAGAGGTAGCAGCACCTTCAGCAGCAGGGGTGGCAGCGGCGGACGAGGCAGAGGCACCAGAGCGGCCGTTGCCCGAAGAGGAGGGACCACGACGGTTGGTGTTGCTTGTGCCGCGCGAAGCACCGGACGAGCCAGAGCCAGAGCCGGAGCCAGACTTGGCGCCCGAGCGTTGTGTGTTGTTGGATTTGGAGGACGACGAGCTGGAGGCGTTCGACTCGCTCGCGTGGTGTTGTTGTTGCTGCTGCTGGCTGTAAGAAGGAGTGTCGATCGCCAGCGGAGTCCACTTGCTCTTGCCACCAGCAGGCTTTGGCACAGCGGCGGCAGAAGGAGCCGTTGCACCGTTGCTGCTGCTGGAGGCTGCGGGAGCCGCGGGAGTCTCGGCAAGCGTGGGCCAGGCAGACGCGTCGCCGATGGGAGACTTGGTCTTGGTATCGGCAGCCTTGGCGCCCTCAGTGGGGTTGGTCGCGGGTGTGCCGGGACGCTTCCAGGGGTTGACGGCCGGGGCGGGCGCGATCGTTGCGCGAGCAGGGGCAGGAGCGGCGGCAGCGGCAACAGGAGCAGCAGCAGGAGCAGCAGCAGCAGCCGGTGTTGCCGAAACGACGGGGGCAGTCGCGTCGGTCGCAGGCGCCGGGGTGGCAGCGGCAGCGACAGGGACTTCCGTCATTGTTGTGTTGTGAAAAAAAGGGGGGGGGTTTTGCAACAAGCAAAAGAAACTAAAAGGCTCGAGTCTTGGACCAAAGTGCAGCGCCTTCTGAGGCTTAGTTTGTTGCTGTTTCCTCGCTTTTTTTGATCGTGTGTTGTTCTTGGCCTGTTGTTTGCAGCACGAAGGGACACAAACACAGTCAAAAAAACCACGGGTCGAAGCGTGTAGTTTCAGGTCCGCGGGATTTCGGCAAAGAAACTGTCGCCCTATGAAAAGAGAAAGTTTCCAGACAAAGAATCGTGCAATACAAACGATGAGGATTCGGAAGGGTGAGTTGAGTGCAAAAGAAAGGACCAGCTGATGATGATGAGGGACAAGACAAAATACGAGGAACGATGACGCGTGGTTGCGACAACAAAGACGACGACAAGAAGACCAGGCTCCAGTTCGAAAACAAGCACAAGAGGAATATAGCGGAAGAAGAGTGAAAAAGAGTGGCAAGCGATGAATGGAAGGTCGGAGCGTGTGAGAAGAGGAGAGGGACGGAAGCAAAATGGACCAACCACAACAAAGCCAAGAATGAACCTGCAAAACAAAACAAGAAACAGAAGAGAAAGACTAGCTCGGATTGCAATGGCAATTGAAAGTGAAAAAGTGGTCTCAATGCTCAGTTGTAGACCAATGATCAATGCAGCTGAAGCGAGCCGACAGTGGGGTGGAAATCTCGCTCATGCGCGGCGCTAGTTCACACGGCATCCGCCCAAAGACAGCAGTTTCCAACAATACAACAACAAACAACAAGTCGTCACGAGCGAGGTCGACCCGTCGTCTGGCTCAAGATCGAGTTGGACGCTCGCCACGAGGCCTCCTCGCTTGCATCGACCAACAGCAGCAGCAGCAGCAGCAGCACGCTCCATCAGACAGACGCTGCGCAAGAATCTCCCTCATTCTCGACACAAGTCTACCTTTTCTTGCTCGGGTTGATGCCCATCAGAACAAAGTCTCCTCATGTGGAAGAATCTCAAAACCAGCCAATGCACTTCCCAGCCAAAAAAAAAAAAAAAAAAAAAAAAAAAAAAAAGCGGCCACGAGGTTTTATTTTTTGGGTTTCTTTGGAAAACTCAATGGAAAAACTAGCAAAAATCCCAAAATCCCAAAATCCAAAAAAAAAACAAAAAAAAAAAGCTTTTTTTCGTTTCAATCCCGACGCTGAGCTCAAGAAACTGAAAGGGAGACCATTGTGTTCCAAAAAACACAAAAACAAAGAGCTGAAGGAACCGATGTATGAAATTGCCTTGAATCGAAGCTCAGCGGTGAGGGAGGGAAAAAGCTGGCGATCGGAGGAAGAGTACGAGTTGAAATTCGGAGACTGTCGCGTGAGAGTGAGAGTTGAAGGAAAGGGAAATGGGGGGAAAAGCGAAACGAAAAGCAAGCCATGCGGTGTTGCTTTGCAGGAAAAAAAAAAAAAAAAAGATAAAGACAAAGACGATAAAGAAGTCCATTTGTCTCACACAAGGAGAAGCACGGCTGCTTGCGGCTTGCGGTCGGATGTGCAAGAAGGGTGCGTGATTCGATTCAAGGCGGCAGGGTTTTGGCGGTCACACAAGGGAAAAGGACGGCGCTCGCGATCGGAAGGCAAGGAAAAAAAAAAATCGTGCTTCCTTGTTCACGTTGATCGCGCTGTCTCTCTCTCTCTCTCTCTCTCTCTCTTTCTCGGTTCCCCTCACTCTCGCTGACTCTTCGCTTGTCGATGGGGTCGGACAGCAAGTCAATGCGGTCTCAGTAGACTGTGATGCGTGCGTCGGGAATGCGCCGAAGGGGAAAGCCGCGGCAACCGCAAGTCGACAACAAAAAAAAAAAAAAAAAAAAACTAAACTCACAAAAAAAAAAGGAAAAAAAAAAAGAAAAAATAAGAATGGAAAAAAAAAGGTTGCAACAAACCAACGACCTCAGACAGGTAATCGGAAGAGCTGGAGTTGAACCGAATGATGCCAGATGAGTAGAACTGGTTGTGCATTGAAAAGAGCGAGAGGGAGCTCTTTTTGCGGGTGCTGAATGGTCGAGAAATGTCAAAACACTTTCACAACCAGTTTGGTAAGATCAACGACCAGCACACCTGAAAGCAAGGCAGGTGCACCCGCCACTACTTGCAAAAGTCATGGCAGATATAGTTGCCCATGCGTTTCGAGGCATCGCGCTGCTTGAGACCTCCGGAAAGGCAGGGATAATTCGTTTCGGCAAAACGCAAAGTTTGCTTGCGTGGTTGCTCCCCACCTCTGGGTGCTATCGTGCCTTTCTAATGTTGCAAAATTCACTGTGCAGTTGTTTTGTTGAACTTTGCTGGTTTGGTAGATATTTGGCCAAAGTTTTTCGTTTTTTGCCCTGCAAGCGTTTGTTTCTCCAATAACATTGAGAAGGCACTTGACAAGTCATGACGGCAAAGACTCGACAAATCTCCTCCACAATTTCAAGCCACCACAAACAGAGAACGATTTAATTTTTCTGAAAACCACGGGTCTTTAGCAGCATTTCCAAGCTCTCTAACACGAATCGAAACTTTGTCCGAACGAAAAAACAAAAAACAGTTTCTGACGTACTCCCGCTCCACCCCTGCCCGAACGACCATAAATAGATGGCAATTTATTTATACTGCAAACCACCAGTCCGGAACAATCATCCGAAGCTCTCCGGCGCGAATGGAGCCCTGTTTAAAAACTGTCAGACGGAAACAAAGCCGGTCTTTCTTCCAGCTTCATCCTATGTTGCTCGCAAGCCAGTTTGCCCCCGTACAAATAAAACCCACACCCTCTAATGTCACCACTAAAACAGTATTTCAAAAAATAACAACGACAACTTGGTGCATACCCAAACAAAAACACCCAAAAACACACCAACAAGAAAAAAACCTAGACAACTGTTTCAAAAAAAGAAAGAGCACTTCAAAAAATTATATCCGGACCACGTACGAGTCGGATTGGGTCACCACACGAACCCAGCGGAAGGAAGGGGCGTAGGACGAGGTCTTTTCAAAGACGCGCAGATAGCGGATCTGGAGGCCAGAGCAGATGTGCATGGGAATTTCAAACGTCATGCTGATGGGGCCCATCTCGCGGCGCAGGGCTGGGACAATGGACGCGTCGGGAACAAACATTTTGCATCGAATCACCTGCTCCGAGCTGCCGTTGACACGGCGAAGCGTCCAGATGGCCGTCTTGTCGTTGGCCTTGTACTCGGCAGACTGGCCGACACCGTGTGCAATCTCAAACGTGCAGCTGTTGGTCGACTTTGGCAGGGGAATGCGCACGACCATCTGGTTGGCGGCGATATTTCGAGGAACCTCGCAGCGAAGTTTGAGCACCAGGTCGATGCGGGTGCCGGAGACTTGTTCAACGAACGGGGTGATTCGGAATGGCAGCGGGAGCTCTCGGGTGAGGCGGTAGTTCATGAGCACCACCTCGCCGTCCGTCGGCACAAACGCAATCGTCTGGTCTTGCTCAAACTTTTGCAACGACACGCTCTCGTGGAAGTTGACGTCGTCGAGCACGACCGATCCAGCACGGCCACCGGCGTCGCCTCCAGCGTGCGCCTTCACCACCAGATCGTCGTTCAAGCCGATGCGGATGGTCGGCGAGCCGCTGAGGAAGGACTTGAACTTGAGCATGCCGTCGACGTCCGAGCGGAGGACTGCGCCGTTGCTGCCGACCAAGACGGTGAGCTTCTCGATGAGGTCGACAAACACCTCGTTGCGACGCGTGCGGGCCTGGTCGTAGCTGACTGCGATGGGCTGGTTGGAGGCCGTCGCAGGGCGCGAAACTTGCTCCGCCGAGGTCGCAACTGCCGCTCGCGAAAGGGCGCCCAAGACACCCCCCGCCGAGCCCAACGTCATGTCGGTGGGGTCTGCCGGGACGGCGATCGGCGTGTTGTACACGAATGTCTTGAGCATCTCGGTGGATGAGCCCTGCGGGTAGCCAAAATCGAGCATTTCGTCCAGCAGCTCGTACACCAGCACAAAGTTTCTCTTGAGCGACTCTTCGTTCAACACACCACAGTAATCTGGATGAATATGGATGGGAGGGGGGGGGAGAGAGGGGTGAGTAAACAGTCGAGTCAGTTGAAGCAAAAACTCAACGGGACAACGGCGCTCGTAGTCCCACGGAGGGGTTTGATTCGCACCTGTAAATACGCTGGCAACGCGATTGAGAAAGTCGAGGACAAACGCAGGAGCGACGTTGAACTTGGTCGAGCAGCAGAAGAGCAGCCCGTTGCGCTTGACGTACAAGAACTGGATGCTCTCAATGTTCTGTCCAAAGGCGACAAACCGTCCCAAAACATCAAAAGGTGCAGATTTGCATGGGCATTCCAGATCAGTGGGCGGCGTGGCGACTGGTGGAGTGGAAGTGGTCGAACGAGAGCGAGCAATCGAAGCGACTTACAAAGGCTGGAGGAGCCTCGCCGCCAGGCCACGACTTGAGCTTGCGGAAGAACATTTCAGGAGTGCCACGGACGACATCACCGCGATCTTGAAGCCGGCGAACGGGAGCGGTCAGGGGCGGCGGCGGAGAAGAGCAAGCAAGCAAAAGGGAAAAAAAGCAAGCGAATTAGTTAGCGAGGCGTAAGGATTTGAATGGTTAAAAGCGAAACATTGCGCATACAGTCTTTCAAGATGAGCGTATCGCCGCGCGCGCTCAGCACAAAGAACTGTGAAAGCATTTTGTTGGAAGATTGAACCACCACACAAAAGGAGACAAATGAGAATGAACACGACTGGATGTGAAGGAGATGATGGAGGACGTGGTGGGAAGCGAGCGGGGGCGTGACAAACGTAAACAAAACAAAGAGCTGTCAAAATGCTGAGAACCGCAGAACTGGAAAAGCAAACAAGAGCACAAAAAACGCTTGCTTGCTTCACACCCACGTTCTATGATGGTCTGCAGTGAATGGTGCAGCTCTCCATAGCTGTGAAGCAGCACAATCACAAATGTTCGACTTTGAGCTATCGGAACGCTCGCAATGGAACGCTTTAGCGACCGCTTGAAAGCTCAATACATCTGCAATGCATCTCAGACCAGTTGGTGAGCTATTTGGACTCGTCCATACTTCTCAGACTAGCAAATCCAGTCACTTTTTCTCAGCCTTCTCGCCAACGTCTCCATTCTGACTTTCATCAACACACACGCAACTTCCTTCCTTGATCCAGATCCACTGAGAATGAGCGTGCTAACGGCAATGCCACGGCGGGCATGGCGCTCAGTGGCGCAGCTGGTCGCTGGGACTGGACTCGGGTCGAGGTTGGCATCCGGCAGCTCGACCGGCGCCACACTGCTGCCTGGATCATCGTCGCTTGCGATCGGCATGCCTGGTGAGCACCATATTGGTAGCGGTGGTGGCGTCGACGACGCGGCGGACGACGAGGACGAGACTGGCGCAATGGAAATGCACTACAGCTCGAGCGCGACTCGCCGTGGAGCGACCGCCGCTGCGTCGTTCTGCCATGCCGTGGCTGCATCGTCAGTGTGCTCGGAAGGCACTGCCGACGCGCCGGCGTCCGAGCGCGCAGATCCACAGCTGATGACGCCAAACCGATTGCCGAGCCTGGGAAAGCTCAAGTCCGCTGAAGTCAACGGGACGACAAGTGCATCCTCGAGCGGAGTGTCATCAACTGGTAGCGCTGGTGGCAACATGGAGCACCAAGGCCAGCATGGATTGTCGTTTGGCAGCCTGGAAAACAAGAACTTTGATATCGAAGCTGGCAGACTCCCATCTTTGGCAGCCTACGACCCGCCTACGGCAGTATACGGACGATGGCTGGTCGCGGATCCATGCGGGCTGGTGTGTGCCATCATCACGCAGATGCTCGTCATGTACGCGTGGGGCGTGATGATTTTCTTTGTGTGCAGTGACGGATTTTACGAGCTCGGCTGGGACACGCTCCACATTGTTGCGTTTTCAACGGGCTGCTTTATGGCACAGTGGTCGCATCTGAAGGCAATGATGTCCAATCCTGGCACTGTCCCGCGCGGGCTTCCGGACTTTGTCATGGAGAAGATTGACCGCACAAACCCGATTGCTGTCAACAACGAGATTGTGACCAACTGCGTCCGCTGCAACAACTACAAGCCGACTCGCGCACATCATTGCAGTGTGTGTCGGCGGTGCGTTCGGAAGATGGATCACCACTGGTAGGTTTCCTTTTTTTTTTTTTGAGAAGGTTGCGAATGTGAGATCGCGAGTCTAACCGTACTGCGTTTTGTGTCTGGGTTTTTGCTGATTATGCGTCGACTGGATCATGCTCGCTGCGCTGATGCTGGCGTAGTCCATGGTAATTTGATATGATAGGCGTTAGAAATGTGTTCGGAGTGTTCTCATTCCCAGATGACTCACCCTTCTTCTCTCCTCTGGGTTTAGGATTAACAATTGTGTCGGACAGGCCAACCACAAGTACTTTTTGCAGTTCGTGTCTTACATTCTCACAATTTGTATTTATCTTTTGGTGACCATTTCGGTCAAGGCCATTATTTGCGTTCGCAGTGTAAGTCAATCAGCTTCGAGCAAAAAAATGAAGCGCAGCTGGGTCTGGGCTAACGCTCTGTCTCGACATTCGGTTTATCTTTACAGAGATGGGTCGGGTGCGAAAAGTGGGCGATGGCAAGCGGAGGCGCAGCGCTGATCATCTCGGTCATGTTCGAAGCCGCTTTGTTTGGGCTCTTTACGTCGATCATGCTGGTCGACCAGGTGTGCAACCTGTCGCAGGACGAAACCGGCATCGAGCGGCTGCAACGACCCATGGCGACGGTCGTTTCCCAAATCACCGACGCCAAGAAGAAGCGCAGGCGAAAGCAGAGCACTGTTCAAGCGCTCGTTGAGGTGTTTGGCTCCGACCCTGGATGGCTTTGGCTGCTTCCTGTGCGTCCCGTCCATCCGCGATACAGTGCATCGCGGCTGGTGGCTCTATGATGATTTGTGCATTGCCGTTTGTTGTCGTTTGGGTTTGTGTGAATGAATGAATTGTTTTTCTCTCAGCGTTGATCCAGTCTCCATTGTTATTTCTCGTATGGTCAACCAGATTTGCATCTTGTCTTGTTGCTTCAATCTGCCCATCGCTGCATTAGTTCTTTCAAACCAGCCAACCCGGCCATTCGCGAAGTTGGCGCCATGGTGTGAATGCCACTTGCCGCTCGTTCTCTCCACCCCTAGATCTAGTAGACGCTTCTGCGGCACGGCGACCATCGATTTTGCAGTTGTTGCAGTTGTTTTGTTCTTTGTTGAATGTTCAGAGCAGCGTTGTGGCGTTCATTGTGTTGTGAAATTTCGTGATCAGAACTGACAATGAAGCTCTCCAATAATACAACACAATCCCAGTCATTCCTTTTTTTATTTCTTATAAATTTAATCATTTTGATCTGATCTGAGATTTTGGATCATCATGCTGAGACTCGTTGTCTTGGCGCCAAAACGTACACACGCTTCTGCAAATGCTCGCTGTTCTCGCGTTCACTCACTCACTCGCTCACTCACAAACGCCACTTTGTTTGATGCTGTATCTCTCAATGTTAGTCTCCACTGGCGGCGTCGTTGCGCCGTGGCTCGCTCGTGCAATGGCGACGCACGCGTTCCGAGACGCCCGCCTCGCGCTCTTCAAGCGGCACTACGAGGCCTCCGATGGCGCCACTCCAACGACCACCAGTGCTGGCATCGACAGTCGCTCATCCTCTGAGACTGCGATGGCTGCGGACGCCCGGCGCGGGGCACTCAAAGCGTGCTTCAAACCAGCGCGCGCAGACGCTGCTCCAGTCACTGTCGATCTCGCATCCGACTCGAAGGCGTCGGTGATCCAGCTTGCGAAAGGTACAAAAATCGTCGACAGACACAATAACGGGGGAAGAAGTTTTGATTGTGTCGCTTGGATTGGCTTGGAAGTTCATTGGGAAACTTCCACTCGAATCACTTCTGCGACGACGCGCTTAGTACAAGCGAAAAGGACTCGAGCTGAGAACACAGTGTTTGGGGGGTTTGACGAAAAGCTCGAGATGCCCCTTGCTGGTCTCTGTATCTGCCCAAAAAATTGCTCACTTCTTCCTGCTCCTTTTGTTTCTTTTGATTAGCCGCACTTGGATCAACGCTAGAGCTCGTGACATGCACCGTCAACGGCAAGCCGTGGGATTTGACGCGACCGCTAGCTTTATTCATCAACGAGCACGCACAGGACGCACCATCCAGCACATTGGAGGTGGAGCTGCTTTCATTCGACTCGAACGCGGCCAAGCATGTCGCTTGGCACTCGGCTGCCCATGTGCTCGGCGCTGCGATGGAAGAAGTGTACGGCGATGATGTGGTGCTGTGCGACGGACCGGCCATCAGCGAGGGTGGCTTCTTTTACGAGGGCATGCTTGCCAACGGAAGGGGCTCCATCTCGACCACCGACCTTGCCCCGCTGGTTGCCAAAGCCACGGCATTCATTTCGGCCAAGCACCCCTATCAACGTGTCAGCGTATCTGTGGCTGATGCGCTGGCCATGTTCCCGGAAAACCCATTCAAACAGCACTTTATTCGCAAAGCGGCGGCTGCTGCTGCTCCCAGCTCCCCGCTCATCTCCATCTATCGGTGCGGTGATTTTGTCGACCTGTGCCGTGGACCGCATATCATCAATACTGGGGTTGTGGGCGCAATCACCTTCCATGCCGTATCTGCAGCCGAATGGGCCAGCCCTCTGGCATCCGCCCCTGCTGCTCTGCCGTCGCCCATTCCCCTCCAACGCGTGTACGGCATCTCGTTCCCCAAGGCAGCAATGCTCAAAGAGTGGGTTACTGCACGCGAAGAAGCCAAGCTGCGCGACCATCGGCTTATCGGTGCAGCGCAGCAGCTCTTCATGTTCCACCCATACTCGCCGGGATCTGCCTTCATGTTGCCCCACGGCATGAAGATCATCTCCCGCTTGCAAGAGTACATCCGCTTGGCTTACATCCACTATGGCTATCAGGAGGTGTCGACACCGATCGTGTATTCCAAGGAGCTGTGGGAAACGTCGGGACACTTGCAGCATTATGCCCAGGACATGTTTGCCGTCACAGGTGGCCTGACTCCGGCTGCTCCTGCTGCCGGTGCTGCTGCTGGTGCTGCTGGTCACAGCCATCATCACGCCGACAGCGATGCTTCGTCTGATGCGACCCAGGCGTTGAAACCAATGAACTGCCCTGGCCACTGCCTCATCTTCCAGCGCAAGCACTACTCGTACCGAGAGCTTCCCATCCGATTGGCCGACTTTAGTCCGTTGCATCGCAACGAAGCCAAAGGTGCTCTGAGTGGGCTGACACGAGTCCGCCGCTTCCACCAGGACGACGCACACATTTTCTGCACACCCGAGCAGATCCAAGCCGAGATTTTGAACGTCCTGGGCTTTGTCCGAGAAGTGTACGGCCGCCTTGGCTTTTCGGAATTCACCTTGAAACTTTCCACCCGGCCAGAGTCGTTTGTCGGCAGCATTGAGCAATGGGACTATGCCGAATCGTGCCTCAAGGATGCTCTGCAGCAGACGTGCGGCAGCAACTGGACTCTCAACCCAGGGGACGGCGCCTTCTATGGACCAAAGATTGACATTACAATCCGGGATGCCATCGGGCGCCAGCACCAGACCGCCACAGTCCAGCTCGATTTTCAGCTGCCACAGCGCTTTGGCCTGCGCTACTTTGACGCCAACCAGCAAGCACACACGCCCGTCATGATCCACCGCGCCGTGCTGGGCTCATTGGAGCGGATGTTTGCCATTCTGATTGAGAACACGGCGGGCAGGTGGCCGTTGTGGCTGTCGCCCCGTCAGGTAGCCGTCTGCAGCGTCGATCCTTCTGTCAACGAGTATGCCGCCGAGGTTTGCAAGCAGCTGGAAAAGGTCAGTCTACGGCTGCCTGGCAGCGTGTTTGAAGTCAAGAACAACGTGACGACCGACTCGTCCGCAGCGACTCCCAATGGCTCATCGTCCGCGTTCGCGCTTCAAGTCGAGGCCGACTTGTCCGACAACCGCCTGAGCAAAAAGATTCGCGATGCCCAGGTCAGCCAGTTCAATTACATTGTGGTGACGGGCGCGCGCGAGGCGGCAGATCGGACGCTCAATGTGCGAGATCGCACTGGCGCACAACTCGGTACCATGTCTTTTGACAAGTTTGTACAACTACTCCACGATCAAATGGCGTAGGTTTACTTGTTTTTTGAACGGAAAAGCCATGGTACTAGACTCTTTCATTAAAGTAAAGTTGCACTACTGTAGCATGCGTTTCGCAGCAACATTAACATTCCATCAATCAACAACAAAACAAGAAAAGTACGTCTAATACTTCTTCTTGGATTTGCTGGCGGCAGAGCCACCCTTAACCATACTCTTGACGCTCATGCGACCCTTCTTGGCTTCCTTTGCCAATTCTTCTTCGGACTGCACAAGGGGGAAAAAAAACAAAAAAAAAACAAAAAAAAAAAAAACAAGACGGAAACGATGAGCACACACGTATCGTTCGCAACCAAGGTCGATCCATGAAATCACCCGTCTCACCTTTCGCTTGGACGAAACAACCCCGGACACGGTAAAGAAGTTGTCAAGACGCCCTTGTGTGGCGGTGCTCTTCAGATCGACGAGCTTGGCTGCATTGTTGCGAATGCGATCCTCGCTACAAACCAAAACCATTAAAGGTCGGAATGTAATCAACAACGCCACCAAACACTCACTCTAGCCCTCCTCCGTACCTAAAGCCCTTCTCCTGCACCATGAACTTGACAAGGCCTTCGACATCGGGCGCAGTCCACTTGAGATCAAGCTCCTCGCCTGGCGTCACCTCGGGTTCGAGGAACAAGGTACGGGCCTCGGCGAACGCCCAGTTGGCAGGGAGCGGGTACTTTTCAGTGTCGAGGTTTTTGATAATCTCCTCGATTGTCTTGTACTCTTGGATGAGCGCGTAGGCGCGGGTCGGACCAATGCCCTTGATGGACTCGCAGTAGTCGCAGCCAAGCAAGATGCACAGGTCGACAAACTGCTCCATGGTGAGCTTGAGGCCTTCGAGCGCACGGTCCAAGTTGAACTCCTTGATGGGCATTTTGCGCGCTTCCGAGAATGTCAAGTGGCGGAGCAAGACCTTGGAGCCGAACGTGAGGGCATCCATATCCTCGGTACCGGCCGCAAACACTGAGCCCGACTTGACAAGGGCCGCACACTGCGCCTCGGCTTCACACGGCGCCGAAATGTACGGCACGCCCATGAGCGTCAGGAGGCGTTTGCACTCTTCGTTGTGCTCTTTGGTCACCTTGACCAGTCGACGCTGGAACTTTTCCATCGTTTCCGACTCGCCGGCTTCCGTTGCAGCGTCGAGCGATGCCTGGGCTTCCTCTCGGCGCGCAGTGCGCTTGGCGAGCTGCAAGAGCGGCAAAAAATCGAATGAGCATTGATGCAAAAGAAGCGAGACATTACCGCAACAAACGTCCGCGTTCTTACCTCGCCAGACTTCATCACTGGTGGCTTTCCATCAAAGACATAGCTACGGGAAACCGAGCGAACATCAAGAGATCATCGCGAGTGAGACCAACGGAACAAGCAGCATTGAAGCTTATTTTCAATCCCATCACTGCTGAGAGGTCGAGACCACCGAAATCAACCAACTTACACGGGCTTGATGCCGTTTTCAAGCATGCGAATGGTGCGATAGAAGAAGCCGACAAGATGACTGTTGAATGGAAGCATCATTGGAAGCTGAGTGTTGATGACATTTCACCACCCCCCCCGCCATCCCTCATCCAACACTTCACAAGGCACTCACCTCGTTGTCTCGCCAGCATCGTTCATGAGCTGGTTGCCCTCGGAGCGCACGGCAATGAGGAACTGGTACATGCTCATCGAAGCGTCAATGGCGACCTTGCGACCAAAGTAAGCCTAGCACCACCACGCCACCGTTTCGACACATTTCAACAACAAAGATATATACACAAGTGAGTGCAGAGACACCGTTGCGGGTGGAGCGAGAGAGTGCGCGGAATAAGCAATGGCAACGAGTTGCAACAGTTGCAATTTTGGCGGGAAAAATTGGCGGCAAAACAGTCAGATCTTCTGTTCCCTTGCGTCCAGCTTGATAGGGGAGCGGAGTCGAAGGCACAATAGCACGCAAAAAACTCACCTTGATGACGTTCTCGCGAACGCAGTGCGGGGCTTGGTCGGCAAGCAACTTGGCGAGATTGTGAATGCCCATTCTGCTGCTGTTGTATGAATGAAAAGCTGGACTGCCACTTGCATTGCATTTATTGAGACGTGCATCAAAAAACAGTCGTACAAGCAATCAGACAACCAATCACGCCCAATAGCAAAGCAGATCTTGACAGTTGGGCGAACGACCCCAAGATAGCCAAGAAAAATAAAAATTCCAAACACCAAACAACCAAAACCACGAACAACGCCGCCAAATCCACCAAATCCCCACAGACAACTTTGTCATCACGCAAAAATAAACGAAGATGAGCGCTGCAGCATGCCAGCGGGACGCTCGGCAGCTTGGTGGCGGGCAAGCTTCTCACGCTCGCGCTGCGCCTCGACAAGCTCCTTGCACGGGATGCTCAGGGCCTCGAGCTGGCCACTCGCCATCCAGCTCTTGAACAGAGAGGCCGCGTACTCGTAGCCAACGGCCGAGATTTCGGCATAGCGTCCAAACGCCAGCAGCGGGTAGTGGTTGACTGGCGGGCGAAGATACAGGCTGCAGTACAGCTCCTTGGTCAGCTCCAGGTTCAAGTCCGACCGAATGTAGCAAATGCGCTGTGAAATATCGCTCATCGACGGCACGTGCACGGGCTTTGCGAACGGATTGATCTTGCGCCAGAGCAGCCACCAGCCACTCAACGCGTCGCCATAGTTGTAGTAGTTGGTGTCGTCCACCGTGCCGACGTGCACCGCAATGATGTTTTGCGCGCCCAGAGCCTGCATCACGTCGGCTAGAATCACATTCAAGACGTTTCAAACAACACTCATTCAGCAGAGTGATCAAGAGCAAAACAAGCACAAAACCAAGCCACCATTCACTTACCCGGCAGATTGTTGCAGTAGCCACCATCCAACAGTAAGTTGTTCCCTTCGCACAGAGGGGGCATGAAGGAAGCCAGCGTCATGCTCGCACTGTCACCAACCAAGTGCGCATTGAGTCAAAGAAGTAACGGCTCGGAACAACTTTTCGTGCTTTGATTCTCACCGAACATAGCGCCAGCCGGTGCCTTCCTGGTGAACATTCAGAGAATTGGTGGTAATGTTGGTCGTCGTGCAAAAGTACGGCAGCCAGAAATCCTCGATCAGGGTCTCTCCAAAAATGCGGCGCAGAATCCTGTTCACGAAAATACATTCACATGTTGTGAGTAACAACGGCTGCACTGCTGCAACGGGGGCAAGAGCAAAATCGCCCTCACCGGTTGAACGCATCGCCGGAAAAGAAGGAGGTCAGAGGCACCGTGAGATCGCGAATCAAGCGCCACTTGTTGCCAAACAGACGGCAGTACAACTTGGTTTTTTCTTCCAGAAGAGACGCGTCACTAACAACCAAAGGTCGATGCGTGAGTGCATGCACGACATTTTTTTGCAACGAGTCACAGCTGCTCCTCGCTCACCGGTGCTTGGCGTAGAGAGCGCCGACAAACGCGCCAATACTCGTGCCGCCAACCATATCAACGGGAATTTCGTGCTCCTCGAGCATTTTGATGATTCCCACATGGGACAGGCCTTTCGCACCGCCTCCTCCAAGCACGAGGCCGATCGACTGGCCCCGCACGCGGCGAGCCAAACGGGCAAAGTCCGACTTGTAGTGCTCCGTGTCCAGAATGAGGTGGCGATGCATGCAAACCTACCAGCAACCGAGATGAGTTGGGAAACACCCTCTCAACCACCTTGTTTTTCGTCAAAAAAGCCCAGACACAACTTACATGGTGATGGGCATTGGTCCACGACCGAGGCGCAGCCCAGAAGCGAGTGCCGTTGGGAGCGGTAAATCGCAAATGACTCTGGCGATCGCGCAGCGCCGGATCGGGCTCCGAGACAAAGCCAGCACGGCTGGCCAGCATCTTGCGCAAGAGGGCGTCCGACTCGGCCTCAACTTCGTCATGCAGCAAGACCAGCTCCTTGCGGGCGTTGCTGCGCTTCATGAAGGGCGTAATCTCCGCCTCGACTGCTCCAATCTTTGGCCCATTCCGGCCGTTGCAGACCACAAAGATGATATCGGCCTGGCGAATGCACCGCTTGGTCCAGGACGACGCCTTGTTCTCGGCTTCGTACACGACAATGTCATTCTCTTCCTCGAGCCGTCCCAGCCAGGACGTGAGCCGGATTTTGTCGAGCACCGTCACAGACTTGGAGTTGAACTGGGCCAGCACGGCGTCATGGTCGAGACGCAGCGTCTGGCCGAGCTTGGACAGGCAGGCGACCAGTCGGTTGGCAAAAGCACGGAGAGGGACGTCGTCCGAGGAGGCAATCAAGGCCACGGTGGCCAGCTTGGCGCGGTTGGCATTGCTGTGTGCGGCCGACGCAGCAACCGCCGCTGTCGCAAACGGCACGGTGCCAGCCAGCACGGGATTGGGCGAGGCGGTCGTCGAGGTGGTGGCGAGCGATGTCGAGGACAAGGAGGGTTGCACCGTCATGCTGGCGCCAGTCAGTTCGTCCATGTCGGCCGGGCCGGAGGCAGGCCCGTCTCGTCCGATGGGCTGGAGCGTCGCAAAGTTCAACAGGTCGTCAAACACGGGGCTTCGAGCGACACGCTGCAGCCGACTGCCGATGCGCTTGTACATGGCGCGCGCAAAGTGGGCCATCACGTACGGATAGCGATTGACAATCATGGTGAACATGCTCTTCGGGATTTGGCAGATTTCCGTGTCACGGATGGCCACCACCGTGGCTGAGTGACGCGACTCGGTCAAGAGGTCGATTTCGCCCACACTATCGCCGCGGCCAAATTCTTCCGTCGCATGCTGCCCGCCGTTGATGGTCCACGAAAGCGTGCTGGCGGCCTGGTAGGCTGCGCTCATGGGACGGCCATTCGGGCCCATGCGGTCTGCAGCCACCGGAGCGGGTTGGTGCGAGGCACGCACGCGTCCATGAAGCACAATATGCAGTCCGGTGCACTCTTCGCCCTGCTCGAACAAAACCTTGCCAGCCTTGCGGTACCGCCAGTCCAGCGCATAGTCAAACTGGCGGACGAGGGGACTCAGCCGGCGCGACAAGAAGAGCGCGAGTTGCAGAAAAACATTCGGGTTGTTGTTGGCAATTTCGTCGAAAACATCGCGGGGCACATTGACCACTTGCGAGTCCTCCTTGGCGATGGCAAAAATGTCCGTGTGATCGCCCGTCAATGCGGCCAGGTGGCCAATGATGCCACCAACGCCGACGTCGTAGAGGGGATGCTTGGTGCCGTTTCGCTGAGTGGTGTACAGCGTGACTGAGCCGCGAACAACAAACTGGATGGCGCTTCCCGCAGCCGGAGCGGGGACAGCTGCAGCGGACACGAGGCCGGGCACAGTCGGAGCGTCCGGTGGCGGGAGTAGCATGGCTTCCGATAGCGGTTGGTCTTTGCGAACGTTCATGCAGGCGAGATTCGCTTCAAGCAGCTCGCGGTCCTTTTGGTGGATTTCGCCAATGCGAGCGAGAATCAAGCGAACGGCCATCTGGGACCAGGTTTCCTTGGCAGCTTCCGGGGCGTTGGAGACGTTGAGAACGTGCTGGTGGGGGTGGGGAATTGGAAGCAAAGGTCAGCAAAGTCGGCGGTTGCAAGTCAAGTTCAACAGGAAAACAAGGCTTACATCTTCAGTAGGCAACAAGAGCTCCTCCGTCAAACCCAAAAACTTGTACAGCGCCAAGAACGTAATACGCTGAAGACGCAACATGATCATTTGTGTGATGCGAGCCACGGCGTGGGGCGCGGAGCTTGCCAGCATGCGGAAGCTCTGAGGCAAACACAGAACGGCGAGTCAGTTGAATAATCTCACATGAGACTCCGTCATAGCCACAAAGGCAATCCACAATACCTCGCAAGGCAAACGAAGCAGCTTGGCATCCGTTGAAGCACGAGCGTAAACTTGACAGGGCAGCGACTCGTGTCCGGCCATGACGTCCAAATAGGTCAGCAAGCTCATTACAGTTTGTCCTTTGCATGAACACAGAGGGGAGGGGAAATTAGTTGAAATGGGTGGAAATACAGGTTGAAGCGATTGTTTTCTTACCACTTCGAATGTCGCAGAGCAGCGAGGTCGGGTCATTTTCCTCCAAAAACAGTTGAACCTGCACAAAACAAGATATTCAATGAGCCACAAATCAAAACACAGATGCTGTCACAACAAACAAACAAACAAACACGACTCACAGTTCCTTCCATGACAATCCAAAGATCAGGGCTCTTGTCGCCCTTGCGGAAGAGCAGCTCGTTCGCCTTGATTGAGAACGGCTTCATCATGGTGCACAGCGATCGTGCCAGCGGTTCGTCCAAGTATCTCAGAATCTTGATCTTGCGGATGAGTTTTGCCGTTTCGTCCTCGCCTTCCCTTGCCTCTCGCTTGCCGTGCTTGAGTTTCCCGAGGTGTTTTCCAGCCAGAGCGTCGTCGCCAGCGTCTTGGCCATGCTCGTGCTTGTCCGACCCAGCCGTTGCTCCAGTTCCAGTCGCGCTGCTCGCCAGATTGTCCTTCAGATTGGCCGAATTGTTCGCCAGCAATTCTGATGCTTTGCGCCTGGCTCGCTCCTCGCGCTTCTTGGTCCGCGCAGTCGCAATGGCCGCCGCAGCAGCCGCCGCCTTGTACTTGTCTGCAGCGACCGCAGTTCCTCCTGCAGTGCCAGACAGCAGCGTGACTGGGGTGCCCGGACCCGCCGTCGAATTCGCCCCCGCGACTTGAACCGCAGCCCCAGCAGCCCCAGCACCAGCAGCCACAGCCACAGCGTCGTCATCGTTGTCCAGCCCATCGTCGTCATCATCATCGTCGTCATCGTCGTGGCCAGCTGCAGCAAGCAGCTCCGACGCAACGTCAATGCTGTCGTCCTCCTCGTCCTCGTCCTCCGCGGCCAGCTGAAGGTCGTCCAGCGCTGCGTCGCGATGCAACCGCGTCAGCTTCTCTCGCCTCGCGTGCCGGCGTCGTCTGTTGATCAGCACAAAACCAATGTGAATGAATGGATGAGCAAACATGATTGTGAATTTTGCGCAATCGTCAAAATCTCAGACAGGCACTCAGAAATCTCGTTCTGCTTTCGCTTGTGATGACCGCAAAACAAAAACAAGCAAGGGTCGCGCCTCACCGCAGCCGGATTTCCTGGCGAACAAAGGCCACAATCACAACACCAGCAATGCACACAGTCACGCCGAGCCCGACGCGCGACTGGAGCGTCCGACCGAGCTGGATGAATGAGAACATTGCGAGAATTGTGAAGGAAAAAAAAAAAAAAAGAAAAAAAAAGCTCAGAAAAAACAATGAATGGTAAAATATTCTGAATTAGGAACATTTTCAATGATTCGACGTTTTGGTCTTAAAATCTGAGAATCAGAAAGCAGTGACCAAAAATCAAAAGCAGTCCTTTTGTTGTTGTTGATTTTGGTTGGAAATTTCTACAGATTTTGAAAAGTAACGCAAAGCCGCACAGCACACAAGAGACAATCCATGTTGCATCGAGGAGCATCCAAGTTCAAGATCAAGCTCGCTTATGGACTGGCCGTGATTGCGTGGCTGTTGGCAAATGCGAATCAAGTTGCCAAAGCTCAAGCAGCCGAAAGTATCTCTCAACCAGACACCGCTGAACCTTGGTCTACATCTACCTTATGGACCAATACATACCAACACGAGTTCTGCACTCAGACCCGAGCATTGCTGGCTGCCCGGATCCAAGCCGAGCAGATTCAGGCCAAACCTGCACCTCCCCCGCGAGACATTCCAGGCCACATGCTCGACGAGTTTACGCTCAATGGGCAGATTCCGGTCTCACGCTACTACGTCGACGACACGAACGGCGGACAAGGTGAGCACGATGGCACGGCAATCGGGCAGGCTTCGACCAAACATGCACCAAATTAAAACTCATGCTCAAAATTCAACCTCCAATGCTTGCCTCTTTCTTGAACACTGACATGCAGGAACGCACATCGGCTACTCTCGAAACCAGATTGATCAGCTCGTGAGCCAGTTCAAAGAGCGACTGCGCAAAATCAAGGGAACTCGCGTCGAACTTCCGGTTGCAGACGCCACTGTTGTGGTTCCGCGTGCGATGCACGAGGACTGGGTATTGCGAGCGCTCAGCGAGACAATCCGCACTGGCGATCGGGTGGTCGTCTACGGATCGATGACCCCAACGTACGAGGCCATGGCGCTGGCTTGCGGCGCCGCTGCCGTCGTCACGTCCGAGTACAACGCCCTGACATACCAGCATCCCAACATTACGACAGTCACACCCGACGTCCTGCAGTCGATGCCCTTTCTGCACGAGCACGGCCTGTTCGATGTGGCTGTTTCCATCACGAGCTTTGATCACGACGGCCTGGGCCGCTACGGGGATCCCGTCCATCCAGCTGCCGATCTGCTTGCCATGCAAAACGTACGCTGCGTTCTCAAGCCGGGCGGCCGGCTCGTATTGACAGTGCCGGTGGGACCCGACGGGCTCGCGTGGAATTTGCACCGCCGTTACGGTCCCCTCCGTCTGCCGTTGCTCATCCAAGATTGGCAGGTTCGGCGGCGGATTGGCTGGTCGTCCGAACGATATTCAGACCCTCAGGGCCGGATGAACCAGGTGTATGAGCCGGTGTTTGTGTTGGAAAGCGCATTCGATGCCAAGCGGACGGAATTGTAGCGTACAGCGATGAGTTGACTGAAGAAAATCGTTGTGTATTGATTTTGTGATTGATGGTACAAAAATTGATGGGTGGGTGGGTGGTAGTGGTGCTGGCGTAGGCGGGAGACGACGAATGCACGAAAAAAAGGCATGCTCATCATGAATTCTCATCACTCGTCATCCTCATCATCATCATCGTCGTCGTCGTCATCATCATCATTCTCCTCGGCCTCTGCCAGGGCGTTGAGCCACGCGTTGACTCGGAACAATGCATTGCCCTTGCCAGGGAAATCGTCGTTGACATCTTCCTTCCACAGCACAAAGCCTTCCTCGTCGACGATATCGCAGTGATAGAGCAACTTGAACAGGCGGAGAATGAGGTCTGCACAAGTTTCACCCGAGGACATAGCGCAGAAGCGTCAGTCGTCTCGTCGAGAAATGCGGCAAATTCAATCCAAAACGAAAACAAACAAAAAAACAAAACAAAACAAAAAAACCAACTGCTCTCCTCACCTTTGGGGAAGTCCCGCTTGAGAGCAAACAGCTGCGCCGCATAGACCACATAAAGTTGAAGCTTGACGTCGTGGTCTGTAAACTTGCGAATGATTGGAGCGTACTGCTTGAACAGAGCAAGCTCGGTCTTTTTGGCCTCGGCACTCAACGTTGAATCTCCGGCAGCGTCGCCTTCCGAGCCGGACATGACTTTGCTGTCAATGTGATCAAGCACCGCGGACGACAGCAGCAGTACAAAGTCGGGCTTGGTGAAGAACGAAGGATCGCACGTTTCCTATTCAAATTGTTTTGTTTGTTGTGTATACGGAAACCACAAAGGTCAGCGCCACCGCACTTGGCCCACGCGCCAAACTTGAACAAGCGGATTCCAACTTACCTTCAGGAACTTGTAAATCTCGGATATCGTGGCGTTGCTGGCCAGCATTTCGCGAAGCTCCAGCTCGGTGCGCAGCAACGGCTTCAAAAACTCCAATGCCTACGTCAAGCCATGCCAGTCAGTCGAACAAAACACAAGCAAAAAAATGCTGGAAAGAAAATCATCAAGAATCCACCTACATAGCGCTTCAGGGTGTGGTAGGTCTCGGAGCTGGAATTTCGCGCATGGGGTGGAAGGAATTGGACAATGTCGAGCTTGGCGGCAGCAAGAATCTTGGGCAGCTCGTTGGCAGCGGCATCGGGTCCTGCAGCACGCGCCATGGCAGCAACCAATTCGAAAAGCAGCGGCGAGCAGGCGCAGTCCATGCCCTGGTCGGCAGCAACTTGCGTGTTGGCAGTTTGCAGCATTCGGGCAACAGTCATCAACGAAACAACATCCAGGGTGATTGCGTGACGAAGGAAGTCTGCGATAATGGCATCAGCCTGGGGCACGTCGACACGCAAGTCCGGGAGTGTCAGAACGAACGCCTCGAGTGCCTCTTCCACGTCGCTGGCAGACAGCAGCTTGGCCGTGATCAATTCGCTCACAAGGTTGGCCGCTTGGGCTGGTCGTCGCGCACGAGACGCGGCATCATGTGCAGCGCTGGGTTCGGGGTCGGCCAGGAGTCCGAGAAGCCGAGTCACAAGCTCAGTTTTGAGGGCACGCGACATGCGCAGTTCACGAATGCATGCGACCGCTTCTTTCAAGTCGACTACTGAAAAGTACTCGATCAGCGTGTCTTTGAAACGAGCACGGATTTCGTCGCTTGACAACGAGGCGGCCTTTTGAGATGCTGCCGGTGCTTGCTGCTGCTGCTGCTGCTGTTGTTGCGGAGGACGCGTCGAAGAAGGTGGCGGGGAAGGCGAGTTGGTGCCAGAGCGTGGCGCATCCGCGAGCTCATCGAGCCCACTCCCAGTTCCAGAGCTGGAGCGCGAGCGCTGAGAGCCTTGCAAGTTCCCAGCGACGGCTGCGTTGGCGTTCTGACCTGTCTGCGGCGATCGCGATCGCGCAGAGTAATTCGACTCGGGCCGCAGACTGACCTCGCCGGACGAGTCGGCAGGGCGCCGAAGCGGCCGAATTGCCAGCGGCTCGTTGGGCGACGGCGCAGGAGGAGGCGCAAACATGTTGCTTCGTGAGCGGCGGTTTCCGGTGTTTGCCCCGGCTGGTGATGTCTGGGGACTGACCGCTGGCTGGCCAGAGTGGGCGGCAATGGGAGAGCCCGCGCCTGCCGAAGAAGAGCCGTTTCGCGAGAGGGACTGCTGCTGCGATGGCGCATTCCCAAGCAGACCCGGAGGCTGGCGCTGAGCGGGATTGCCGCGGCCAGCACCGCCGAGACTGCCGTTGCCGCTGGAGGGCGATCCAGAGGAGGCCGAGCCCACGCCCTTGAACATGGGGTCGAGCGAAGCCTCCTGGCGAACCTCCTCAATCGTCTTTGGCCCGGCCTGGGTCTTGGACGCTGCGGTTCGGCGAGCAACCCAGTTCGCCTGCCGCAATTCGAGCACGTCTTGGACCATAAACCGGATGCGAGAGGGAAGCTCGGGGTGGACGGCAAAGTCTTTCATCCGGTCAAAGTACTTTTGCATGAGCGGCTTGGCCTTCTCGTGATCGAGTTGCTGGCCCACCGTCGTTAGCAGCTTGCAGAGACAAGCAATGTCGTCCGGATCGACGTGTTTCAAGTCTCCCAGCAATTGCTGGATGCAAATGTGCAACACCCGCTCTTTGAGCATCTCGAGCTTGAACAGCTCTCCGATAAACCGAATGTTGCCCAGCATTTTGCGCTTGGCGGCTATCAGGCGGTCGCGCAACTCTTCGTCCTGCGCATCCCAGCTGTGTCCGCTCAGCTCGGACACCGCTTTGGAACGATTTTCAAACTCTCGTTCGCACTCCAGGAGCAGCAGTCGTCGGAAGGTCTGTGGGGGGGGAGGTGGCAGCACACGACAAAGCAATTTTGGGAATGGTGGCGGTGAGCGTTAGGAGATGCAAATTTCGCCTTTCACTCGAGTAAAACACAAAAACACGCACCGTAATGTGCTTCGCGTTGGGTTCGGTGCTGGGCTCCTCAAAGTTCGGCGCCTCCGAGTTCAGCTTGGTGCACAAGGATGCATACATGGTGCTGTACTGGGGCTCATCGATTGCCTTTTCGAAAATCTAGCCGGTACAACACACCGATAAACCGATAAATCGACATCCGTGAGCACAATAACGAAAGGATTGCGACACAGGGCAAAATGGAGCGTCACGTCCATACCAGCAAGATAATGCCCTTGAGAATTTCGACATTTCGGATTCCCACGTCAAGTAGCGATGTTGCAATCCGCTCGTAATTGTCCGGGGTAAGCTTATTGAGAAGGCTGCAAAGAGGGTGAAAAAGGGGGGGGGGATGAGCATCCGATGAGCGTTTTCAAAAGTAGACGCAGACAGAGCGGCGATGGCCTCACCTTCGCACATTTCGGAATATCGTGTCGTTGTCCAAGACACCACTAGCGAGTGCGGCAGCCGCAGCGGGCGTCGGTGCAGCGTTGAGCGCGCGCGCAGGCAGCCACCTATTGTTGGATCTTTGCAAGGGCGCAACCTGGAGCAAAACCAAGCGAGAGGATTGGTGGGTGAGTCAAATCAATTCTCACCAACATGCAGAGCGATCGATTGTGTGAAAATGACTCACGGGCGACGCGAGGCTCGGATGGGAGCTCGATGGCCCACCAGGGCTGTTCGATGCAGCGTAGCCATCGCGAGCACTGCCGCCATCTCGACCGCTTCTTGGGGTATGCGGCGATGATCCTCGCTCACGGTGCAACGGCTGCTGCTGGTGGTGGTGGTGCTGGTGGTGGTGTGAGTGGCCAGCAGAAGCAGCAGATTGACGCGATGAGGCAGGCGGGGAGGACAGCAACCCGACAGGCGGTGCAGCTGAGCCTGAATGGTGCGTCTGTCCTGTCGACGACGACGACGACGAGTGCGGCGACGACGAGTGCGGCGAGTGCGGGTGCGAGTGAGACGAGGCCTGGTGCTGCTGGTAGTGTGGAGAGTGGCCGTCTCGCTGGGAACACCGCAAATCCATCAGAAAAGAATAGTCACAATCCAAAATGCAAAAAGTTCCATAGATGAGTGAGTCATGCACATTGAGTGAGATGTGAGGCAGAGTGTTGAAGCCGGACGCGATAGAGCGAGAGCGAGAGCGAGAGAGAGAGTCAGACTCGACCCGAGCCTTGTTGTTCTCTCATCTTCCAAACTTTGTCTTGGTTTGTTGCTGTGAGGATGGTGATGGCGATGCCGTGGTGGCAGGTCAAAGAGGGAAAGCCATAAAACGCAATGCAACGCCAAAGCAAAGAAAAAAAAAAAAAAAAAAAAAAAATAGACTTTTAGGACTTTGACGCCTTTTTTTCGTTTGTACTCGCCGTCCATCCAAGACAACGAGCGGGGCTTCAAACGCCAGCGAGCGAACACGCGCGATGTTCGAGGGGCGGTGGCGGTGGCGGTGGCGGTGGCGGTGGGTGTGGTCGGATGCGAAGCAAAAAGCTCAATGGAACCTTAAAGAGAGAAAAAAAAGACTCTATGCGTTTTGCCCAGCCATGCACTCAGGCACAGGCTCAGACGCCTCCCCCACAGCGAGCGCTCGTGAACAAGTAGAAGAAGACCACGCATTCGATTAGTCAGTCAGGCAGCCCAGTCAAAGAAAGGGGGGGGGTTCTCGTTCAAAAAAAAAAAAAAAAAAAAAAAAAAAACACTGTAAAACACGAACACAAGAACACAAGAAAAAAAAAAAAAAAAAAAAAAAAAAAAAAAAGCTATGGCTGGTTTTGTTGTTTGGCTGGAGAACCATTGCCTGCCTTTGTTGCTTGTGTTGGTACACTCAAAAACGCCACTTCGCAAGGCGCCAAAGACAAAAAGATACGTTTCATGGTGTGCTTGAACGTATTGCAAAAAAAAAAAAAAAAAAAACGGAGTCATGGAGATGGAGCACAAAAAAAAAAAACAAACCGATCGCATGGTAAAGAATGACCGCTTCTGTATTTGGATTTGACAGCCAAAAAGTGAAACACACAACAAAATGCAGGTTGAAGAAAAATAATGTATGGGTGTGTTGGGAGGCAAGCAAAAAAAAATAGTCGTATCAAACTCTGTGGTTGCACGCATTAGCAAGGGCTGACCAAAAGATTGGCAACAGCCCCCGCCATCCGTCATGTCGGTCCCTCCCTCCTGTGCAAATGCAAAACCGACAAGGGCGCCAAAAACTCATGCAAACAGAAGCTCGCGCTAGCAGCGACGTCCAAAGTAATCCAGAGGCAGCGCGGGGACGGCGGGGGAGCTGCGGCGCTTGTTGGTCTCGAACGCCTCGAGACAGCCCGCGTAATAGTTGACAATGGCGTTGTTGGTCAGGCAGTAGAGCACCGCGGCGCAGGATTCGAGATCGCACGGCCGCGCGCCATTGCCGGCATGCATCAGCGTGACAAAGAGAGAGGCCAGCTGCTCGTCCACGCGTAGCCGCTGCGAAAGTGCGGCAAAGCTTGTCGTTGACATGTCGGTCATGTTGAACGTCTCCTTCATCGAGTAGAGACGCCCCCAGGCACTCAGAGCAATTTCATCGAGCCGGGTCGCGTTCGCAGCGGCACCGCTTGCTTTGGCGTCCAGGTTGGCCTGGGTCAGATTGAAAAAGTACGTCTCGTGGTCGAGCAGCTCGAACGTGGTGGCATTCAGCGTGTACACGCGGAATGCGGGATTCAGGTCGACATACGGGGTCAGCGAAGGCGCAATGAATGTGACGCGCGTTGGCTGATCCAGCAGCGTCACAGAGGTTCCGTTCGCGGTGGAAACGGCATGCGCAATCTGGTAATAGTCCAAGTGCTCGTGTCCAAACGCAGCCAAGACAATGACGTCCTGGAACTGGGTGAGCAGGTCGGCAACAGCACCTCCGTAGGGCGGCGTCGCATCGAGCGTGCCCGGAGGGACGTGTCCAATCAGCACCACTTTCTCGCCCGACGCGCGCGCGTTTGTGAGTGTTGTCACGAGGAATTCCTGATGCTGACGAACAATGTCTAATTGGCTGTTCAGAACCACATAGTAGTTGCGCTACCAGCCGAGAAAAAAAACAAAACAAAAAAAACAAAACAAAAAACAAAAAAAAAAAAAAAAAAAAAAAAAAAAAAAAAAAAAAAAAAAAAAAAAAAAAAAAAAAACAAGCGCAGAAACAGGACGCAAATAACAATCCGTAAGTGTGCAATAATGAAGCAACTCGGATGGCTACACGCGCAAACGCAAACTCACCGAATACCCAAACTGCGTGTTCATGGCGACCAGACGAAGACCGGGAAGAATACCAGTGGTGTAGGCGCCGAGATATCGAAAGTTGTTCAGCGTGTTGTTGGGCACAAGATTTGCATAGACATTGGCCAGGCCATCCAACTGGTACATGTCCGACCGAGGGTCGAAGAGGTTGTCGGGGTAGTAGTCGTGGTTGCCGGAGGTTGGGAAGAGCGGCAATTGAGGCAAGTTGGCTTTCAAGATGGCGGCGATTGTGGCTGTGCGATTGAGGTTTTTGGTCCAAGTCGAGTTCCAAAAGTCGTGCGCAGGGTTGTCGCCATTCCAAATGCCAAAGTCCAGGCGCCCGTTCGCGGCCGTCTCATTCGTGACTGCAGAGTTCCCGACAAACGCAAAGGTTGCATTAATGTAGGCAAACAGCGACCGAATGGTGCGCGGCGCCAGGTCGCACTGGTAGTCGCCAAACTCGCCTGCTGTTCCAGAGCCGTCCGATGGCTGGCAGCACAGATACGTCCCGCAGTCTACCTTGGTTCCGGCGGCATACGTTAGGTCGAGATGGATATCCGTCAGTTGCAAAACTCGAATGGTGGCGTTTGGCGACACGCCTTGTGTGTAGGTCGGAAAGTTGCGCCGCTCCAGCTTGTTGGGATCGGACCGAGGTTGTCTAGAGGCGGACTTGCGAGAGCCAAACAGGCGCGCTAGATCGGGAGTCGCGGATGTTGATACTCGAGCAGCGCGGTCAAAGCGGGCAACATGAGGCGCGGTTTGCGCGCCGCCACGACGACTCGCAGACGCCTTTGTGCGTGCGTGCGGCAAGCGATCTTGGAAGAGCAGCGCCAACATCTGGACGGCGTCCGTCAGTTGCTGGCTCTGCATCAGACCGGAAGGGTTTGCGTCGCCTCCTCGGGCAGGTCGGTTGTCGTTCCGTCGCTCACTCAGGGTGAGGAACGGCGTCAAGTCAACGACGGAATTCTGGCCGTTTGTACCCATCGTAATGTTGGGCACGATGCAGTAGTTGACCAACGAGCAAATCTCGTCCGGCGTGAGGTACGACGCGCGCAATGCCGAAACGACCGCTGGAACATAGCGGCTCGACAGTCCAGGACAGACCTTGTCGGTATCATATCCAAAGAAACTGAGAGCTGTGTGCAAGGCACAAAGCACCAAAAACCAAACAAACACACACAAAACAAAGACAGGGTAGGGTGTAATTGCCAAGTTAGCAAGTGCGACGCGCGGACTTTTTGTTTATCGTGGGTGTAGTGCACGTCGGCTTTGTTTGTTGTTTTCCTGTGAGAAATTCCCAAATAAATCGACTCCACTCCCCTGTTCGGTGGATAGCGCGGGCGTGTTTTTGGAATGTGTGCGTGTGTGTTTACGTGTTCACGGTTGCTTTGCATGGGTTGCGTGTGACATGCCCAGCAAACTGGCACCATCTCATGAAAACCATTCCCTATCCATATGGAAGCCAACTTACACTGTGAGCAAATGGTTTTGAACGCCAACTCGATGGTCGGGTCGTCAACGGTTGTCGAGACAAGCTTCAGGGTTGGCAGTAGGCGCTGACATGTCCCGCACAGGCTGATGAAGTTGGACAGTTTCGAGTCTGTGAAAGGATTGTTGAATGGAAGTGGCACCAATGGAGCAGCGAGGTCTCGGCGGCGACGGTCGGCGAAGCGAAGAGACTGGTCGGCGTTCTTCTTGTCACCTGGCGCGTTGGCAACGCGATTGCTCGTTCTTCGCGCAGCACCGACACTGCGCTGATTGATGACTGGAGCAGCATATGCGGTAGAGAATTGGTGCACGAGACAGCAGGCTGCCAGCGCCAATACGAGCGTGAAAAGCACCGATTTGCGTAACTCTGACATGTTGCAGATTTAGGGAAAAACGCGGAAATAAATTAACGGCGGAAAAAAAAAATCAGAAAAGGGGAAATGAGCTCAAAAGTTTTGTTCGAAAGAAGAATAAGTGTATTGACACGAGCTCATTTTTGACTGAAGACTGGACTGACTTGGAGCAGAGAAATAGATGATCAGGCACTAAACGAAAACTAAACACAAACAACGAATGCAAGCAAGCAGAACGAGACGAAGCAAAGAAAACGAAAGAAGAACGTTGTTGTCGCGTTAGACATGAGCACCAAAGTAATCCAGGGCGGGTGGCAAGGCTGCGGCGGCGCGTCGCCCCACGGCAGAAGAGGTGTTGTTGGTGTTCCCGACGACACAACCGGCATAGTAGTTGACGATGGAGTACTGGGTCACGCAGTAAAACACGACGCCGCACGTCTCAAGTGGACAGGGTCGCGGGGCACTCGCAGTGTAAGCAAGAGTCGCAAACTGAGCAGCGAGCTGCTCGTCATGACGGAGGCGGAGGCTGAGACCGTGCATCGAACTCGGCGAAACATCCGTGAGGTTGTAGAAGGCTTTCAACGAGTACAGCTGGCTCCACGCATCCAGCGCAATCTCGTTCAGACTGGCACTCTGACGTTTGCTGGACCCGCGCCACGGCTGGCTGGCAATGTTTGCTTGGGTCAGATTGAAAAAGTGCGTTTCCGCGTCCAACAGCTGAAACGTTGTCGCATCAAGCGTGAAAACCCGGAACGCAGGATTGGTCTCGGTGTACGGCGTCAGAGAAGGCGAGACAAACGCGACAGTGACGGGCGCTGTCACGTTCGGAGTCGGGTTTGTATCGTTAGTGAGAGCAGAGACCATTTGGAAAAAGTCCAGGTGGTCGTGGCCAAAGACACCAAAGAGAACAACGTCTTGGAAGTCAAGTAGAGTCTGAGCAGCAAGTGAGCCGAAGGCGGGGGTCGAGTCCATCGTTCCGAGCGGTACGTGGGACATGACAATGACTTTTTCGCCAGCGAGTCGAGCGTTTAGCATGGTCGCGCGAATGAAGGTCAGAGCTTCGGCGACTACCGAATTTTGATTGTTGAGAATAACGTAGAGATTGCGCTGCAGGTGTGACAAGCGCGTCCGAGCAGAGTGCAAACCACAAACAATCAAAGTGAGTTCGAAAATGATTCCAGTGAAAACAGTGCAAAAACAACCTCAGAAATACATGTACCGACCGAATACGAGTACTGCGAATTGAACGAGAGAACACGCAACCCAGGACGTAGCAGCATGGAATACGTTCCATACTTGCTAAAGGCGGCTTTTGCCGGGGCATCCAACCAAGGCTCCCACACGTCAGCAAGCGCTTTGAGAATGTAGCCATCCGTGGCAATGTTAAACAGATTGTCAGGATACACGTCATGGTTGCCGATGGTGGCGATGACAGGCACACCAGGCATGTTTTTCTGGAAAGCGCGAGCCAGGATTTGGGTCATTTGCAAGTTCCGGCCCCAGCTGGCATTGTACATGTCGTGGGCAACGCTGTCGCCACCGTAAAGCACATAGTCAATATGACCGTTAATGGCGGTTCCTTCCGGCAGTGGGCTGCCAGGATAGGAGAAGGTTGCGTTAATGTAGGCGAAAAACGAGTTGAAGGTGCGGATGGACAGGTCACACTGGTAGTCCCCAAAGGTACCAGCTGAGCCCGGTCCAAAGCTTCCGTGGCAGCAGAGATATGTCCCGCAAGTTGCATCACTGCCGTTGAGGTATTGCAGATCGAGATGGACGTCCGTGACGTGGAGAATCCGGACGGTCGGCGAGCCCGGCGCCTGGCGACGATGAGAAGCAAGCTCTTGCTGGAGCTGACGAGGCGTCGATTTGGCACGGAAGATGTTTGCCACGCCTGGGAAATCATCGAACGAAGCCCGCGCACTGGTGTCAAACCGGGAATGGGTCGCTTCGGTTGGCATTGCTCGAATCGCGTGCGCCAGTTGTTCTGAAGCTTCTTTGAGCACTTGGCGTCTGTAGCGGCGCATCGGCGTCATTGGCGGTGGAGTATTATTGATAACCACGGTTCCAGTTGCGCTTGACGAGGGACGCGGGGTTTCGGTGCTTGACGAGACGCGCAAAGTATTGGCACTTGAAGAGAAACGCAAAGTATCGGTGGCTGCGAGACGCGAGTTGTCATCGCTCGCACCGGATGGTGGCGGGGTCGTAGCTCGGCTGCTGCTGCCTGAGCTTGATGAGCTTGGAGGCGAGTTGGATGCGAGCGGACTGTTGCCCAGAGAGGCGGCGCCTGTGGAACCCCTGGAGCCGGTTGCAGAAGTGATACCTGGTGCAGGGCCAGATTGAGATGGTAGTGATGTACCCGAAGGATTATTGGCGAGACCAGACGTGGCAGTCGGATTGACTGGAGGCGCTTGGCCGGTACTGGTCGCCACAGGCGGATTGCCTCTCGAAGACGGCGGCTGCGTCGTTCCATTGGTAAAGGACGAAAAAATGGTGGTGTTGAACCGCACGCAGTAGTTGAGAAGCTCACAAATCTGGGGTGCCGTCAAGGTAGTGGTTCGCAGCGCGAGATCTGCGGGAGGGACATAGAGGATGGCCAGTCCCGGGCAAATCAACTTGCTGTTGTAGCCAAGTAGTTGCAGAGCTAAGAAAGGCGTCAATAAGATCAAATCAACGGCGAGTCAGTGTGCACACAACAGCAAGTTGTACAATTACCCAAACAAGGTTTTATCACCATGGCAGTACAATGGAACATGCCAAACCCACGCAAACACGAAAAAAAAAAAAAAAAAAAAAAACGCCCGAAAATTCCTGACTCGCGCCACCGATCGAATAAAAAAAATCGACATTCATCACGCATCCAAAGCCCAAAATGATAAAAGAAAAGAGAAAAGAACGCCAAATTGATACGCATTGCTGCAAACGGCAGAGCAAACGGAAAGAGCTGTGTCCCTGCGCTGTCAACCATTCCTGTTGATTGACCGTCGACGCATGCAACGAGCGTCATGGCCAAGGCAGAAAGCAGAGGAAGGTGTGTTGCAGTCGTACAAGCCTTCGTGCCCCGGTTTTGTTTTTGTGTTTGTTTTTGTGTTTTTGAAAGGTTTTCATGGCAGCGTGCATGTTTTTGGCACTGCGTCAAAACACTGTCCGTTGCACCGTCTCTACCGCTGCAAGTTCGTCAAAAGATACCTGCACTGAACAGAAAAAACAACTACACTTACAAGCATCGCACACGGAGGAGAACGATGTCTGGAGCGAATAGTTGCCTGGGGCTTGAGCGAGCCGGAGCAGCACTGGCATCAAATTCAGACAATTGGTGCAAATCGACTGCAACGATTGGCCGCTGTTGATGCCCGTCAGCAGTGGATCCGAGGGTAAAGGCACGATGGGTACAATGGGTCCAACGGCACTGTCAGACTGGACGTAGACGTCCCAAACGCCTGCGCGGCGAGAGCGACCAGGTTTGAAGGATGAACGCTCGGCTCGCCTCCCATCTTTTGAATCACCGACTTTTGAGGGCCGACTGCGACCACCGGTTGTTGCACCCGGAAAAGCTTCACTGCTGCGACGATGTGATCGATGGACAGGGGCACTCTCTGTGACGCTGCAGAGCGCCAGCGCGAGCAAGAAGACGATCAACGCGGAAATTTGCCAACGAAAACGCATTCGTCAAAAAAAGCGAAAAAAATACAAAGTGGAAAAGCAAAAGGTAAACAAACGGAGTAAATGTTGTAAAATGACTGGCGCAGGATGTCCCACGCACGCATGGCGTTTATTATATCTACACATCGAGTTTGAAGAATGATAAAGTATAGTCAAGTATTTTTCCTGGGCGCGACAAAGCCAATTTCGTTGCTAGGTCAGGCTGGTCAGCCCGACAATGCAGCCAGCATAATAGTTTACAATGCCATACTTGGTCATGCAATAGTTGGCAACACCGCACGTCTCCATTGGGCAAGCTAAAGGCCGCCTGGCGGTCGTTTGAATTGTCGCAAACAGCGATGCGACTTCTGGTTCGACGCGAATGCGCTGGCTCAAGTTTTCAAAGCTCCGAGGCGACATGTCGGTCAGGTTGAACGTCTCTTCAAAGCTGTGCAGCTTGCTCCACGACGCCAGTCCGATTTCGCGCAACGCGCTGTCCCGTTCAGTTTGGTTGAGACCGGGAGCCAGTTGGCTCAGCGCCGACGCGTTCGCATTGGCTTGGCTCAAGTTGAAAAAGTGCGTTTCCATGCCAATCAGCTCAAACGTCGTCGCGTTCAATGTATACACGCGAAAGGCTGGATTCACGTCCCGGTACGGAGCAACGGAGGGACAAGGCAAGATCAGATTGACAGGTTGGTCTTCGTGCAGCCGGCCTGGAGATGTACCGTTCCCTAGCTCAGTTGCATGGACCACCTGGAACATGTCACGATGCATGTGTCCAGTGGCAGCAAAGAGGATTGTGTCCGAGAATGTCGTCACAAGACTTGCGGCGTACGCACTGACGCTCTGCAATGCGTCAGTCCCACCGGATGAGAGGTGCGTTATAAACAACACTCGGTCCCCAGCTAGAGACGCATTCGCCAGTAGCTGGTCCAGCAATTGACCTTGCACGTGTCCTGCCTCAGTTTTCAGGTTTAGCGCGCTGTAAAAGTTGCCCTAGACGCCAGTAATGAAAGTAAGTGAGTGACAAACGTGCTGCACCCTCCAAAATAGAACAACAGTCACTCTAGGATGATGCCATACCGTAAACGTCAGCATGGGATTCGCAGCCAAAATTCTCAAGCCGGGCAGCACTTGGGCAGTGTAGGTCCCAAACTGCCGAAAGAGAGCGAGGTCTTCGTCGCTCAGCCACATGCGGTACAGATCCGCGTGAGCGTCGAGTTGCGCCTGGTCGTGCAGAAAGTCGTACATGTTGTTTGGCGAAAAGTCATAGTTGCCAATCGTAGGATACACTGGCAAACCAGGGAGGTTGTTGAATATTTCTCGCGCAACAAATGCGGTCGCGTTGAGGTTGCGCCCGTTGTCTGGCTTCCAGATGTCGTGCGCCGAATTGTCACCCGTCCAAAGTGCAAAGTCGAGGTGTCCATTGGGTGCACTAGATGCATTCAGCGACGGGTTGCCAGGATAGGCGAACGTGGCGTTAATGTAGGCAAACATGGATTCCAACGTTTGCGTTGGCAAGTCGCACTGATAATCGCCAAAGTGGCCTGCACTGCCAGGCCCGCTATCACTGCGACAACACATGTAGGTCGCGCAGTTGGGATTCGTGCCGCTCTTGTACTCAAAGTCCAGGTGGATGTCTGCGATTTGCAAAACACGAATGACATCGCCGGGTCCCCGACGTTGGCGGTCTGTGTCACGGCGTTTGTGCACGGCGTGCATCTGTTTGTAGGATGGCTTGGGAGCAAATAGCTTGCTCATGCTGGGAAATGACGATGCGACCTCTGAAACTGGATCCAGTGAAGGCAAGGAAAGCGGCCTTGACGGCCAAAGGATGGAGGCCAGTTGGTCCGAGTGTTGCTGGAGCAGTCTTCGGGCATGCTTGAGGTCGTGCGCACGTTTCGATGCAACACTCTTTGAGCCCGATCTTGGTGATTGCCATACTTTGGTATCTCGCACCTCGTCGAGAGCGCGCAGGGCTGAACGGGACACGGAAGGCGGGTCTTGTTGTCTCCTTCGCGGCGGCGTCGGAGGTGGCACGGCCACCGGAAACACCCCAAGGCTCTCGCGAGTCGTATTGAAATCGATACAATAGTTAAAGTATTCGCACACTTCATCGGGCGTCAGCGTCGTCTGTGAAAGCGTTGTTTGCATCGGACCAATGAATCTCCGAGCCAGTCCGGGGCACATGGCATCCGCGTTGTAATTCTTTGCTTTGAGCGCTGTCAAATCAAAGAGCGCAAGTCAGAGTGTGCATCGAGTTCTGGACTTCTCGTTTGATTGAAAAAAAAAAAAAAAAAAAAAAGAACAAAAAAGAGGTGCGCGTTCATCTTTTTGTTTGTTTGTTGTTGATCGACTTTTCTTTTTTGTTGTTTTCCCACGGTTTGCGTGTTCCGGCGCTTCGAATGTCGATGACTCATACCAACGAGATGGCTAGTGGTTGAATGCAACAGACAGGTGTGGCAGCAGTGCTGTTGCGCCTGCTCTGTTGCGACTTACTCTGGGTGCACAGGCTGAGAAACGTCGCGTTCAGCACCGAGGTCTGGTCCACGGTTGCAATGAGCATCAACGCCGGCATCAGATTGCGACAAGCGCGACAAGTGGAGGCGATTGTCAGGCTGGTGGTCGATGTGACATTGAGGTCGTTGACCTGCAGTGGAACAATGCCGAGCGGGAGTCCTGCGCCGGCCGCTCGCCTGCTTGTGCCTGTGCTCGCGGTGGCGAAACGACGACTTGAAACGTCATTCCCACAAAGTGAATATTTTTGATGTTGAATGAACGCGTGCTCTTGTCGTTGTTGCTGCTGCTGCTGCTGCTGCTGCTGCTGCTGCTGCGGGACTGGCAAACCATCGCTAAAGCAAGCCAGCCATGAGATCCACAACGTAATGAACAAAGCAAAGAAGCGCATGGATGTAGCGCGCAAAATCAAACAATGGACAACAGAAACAGAAAAAAAAAACGCAAAGAGATGGAGCAACAAGAAAACAACAAAAAATAATAAATGTGGATTGGAGTGTCAATTGCGATGTGCAGGTGATAGAAATAACACAACAAACAAACAGAAAAAACAAATTAACAACGACTACAACCAACCAGCGGAAATGTCAACGGGACTGGTGGAAGTCAGACCGACAATGCAGCCGGCGTAGTAGTTCAAAATGGCGTAGTTGGACGTGCAATGCAGCCCGATTCCACACGTTTCCGGGGCGCAGGGTCGAGGCTCACTCGCTGATGTTGCAAGAGTGGCCATGACCTCGCCGGTGCCCCGGTCATTGCGGAAGGTTTGGCTCAAGTTGCCAAAGCTGGCTGGGGACAAGTCGGGCATCTCGAACGTTTGCTTCATCGTGTAGAGCTTGCTCCACGAGCTGAGCGCAATCTCGTCTAGCTGCCTCTCAATGCTTGCGTTGACGGAGGTGTTGCTTGGGAGCAACGCCAAGAGTGCTGCCGCTGCGTCGTTGGCGGCCGTGAGATTGAAAAAGTGCGTCTCGTGGTCAATCATCTCCATGGTAGTGGCGTTCAGCGTGTAGATGCGGAATGCTGGATTTGTGTTCTGGAACGTCGACAAAGAAGGCGCATGAAACCACACGGACACTGGCGGAAGGGCAGTGTTCAGCTGTGGTCGCCCTGTTGCCGAGCTCGGCATGGTCAGCGGGTGCACCAGCTGGAACATGTCACGATGCGTGTGACCGCTTGCAACCCACTTCATGACGCCAGGATGCATGGTTGACAGGTATGAAATGTACGCGCCGCTGCGAGCGGTGGCATCCGCCGATCCGACTGGCAAGTGCGTGAATCCGAAAATCTTGTCCCCTGCTTCCTCGGCGTCCAGGAAGGCCTGGTTGAGAAATTCCTCTTGATCGGCAAAGTCGGAGCGCTGCGGATTGACGGCATTGTGTACGTTCAGCTAGAGCGTGAAGCGGCAAGCAGTTAGTCAAGCAGTTAGTCAACAAATGTGTGTTTGGACAAAAAGCTCAAAACGCCCATGCACGCAAAGCCAACTTACCGCGATGGAAAACATGGAATTCATGGAGAGGACTTTCAAGCCCGGGCGGACGGACGCAGAGTACGTGCCAAAATCGCGGAACGAGGACAGCGTGTCGTTGCTGAGCCACAAGTTGAAGAGGTTGGCGTACGCATCCAGGATGTGCTTGTCTTGCTGGATGTCAAACAAATTGGCTGGATAGGTCTCGTAGGTTCCAAACGTCGGGTATACCTGTAGGCCGGGGAGATTGCTGAACAATTCTCGGGCAATGAAGGAGCTGGCATTGAAGCTGCTCTCCCAAGTCGCCTTCCAGATGTCATGCGCCGAGTTGCCGCCCGTCCAGATTGCAAAGTCGAGATGTCCATTGGGTGCACTAGATGCATTCAGCGAAGGGTTGCCAGGATACGCCAGCGTGGCGTTAATGTAGGCAAACATGGATTTCAAGGTCTGCACGGGCAAATCGCATTGGTAGTCACCAAAGTGACCTGCGTTCCCAGGCCCGCTGTCCCCGCGACAGCACATGTAAGATGCGCAGTTTGGGTTTGTCCCTCTTTGGTACTCAAAGTCGAGATGGATGTCTGTGATTTGCAGGATACGGATGACATCCGTTGCTTCCGAAGCTGGTTGGTCCCTCCGGTGCGAACGCTCTTCGCCACGACGTCCATGTGTAGCAAGCATCTCCCTGTAGGAAGGCTTTGGTGCAAACAACGCCGCCACGCGGTTGGAATGGGGCCGATCAGGTTGCATCGTCGTGTTTGGCGCGACCGGTTCAGATTGGATTTCTGGGCTTGTTGTCTTCGCCGTGCCGACTGCCCTGCGTGCAACGAGCGACGTTGCAAACTTGAGAAAGGATGCCTCGGCCTTGCGATAAATGCGCTGCGTGGCCTCCCTCGTGGTCGGGCCAACGCGACCCTGTTTCCCCGAGAGCGTCATTGGTGCGCCCAGTGATAGCTGCGTCGTATTGTACGCGATGCAGTAGCTAAACAACTGGCAGAGCTCTTCCGGATTCATCCTTGTCTCGCCGAGGGCGCGCGCAGTTGGGACCAAGTATCGCTCGATCAGCCCGCTGCAGATCGTTCCGCCGGTGTCGTTGATGCCCAACGATAGCAATGCTACAAGCCAAGTAACCAGAACAAGCACAAGTCATACGTTATGAGTCGCCCCCAAAAAATATCCAAAGCCATTTTCCCGCTTTTGTTGAGGTTTTGGACAAATTTGGGATTGCAAGAACAACGCTGCGTCTCGCCACGCCATTCTGCGAATCATTCCTTTCGTTTTCACATCGCTGAATTTCTGTGTTCTTTTTTTATTCAACCTCAAAATCGGACTCTATCTGAAAAAACATGTCCAGTGAGTGAGTGGATGCGACGGACTTACAAGTGTTACAAATTGTTCGAAAGTTCGTGTCGAGAATATCCATGCTGGAGACCATCGAAAGCAGGACCAAGGTGGGCATCAGTCCCTTGCATCTGTAGCATGTCTCGGCAATTGTGCGGCTGGAGCTGGGTCCGGGCGTCAAAGGGCTCAACTGCCACGGCCAAACCCCAAACGAGAGTCCCGGTCCCGTCAACCTCCGGTGTTGGGAACGCGTGAGCTGAGACTCGTGCAAGTGATCGTTCGTGATTGTTCTCGACGTATTCAAGGTACTGGGCTGGCGAGGTTGGTCGGGATGCTGGGGGCGGTGGTTTGGCTGTGGCAAAGGGGCGGCGTTGGCGTTGATCATGAGCACTGCGCAAATGAATACGAGTGCACATCGCAGAGACGTGATCTGCATTGGTGCTATGCCTCGAGTGATGGTATGCACATCCAGGTAGGTTGGTAAAGAAACAATAGAACTCTCCGGTGGACTTTGCCCGAGCAAATTACGAATAGAAATGAAGAGTGAATGAACGGGGGAAACAACACCATCGGGCTCAATTTTTGGTTCGCTCATCGATCGGTAACTTTTTGAGCGCGTGCGGTTTACACCTTCGACGACTTTTAGCGGTGCTTTCATGTTGGTATCTCAAGTACAGATACAGTATTGGTTGCCCCATAAGATGTGTGTGACTGCAACAAGAAGAAAGCAGTGTATATTCGCAACACACATAGTTACATCGAAACCTACATATCCGCAACAGCGTTCGCCATCTGCTCGAGAGCAGTGGATGCGGCAAGGACGTGCTCATCAGACTGACCAGGGCGTTGACGTTCAAACCCGAGGGCCTGCGAGCCGCTGCTCCACCCTCGGGAGTGGGATCGGCCGCAGCGCGGGCAGGCTCCGACGCGCACCATCCAGCACGATCGATGAAAGAGCGCCGGGCAGCCTTTGCAGCCGACAGTGTCCGTGTCAAACGGAAACAGCCTGTCTGGGCCACGGCAGATGGCGCAGTTCATCCCTTTGGCCTGGCATTCGCTGCAGTTGGCCACGTGGTGAAGCGCCGTGGCGATTGCTTTGCGCAGCAGCGGGGTTAACGTGCCGGCATGCAGTTGAACGAGGTCATCGCCCGAGTACAGATCGACATTGTCATCCAACAGGTGGTCGCGTGGGTACAAAAGCTTTCGTAGCGGGTTGGAGTTGCCGAGCTTGCCCGGTTTGACACCAGCACCGCCACTACCAGCCTGTTGGCTAGATTGAGGAGCGAGCGCTGTCGACTGCTGGCGTGAAGCTGCTTGGCGGGAGGCTGGCGGGGCAAATCCAGACGTCCAGGACGAAATCCAGCTTCCGGCAGCAGCAGCAGCAGCCGCGGACGGCTGGACCCCGCCGTCCTGCGCATCAGCATCCTCTGGCAAGACGTCTGCATTGTCCGTGGAAGGCGCTTCATGGCTGCTGGGCAGGCCTTCCGAGTCGTAGAGCCGGCATCCGCTCACCACATTGCGGATTGCCAGCAGTCGCTGTCGAAGCGACTTGACCTCTTGCAACTCTTCAACAAGGCCGTAGAGCAACGGGTTGATGAGTTGAATGTCGAATACGGGCGACGGCCCCATGTAGTCGAGGAAGTCACGCGCGACACGGGACACGGCGTACTTGGAAAAGTCCCAGTTGTGCACAATTCTCGCCGGGATGATGCGCAGGTCATTGTGGTGGCAAGACTGGCAGTAGTAGCGACCGTCGTAGCTGCAGATGCGATAAGGGCCAAACACCATGCCGATGGGCGACTTGCAGCCGTGGCACTTGTACAGCTGCGAGTCCAGACCCCGCTCGGCTCCGAGCTCGTAGATGAGCGACAAGAGCGCCAAAAACGCATGGTCGTTTTCCTCGCGATAGGACACGGCAACAAGATCGTCCTCGCCCTCCAGGCTGTTCATGACAAATTCAAACTCGCCATCCGAGTCGTCAGCCGTGTGGGCGGCCGACTTTGGGGTTTCCTTCAAGCTGCGCGTCTGCTGGTAGTGCGAAAATAGTGAACTGGATTGTCCTATGCTGATTTTGGCGGCTAAAAAAGCACAAAGTCCAGAAACACACACAAAATAGCCAAAGCAAATGAGAAACAATGCAAGGTACACGTTTTTGTTTCCCCCCCCCCTCGCACTCCTGCAAATAACACGTACCTCGCAGATAAGAGCTAATACCGTCGACAGCACTGCTGGCAAGCATGGAAGAGGCAGCGACTGCGTTGGCCGAGGCAGAAAAGGCCAGCTGGCGGGCTGTCATGGACGCTGCGACGAGCGATGCAGTCAAAGCCCCAAGTCGAGCCTGGGTTGTGGTCGGCCGATCGACTCGGCGCGCAGAGGCATCCAATGACGCCTCGTACTCGGCCGTCAATCGCTGGATTTCAGCCTCGCTTGCGAATGGGTTGGGCGGAGCCGACAACTCGGACGATGTGGGATGGTCAAGGTGACCACCAGTGTACAGCTCGTTCCGTGTTGTGTTGGGCTTTGCGTAGAGTTCATTGCGCACTGCTGTGGCATCCGATTCGTCCTCCGGAGGGGTAGATGGCCGTTCTGACACGGGTGCAGAGCTCGCCGCAATTGGCTCTGGCGCCTGCGTCGCAACAGAGGCCTCATCGATTGGAACTGGATCATGGGCATGGTTTGATTGGTTTACATCGACGATTGCGGCACGATCCTCTGGTACTGGTGGTTCCGAACTCTCATTATCGGGTTTTGCCGACGACTGGAGTTCCGGCGGCGAGTGAGGCGAGTCAGGCGAGTCAGGCGAGTCAAGTTGGTCTGGAAGTTCAGGCTCTGTCGCCTTTTCGTCAGTCTTGGCAACGCTTGGGTCATGGCTATCGTCGGCGTCAGGGACTGGGGAATCAGGCGAGACAGCAGGCGACAGAACACCAGCAATCGGGGAAGAAACATTCACATGTCGGGACAGCAGCGACCCATAATCCTCGAAATCCTTGATCGGAGACTTTGGAACAAGCGGGACATGTGCGAGGAGCTCTGCGGCAGGTGTTGGCTTGGACTCCGCGACATCCTCATTATCGTCGTCATCTTCAGGAGTCGTTTTGCGATCATGCTCTGACGTCTCGGGTTGCAGGTCAGCCAGAGGATGAGAGGACGGCAGCTTCAGCAGTGCTTCGAGATCCGGAGTGCTTGAAGGCTTCTCGCCAGCAGGTGCCTGCAGCGTTGCCGCGTCCGTCGACTCTGGCTGGGGCCCATCGTGAACGATGAGCGGACCAAAAGCCAGCGATGCATCGAGAACCACCATCGGCGCGACGGTAAACGAAGATAGTTGCTCGGCCTGCTCGGCAGCAGCCGCCTTGCGATTAAAAGACACGAAGGCACGCGCTGGAGTAGGCTGCGGGGATGCGTGTTGTGCTGGAGGGGCTGGCTGCGTCGCGTACACGGAAGGAACAACCGTCGCGGCGAAAGAAGACAGGGCGGACGACATGCGCGCAGTCATTGTTGCTGGTTCCGAGGAAGGAGCGGCAGTTGTGGAGGACGAAAAGCTGGACTTTCGGGCGCCAGAAACACCGTCGTCGGTGGCTGCAGGTGACTGAGAATCGGTGGACGCACGCTTGCTGGGCGACTCTGGTGCGGGTGGAGGGGCGTGCAATTGTGTAATCTGGGGCACTTTGGCCTGCTTGCGCGACTTGCTGCGCTTCTTGGACACAAAGAACGAAGCCATTTCATCATTGTCAAGTCCGTTGCTGGACTCTCCGATTGCGGGAGAGAGAGATGTCACGGGAGATCGAGTCGTTGCGTTTGGCGGCGACCCGACAGGCGAGTCGAACGTCGGTTCTTCGGTCGGAGTCGGCTCGTCGGCCAGAATGGGCTCGTCGGCCAGCACGGGCTCTTCTGCCAAAATGGGCGAGTCGGGTTGCTCGTTACTAGGAGGGGCATTGCTGGGTTCGGCAAGGCGACTGGAATCATCAACAACCTGCTGTTCGCTCTCGACACCCTCATCAGCGCCAACGTCACTGGGCTCGACGTCTGTCGTAGTCAGCTCGCGCTCTGGACTGTCAATGCGGTCAAACGACGTGTCGTGCGTCAGAGATGGGGATTGGTGGGCAGACTCGGGCAAATCAGACATTGCTATTGACGGAGTGCTTGGCGTGGCTGGTTGAGATGGCTTCTTCGTGGTCGCAGCACCTCCGGTGTGTGCAAGGGAATGTAAGGGCGCAGGTGCTGACAAATGCGTCTCCTCGCACCACGTGTTCAAGGAAGGGTCGTTCAGGGCGATTTGGAAGGAAACGGTATCGAGGCTGGCAATCAGCATGCAAATGGTATCCCGGCGCTCGCCGTCAAGCATAATGGCGGTGGGTGAATAGTACGATCTGCACACAGAGCAAGGCCAAAAAACAATAGTGAGCTCGAATTAAAGAGCGTGTGTGTGCAAGTTTTTCGCTGCGAAATTCCTTTTCGTTACCGTAACAGCTTGCTGTTGGATTCCGAACAAATGAAACGCAAGTAGTTCTCGAGCGAAAACTCGTTCAATGCGAGGCGCACCCAGGCCTGAGAAGAAAGCCAACGTCAAGCAACCAGTTCAGCAAAAAAAACCAACAACACTTCCAAATTCCGCCAGCAACGTACGCGAGAGCGACCAATGTCAGTGGTCAAGACACGAATGGATGTCAGCTCGGATACAGCAGCCTTGCGCGTAAACTGCACGACAAACTCCCAGAATGGGCTGCGCGGCGGGAACTGCATGACGAGGTCGTGCTTGTCGACGTGCAGCGATTGGAATGCCTCTTTCACATTGAGCATCTGATCAGCGAGCGGATCGAGGGTGAGTGCGTGCGTTTCTGGAGGGCACCTTCTCCCAACCATGTTCTGTTTTACCTTTGATTTCAAACCAGGGCGGAAACCATGCACAAATATACTTTCGATGGCCGAGGTCAGATGCACGACGGCCGGTTCGCTCTTGAGCGGCTCTTGCTGGTTGATGGCAAACCTGGCCAAGCACTGTGCACGCACAAAACATGATGCAATGCAATTGCGGAGTTAGCAACAATCTCAGACCGATCTCAGATTTTTATGGCTTCGGTCTCAACCTCTTGGAGTGCAAATTTGAGCTGCAGGATGAGCTGTTGCTTCTCGGTGGTGAGCGGGTCGTGCATTGGCGATCCCGACTGAGTGAATCGCGGCGACGGCGACGGCGACGACAGCGGAGGATGGGCGTTAGAGTTGGACGACGACGACGACGCGGAGCGGGATAGCGGCAACCCGGTCATCGAAGTCGAAGCGGACAGCAGCGACGACGATGCCGACGATGAGGCCGACAATGGCGAAGCTGCTGCGACTGCGGTTGAACGTGTCGCTGCAGAAGAGGAAGCAGAGGAAGAAGAGGAAGAGGAAGCAGAGGAAGCAGTATTGGCTGAGATTGATGACGCAGCGCCAGCTCCAGCAAACAGCGCCGTCCACGACCGACCGCTGCTGCCCTGCGCCCCGCCTGAGGATGATAATGACGCGCTGGTGGTGGTGGTGGTGGTGGTGGTGGGCCGCGGTGGAGCAGTCTTCAGTGGCTGTGCATTCGACGCCGACGACGACGAAGACACAGTCAAACTTCGTTCTTGGATGAAGTCCTCCGCTTCGTCGGGTTGGACGTGCTCGACTGATTGGTCATTCTCATTGGTCGCGTGCTGTTGCTGTGTTGGTGGTGGTGGTTGGCTGTGCTGCGGTTGCTGCTGCTGCGGCTTATGATGAGACTTGCGACCAGCCATTTCCAGCGTTTGAATGCGAAACACAAAGGAAGAAGAATGGATGGCATTGGTTTTTTGTGTGAGTGTGTTTTTTACAAGAAGACAACAGGAAAATCAAACACCGATCGTGGGCGGACAAGAAGAAGAAACAAAAGGCCCACAACAAAAAAAAGACATGAAAGATATCAATCAAAATCCACAACCTGGCAGCACTGCTGACCAAAGAAACGGAATAAAGGGAGGAAAAGTCAGGCAGAGCGATCAACGCAGACAAGTTAAGCATCGATCTTCTCAAAGTGAGGAAGGAGAGACTCGTAAATCTTGAGGTTCTACAAAAACAAAACACAAAAATCGTCAAAATCGTCAAAATCGTCAGAACTTGCATCCCTTTTTTTTTTTTCCCTCAAAGCCAGCTCCCCATGCACAAACAATCACAAACTCACCTGAGAATGATGGGCAATCTGGGCATTTGCGAGATCCGTCAGAATCTTCTTGAAATCCTTGACCTTGCGGCTGTGCCACGAATCAAACTCTTGGAGAACGAGCTCGTCAGTCTCCTTCTTCTCCTGCTGCTTTTCGCGGAGGGTTTGCTCGTCCTCGGCAATGGCGGTGGCGAGCTTGTCGAGCTTCTCTTGCTTGAGCAGCTCGGGGTTCTTGGACGAGAAGAAGGAGCCGAGGCCAGCCTTGCCGTCGGACGACTCGAGGCTGTTGCGCTCGTTCTCGTGCTTCATCAGCGTGTTTTGGGCGTTCTCGCATTGGTACTCGACGACGTCGCGCTTGTCCAGGAGGTCCTGTGTGGGGGAAAGCAGAAATGGTGAGTACTTTTTGTTCAGGCAATCAAGAAAGCAAACTGCAGTAGTCAAGATATCATTGTAGCTCTTACAGCACTGGCGGCAGCGTACAAGACGTACTCGTGGACGGGGTTGTTGTAGAGAGCGTCGAGCTTCTCAGCCTATTGTTGAACGCAAAAAAAAAAAACACACACATCAAGTCAGCCGATGAATGTCGAATCGATGCCACGCACTGATAACACTCAGAACATCACGACATACAGTCTCGTGGCCAATGGTGGCAAGCTTGTCGAAAGCCTGGCCGGCTTGGGTGAAGACGTCGCGGAGCTCGGATTCCGAGTTGGCAAGCATGGTGAAGACGGGGCCCATTTCTTGCAAGTCGTCGGCAATGTCTGTTCAGTGGAAATGGAATCGCCGCAGAGTGAGTCAAAAAGGCAGCGAAGAAAGAGGACAAAGCAGGTCCATTTCGGTTTTTTTTTTTTCACCAACAAACATGCCAAGAATACTCACCGCTGGCGTGCTTTTGAACCTTGGTGCCAATCTTCTCGAGGCTGGTCAGGTGCTCGCCAAGCGAGTTGGCGTGCGAGCGCAGGTTGGCAAAACGTTCGTCGGGGTTTTTGAGCTTGTACGAGGCAACGCGCTTGTCGATCGAGTCCTTGACCGAAGAGAGGAACTCGCCCTTCTCCTTCTTGGCAGTGTCGAGAGCCCACTTTTTCGCCTCGAGGAAGGTGTGCAGGTCCTTGCTGGTGGAGAGCTTGGCGTGGCTGGCGCAGCGGCGAAGGAAGCGCTCGAGGAAGTAGCGGCGCTTTTCGAGGAACTCGGGCGAGAAGCGGTTGAGGTGCTTGGCGACATCCTTGGACGGGAGCTGGGGGATGACGGAGGTTGAGAACTCGCTGAACAGCTTGGAGCGGAGCCAGACAAAGTCAGTGTAACGCCTGCGCACGAAAAACTCTTGCGCCTGGAACTCTTGCATGGTGGTCTTGGTCGTGACGCAGAAGCTGACGTACGCGTCCATGCCACTGCCGTGCTTCTCGGGGTCGGTGACAAAGATCTGCAGCGCAGCATTGTCGTAGGGCTCGAGGGCGGTCTGGCTCGACGAACCAGCGGCGCCAGAAGTCGATTCGGTGCGGGCGCGGATGACCGCGGCGTCGTCGTGTGCGTCCATCATGGTGTAGCTTTTTTTGGTTCTGTGAGATGTGCCAAAGAGAGAGAGAGATGAGTGGTGAAGTGAGTTGAAGTGAAGTGTTTTGCGGGAAGAGTGTGAAGGTGCGATGAGACCGCCACCAAGCGACATGGCACCGATGCAAGTCCAAAGTGCAATGAATGCAGGCATGAAAGGTGGGTTTGAACGGGAAAGGGCCTGGGGGTTAAAAGGGACGAAACAAAGGACAAGATAAAGAAGAAGAAAAAAAAAGTGGTGAAAACAGTAAGAAGAGCGAGGTATGAAAAGATAAGCAAGGGTTGTTAGAAAAGCGTAAGGAAATGATTCGTTTAAAAAAAAAGTGGACTTGCATTTTTTTTTTTTTTTTTTTTGTTAAAGAGATCTGTGAAAAATAACAAATAATAACAAATCATAAAATAAATAAAATAAAATAAATAATAAATTGTATTGATTGACGTTGTGTTCGCTCAACAAACGTTTCTTTGGTTCTTTTGGTTTGTGTTTTGATGGCTGTTTGTTGAAGAAGCGACTGTCGAAGAAGAAGAAAAGCGTCCAAAGCGAAAGAAGAATGGAAGAACGAGAGACGGGGAGAGAGAGAGAGAAGGGGAGAGAGAAGGGGAAAAGAGGGGAAAAGCTCCACCGCTCGCCTTTCGAAGAGAGGAGAGAGAGAGAGCCAGGCAAATGGGGGTGAGACGAGAGAGGAGATGGAGATCAACGCAAATGGGGTGAGAGGGTGAGAGGGGGAGGGGGGAGAGAGGGATGAGAGAGAGAACAACAAGAACATAAGCAATGGAAAATCCATACAAAAAATGATAAAAGACTGGAAGCAAAAGCACTCGGATTTAGAGAGTGAGAGAATGGATGGATGTTGGAGATTGGAGATCAAATAGTAGCAAATCAGCGGAAGAGTCGAGGCGCGTGGAGGAGCCACCGAGCCGGCTCGAACGGATTTTGTTGAAGCGAGAGTGACAAGCTTGGATTGAGGGGATCTGTGGTGGCTGGTGAGTTACTTGTACCTCAGTGCTACAACTTGAATGCTGCAAAGCTTGAAAATGGAAACCTGCTGCTGCTCTGAGCAGCTCAGTCGTCTTACTTTTTTCCGTTCTTTCTTGCTTTTCTTTTCTTTCAACCATGGCCAAGCACAACCCGGATCTCATCATGTGCCGCAAGCAGCCTGGCATCGGTAAACCCATCCCCTTGATGCGACCATTGCCTGAACTCGACTGTTGAGAGATCGAACTAACTATGACTTTGCATTGTGGACTTTGCATTGTAACTGTTGACAGCGATTGGCCGGCTCTGCGACAAGTGTAAGTTGTGGTCTTGAATGAACTGGAAATCAGCTGCTTCGTTTGACCTCTTGGTGCGATCTGTCCAGAGAGAGAGAGAGAGAGAGAGAGAGAGTGAGTGAGAAGGGACGCGACGACTGAACGACGCTCAAAGCTGGCCTCGCCCCCACCCTGACACGCTCATCGCGTACAACCACTTGCGATCAAACATCCAGACTGAGTTAGACCTGAGTCTGGAGTGGACTTGGACTGGACTGGGCGGATGCGAGCAGAAAAAGCATCTCAATCTGCGTTCGGCCAATGGACGCCAACCATTGAATCGCGTACTCTCCTCACTGAAGCATCACCAAAACCGTCCGAATGAATGACTCAAAATGCATTGTGATACTTCCTTCCTTATAGGCGACGGCAAATGCGTCATCTGCGACTCGTATGTGCGCCCGTGCACGCTCGTTCGCGTGTGCGATGAGTGCAACTATGGCTCCTTCCAAGGACGGTGTGTGATTTGCGGCTCGGTTGGCATCTCGGACGCCTACTACTGCAAAGAGTGTACCATTCAAGAAAAGGATGTAAGAGAACAGCGGTCGTTTTGTTGCCAAACTTCTGGTTTTGTTTGCTCACGACGCTTTTTTCTGTTGTTGTTGTCATCACCATAGCGCGATGGCTGTCCAAAGATTGTCAATCTAGGTGTCTCAAAAACAGACATGTACTACGAACGAAGCAAGTACCAATTCAAAAAGGACCAGGCCAATGGCGGTGGCGGCGGGTTTGGGTAACAGTTCGCCCGCCCGCCCGCGCCCATTGCTGCTTTGTTAAAAACCGCGCTATGTGTGCGTGTGTGTGTGTGTGTGTGTGTGTGTGTGTGTGTGTGTGTGTGTGTGTGTGTGTGTGTGTGTGTGTGTGTGTGTGCTTGTTACTTGTTTAACATGGCTTCTTGCCCATCCTCAGTCGACTCCAAGTTGCGCAGGTGAAGAGAGAAGAGCGGGAAAAATTGCTGAGCGCTCCATTGCAGCACAGAATTACCACTCTACACCAGCTCAGCTCACCCCACCTCACATTCCCCATAAATCTCCCACTAGTTGAATTTCGTTTGAATGTCTTGATCTGAGCGTCTGATGATCGTGTCCTCGTTCAGTTCACTTTTTTTTTTTTCTCTTCGTCTACCTTCGGACATGGCCGCAGCCCAGCCCCAGTCCGTTACCATCACATTGCGCGAACTTGGTGCTCTCAATGCGCCCACCGACTTGCAGACGCAGCTCCTGCAGCACAACGTACTCCACCTCTTTTCGCGAGATGTGCCGTATGGTTTCCTCGGCGTGCAGCCGCTCCTGACAGGTCGTGCCTCGGCGCCCCCGCACTATCTCACAGGCCCTGGTGGCGTTGGCAAGAGCGGCATCCTGTTCATGCTGGTGGTCGAAGTTCTGCGTCACAACAACGCGGTGCTCAACGGTCGCGCGTCGCCAGTCCCGAACGCCGCCAACGAGCCTGTCCTCATCATCTACGTACCGAATGCAGACGAGATTGTGAGTGCTGCGCCGCAGGTTGCCGCAGAGTTGATGCTCGGGCATGTTCATCGTGCCAACGACAACGCGCTACAGGTCGAGCAGTGGCCCTCGACTATCTCGACGCGCGTTCGCGACTGGTGGACGAAGCTGAGACAGACTCTAGACCGCGACGCTCCTGCTCTCGAAATCTGGGAAGCGGTTTTGGCGCTCCTGCGTCAGCAGCCGCTTCGCGCCCTGTTTGCCATTGACCAGTGGAACGCGCTCGTCACCGCCAGCAACCTGCCGGACAATCACCCGCTGCGACCGATGCGATCCATTGCCTTCGCCACCTATCTCTCGCAGCTCATCACCGCCGTGAGCTCGTCCTTTGGCGCGGTCGTTCTCCAGCCCGGGGTCTTCCGTGACGCTGAGCGCACCACTCGACAAGTGGATGTGAGGCGGCTGACCCCGGCCGAAGGAGAGGCCCTGCGCGGGATCTGGAACCAACGTGCGAGCCCCATCGTCTCGCCTCAAGACATGCGCGCCGTTGTGGAGCGGACTGGAGGCATTCCGCGGCTGTGCGAGTTCTACTACTGGTCTCGGCGAGACACTGCCATGGCTTTTGACCGCCTTTGCATCAACTACTACTTGGAGCGCTTCCACGGCGTGGCGCGGCATCTCGCGGGTCGTTTGGACGACACCGACATGACGCGTCGCTTCCAGGAGGATCTAGTTTCGCTGTATCTGCAGCGCCCGTCCCTTCAGTCGTCGCCCTCGGTCACGGCGCTCTGGGAGAGTACCGGAATGCTCATTCGGGACAACAACGATCTGAACAAGCTCATCCCACTCAACGCGTTCGTCATGAGCGCTGCCACTATGTTCATCGACAGCACACTCGCTCATCGACTGAGCACCATCTACCACGACCCTCCCATTCGCTGGCGTGCCCTCGAGCTGTTCGTGGCCGCTTGTCTTCGTTCAAACAGACTGACGGCCATTCACTCGACCAACCTGCGGCGTGACACCCGGCGCAAACCGTTTACCATCCAGTGCACTGCACCCCATTTCCTGGACGCAAGCTTCTGCTCGGACGTTACGGCGTATCTTGCGCAGCACAACGGCGGCCAACCCTTCCCGCTCGGCACCCTTCTCGCGCCGGCCTTCAACCTCCCGGTCGTCGACTACGTCACTTTTGCACCGTGCGGAGATCCCCAGGGTCGACGGGCGGTCACCCACGAGCTTGTCTTTATTCAAGTCAGCGCTGGCTCATACGCCGACCACCACACCAAGCTGCCCCACCTCTACCAGCAACCACCGTCATGGGGCGACACTCTCCTGCGTTCGTTTGAGCGCGCGTTCGGAATCGCTCCCGCAGCAGTCCCGATCGACCGCACGCAGCTTCCGCCGCGAGTCAGATACATCTACATCACGGTAAGCTCGGTACGAATGCAGCGAAACACGCTCGGCTCCGGAAGTCTCGTTCATCTCGTTTCCGAAAACGATGTCGAGGAAATGGACCGCGCACGCTGGGCTGCCATGGCTCAGTGACAACACACCATTGCATTGACCACGTTTTTTTTCTCGGCTTTACATATTGTTGGAGATCCTCTGGGACTACAAAGTAAGTGTGGTGAGACGGGCACAGGCGCAACTTGACTTGTGTCCATATTTGGCAGGAGGGGCCCTCGCGACCGACACAAGGCCTCCAACGCATTCCATCGCCCTCAAACTATCCTATTTTGATGCTTTGTTGACCCAGTTTCCATCTGTGAGACTCCGATTCCCACGGGTTGGGGCTTAAAGCTCTTGGCCAGGTAACGTCGATTGATTGATACAAAATGCGCAATGACAACTATCCAAAAGCATCCAAATACACCAGAATGTGCTAAATCCTCATTAACTACCACCGGCTAACCTCGCCGGCTGGACGGACGCAAACTCGGGTCCTGACACCATCTATTGCGAAAGTTGGAATAGACTGGAAGCGCATTGTGATTTTTGCCTCAAAACAAAAAAAAAAAAAAAAAAGTTTTAAAAAGCAACCTTTTCCCCTTCCGATCCGCACCAAAGTTACCAAATCAACTATATAAATTTGTTCTTTCTAATGATAGAGGTTGCAGGGCGAAGAAATGAACAAGGAGGCTTCGAGTCTTTGGAAGCTCTTTTTTTTTTTTTCTTCAATTACAACTCAGTCTTTCTTTTTTTTTTTTTTGTTTTTTTTTTCTTTTTTTCCTTGGTGCATCCCGACCGCGGCTCTTCCTCCGTTCCCAGTCACTCACCTCTCCACTCTTGCCTGCAGTACGCTCACGCAGCCCACTTCTCCCTCCCCCCCCCCTCCCCGCCTCGACGGCCCACAGCAAGCAACAGGCTTTCATTCTTTTCAATCGGCACCCTTTTTTTTTTTTTTTTTTTTCCTTGCAGTTGTCCGATCGGTTCCCTCCCTCTGGTCTCGTTCTCTCGCTTGCTTCGTCCATCCACCCATCCATCTTCCCCTCAGTGTGTGAAGCGAGCAACGTCTCCCATCTCAAAGGCCCCAAACAGCAGCCATCCACACAAACAGGAGAGGACTTTGCGTTTTTGAATTGGAGCACAAAACAAACGGTGCTCTTCTTCTGCCAAAACAACACAAAAAGCCCCCTTCTTCCAAATCTCGACTTCTCGACCAGCTTCAGCTTCAGCTTCAGCATCGGCTCATTGTGCTTGTGTTTTGCTTGACAATCACCACCACTTCCCCCTTCAACGCCAAACACAGCTCAAAAAGCCCGCGGCTCAACACAAATCTAAACCCGAAATAAAGGCCAAATATTAAAACGAAAAAAAAAAAAATGTCTGGACTCGATGCCTCAGCCTCGGCGGCCTCCCTCGGGTCTGTGCAGGGCCCCGCGACCACCAACGTGCTTGTGACGCCAATCGCAGGCTTCCACACTGAGCGCGAGCGGCTCCTCTCCGTCAATCTCGGTGGTACGTTCAAACAATACCAAAAATGCTCAAAAACAATACTCTTCCAATGCATACAACTGTGGCTTTTTATTTTTTTTTTTATTTTTTTTTTTTTCATTCCTTCAAACCCTTCTGCTTTTTTTTTTTTTTTTTTTTTTTTTTTTTTTTTAATCCTTCTTTGCTTTTGCTTTGCTTTTGCTGGTCGACCGGTCGGTCTGTAGGTGGAGTCCCCTCTGTTCGCACTCCACTGAATTGCTCTTCTCTCGCTCTCTCTCTCGCTCTGTCTCATTCGCTTTGGGCTTGCGTGTCTATTTTTTTATGATTTTTTTTTTTTTTTTTGTTGCGGTTGCATTTTTTCTTTCTTTTTTATTGTTTATTCGTTTTTAGTAAGCTGATCTGGTTTTTAAGGCTTGAGCGTATACGAGTTGTTCACTACCACGCCCTGTCATTTTCTTTTCTTTTTTTTTCTTTTTTTCAAAGATTCGATCTATCTGGTGTTTGCCCTCTCTGATCTTTGAGAAGAGGGGGAAACAATAACCTTTTGTAATGAAGAGCAGCAGACGACGGCAATAGCCGACCACAGTGTGTGGCAACAGTATCCACTGCAACCACAAACCTCAGCTTGACATTCACCTTTGCTATTTTTGTGCAAATGCGTGTGAAACCAACACACACACACACACACACACACACACACACACACACACACACACACACACACACACACACACACACACACACAGGCAAGACACTCGACTCGATCAAGACCAAGACATACACCATCGAACACACCCGAGAGCGTTGGTACGAGCGGTTCTTCTGGGACAAGGGTAAGTCGATCGTATTGTATTGGATTGATTGTGCTATGTTGGAATTCCGTTGGTTCTCCTCAAAGCATGTTCGCACATGCACACAAAAACTCAAACTCAAATCAACCCTTGCCAACCACACAGAGCACCAGAACTTTGTCGGCAAGCACGATGTTCTCGGCCCGATCGCATTGTCGTTGCTCAAGGAAAAGGTCGTTTCGTCTGCCGACGAGAAAAAGTACCAATACCGCGCTATTCTGTGGACCAAGAAGGTATGTGAGACAGGGTCTTTGTTGCAAAGTGTTTGGAACCTCAGCAATGATGATGCGGGGCTTTTTTTTTTTTTTTTTTCGCTTTTTCGCTTTTTCGAAATCACAACTTTGTTGCTTCTGCTCATCTCCTCCTCCATTTCTCTTTCTCAATCTCTCGACAACCCCACACAGGGAATGCTCCGATGCTACTTCCCCAAGAAATCAAACAAGACGGCAGACGTGTTTGCATCGATTGCAGATGCGTGCGAGTTGCAACGCTCGTCCTTGAACAATTTGATGCTGGTGCAAAAGGAGCAACAGCAAAAGCTCTCGACAGACCTGCTCAAGATTGAGTCGATGGAGACGTCTTCGCGACTCATCTTTGGCGTTGTATTCGGCCGGAACAATCAGACAAGCCTCGAAGACATGCTTTTGAACGAGCACGGCTCGGAGACGTTCACTCAGCTGCTCGATGTGATTGCGACCAAGGTGGACGTGAACACATTCCAGAACAAGGATTTGATGAAGTTTGCCGGCTTGAGCGCCAAGTCAGAAACCACCTCGGACGGTGTCGAATCGGCCTACTATACCGAGTTTGACGGCTTTGAAATCATGTTCCACGTCTCCACCCTTCTGCCATACGTTGCCTCCGACATGCAGCAAGTCGCCCGCAAGCGCAAGATTGGCAATGACATTGGTGTGTTGGTCGTTCACGAGGGCACTGGCGGTTTCTCGCCGTCCATGACCAGCAGCAAGGTCAACCATGTTTTCGGCATGCTCCAAGTCGACAAGCGACAAAACACGCATGTGCAGTTCCGCTTTGTCACCGCCGCCAAGGACGAGGTCCCAGCCTTTGGCCCCGTGCTCCAAGAGGAGTTGACTGTTTTCGACGATCCTGCCGTTTTCCGATCTTTCATTCTGACCAAGAGTGAGTGTGGCTTGTTGCCGTTGTCGATAGTTGTGCTTTTTTTGTTTTTGGCTGATATCTCGCAATGACTGACGTGTTTGTCGTTGTGTTTTGTCTGCTGCAGTGATCAACGGTGTCCATGCCGCCTATCACCATGCTCCTGGCTTCCGACGCGAGACAACGCAAGAAAAGCTGCTCGATGACTTGTTGAATCGCTACAGCAGTCGAAACCGGTATGCATTTATGCTTGCAACAATAGAGCCGTGTTTTGTTTGTGCCTTCATCAAACTCACTTCTTGCTGTCTCTCCGCCCCCCCCCCGCACCCTTCCTTGTCCAGCTGGGTCTCGTGGTCGTCAAAGCACGCTCGCCGTCGCTCAGTACTCATCTCGCCAGCAGAGCTGCATGCAGGTCTTTGCGCGTCCTGCTTGAAGCCAATCACCATTTCGGAGACGGGCGTGAGCGCGCTGGGCAAGTCGTGGCACGTCAACCACTTTGTGTGCGCTCACTGCGACGTTGCGTTCGGCACTTCTCCGTTTATTGTCAACCCGCAAGATAACAAGCCTTATTGCGAAAAGGACTATGAAGACTTGTTCTGCCCTCGGTGCCAGGCGTGCGAGAAGCCCATTTCCGACTACGTGTTGCAGGCGATGGGCAAGACGTGGCACATGCTCCACTTTGTCTGCGACGAGTGCCAGGAACCCATCGGCGAGCGTCTCTTTGTCGAAAAGGACGGCAAGGCATACTGCCTCGACGATTTCTACAAAAAGTTTGGCTTTGCCTGCGCCAAGTGCAGCGAGCTCATCACCGGCGAGTACATTGAGGCCCTCGGTCGGCGGTGGCACACGCAGTGTTACACTTGCTTCTCGTGCAACAAGTCCATCAACGGACCCAACGTTAACGCGATGGGCTTCCCGTGGCATCCCGACTGCTTCTGCTGCCAGGTAGGTTTTTTTGGCAGAGCGCTCGTTGAGTGTGGAGTTGTCTGGAGTCGAGTGTCTGACTGTTCTTTTGCTCTTTTCGACCACTTTTTGATGCCACAGGTCTGCAGGAAGACGTTCGACGACGGCTGCTTCTTTGAGCATGAAAACAGGCCGTACTGCGAACTCCACTTTTACGACATTACGGGCTCGTTGTGCGCCAAGTGCCAGGAGCCCATTTTGGACGACCAAATTGTCCGGGCCTTGGACAAGAGCTACCACGCCGACCACTTCTGCTGCATGAAGTGCAACAAAGTGATTGGCGACAACGAGCACTTTATTGAGCACGAGGCCATGCCTTACTGCCAAGGATGTGCTGTCGAGTTTGAGTCTTCAACATGAGTCTCTTAGCCCCAGCCTAATATTCGTGGTTGGATCAATGTTCGCTTTTTTCTGCTCTCTTTTTTTTTTTTTTTTTAATTTTCTTTCGTTTTGAACAAATCCTTTTTTTGGGGGGGCTTTGCTTGGTATTGGAGGGTTTTTTGTTTTGCCACCTGCACGACGCCTGGGGCGTCTGTTGCTTTGGCTTTCATTCCCGCCGTCCTTTGATGCAGAGCCCTTTTGTTTCCTTGGTCTTGTTTTCACGCTCTTGTTCTCGCATAAGTGTATGAGAGCGTGTCGGTTCTCTCTTGCCTTTGTTGTTTGTTGTGCGTGTACTGTCTTTTATGTGTGTTGCTTTGTTTGACCAGTGTTTGTAGTTGTTGTTGTTCAGTGTTGCACTTTTTTGTTTGTTTGTTTGTTTACAAATTCATCTCATTCATCAACTCCCAACCAATTACGGCATCTACAAATATTATCTAATAACAAGTTCGGTTTACTGTGTGAATTGCGAATCCAAGTGCGATGGGTGGGCCTGTGATGAAGAGTTGTTGTTGTTGTTGTTCACGACGTGGTTGGGCTGGGCTAGCAAATGCTGGTGAGCTTGGAGCTGCTGGAACTGTTGGAATTGGCTCATTTGTTGCATTCTAGTAAGCTGGAGCTCGCGCTGTTGTTGGTCCTGGAATGCTTGTTGTTGTTGAGATATGTCTTGTTGTTGTTGAGCTATTGGTGCCGGAACGGCGGCAGCTGCAGCTGCCGTTGACGCAGCCGGCGCCTGTGCTGCCTCGACAGGAGGCTCGAGAATCATGGTGATGCCAGTGCGGTCGAAAATGCTTTGCTCTGTGCCGGGTTGAACAGACTGTTGGTTATCAAACAACAACAACAACGACAAAACACTGCTGCCCCCACTTTGCCATCAAAACAACACAGTCCGCAAATAGCTCACCATTGGGAAGATTGCCAACGATCGCATGGATGGAAGCAAAGTACACGTGTTGAAGCGCTTCGGCCGCGGAGACACGCATGGCGGGATTGTACTGGAGAAGTCGGTTGAGCAAGGTCACGCCGAGCGAATCCATCTTTGGCACAATGGAGGCCAGCTGGACGGCCGGTGTGACTGGAAAGTCGCCGCGAAAGTTTGGCAGCTGCGACACGCCAGGCCAGGTGAGCTCGGTGGGTGTGCCGCGCTGCTTGAAGATGCGCGCCAATTGCTCGTCGACATTCTTCCCGGCAAACAGCGGACGGCCAGTGGTCATTTCGCCAAAAATACAGCCAATCGACCACATATCGATGGACGTGCTGTACACCTGCGAGCCCATCAGGACGTCTGGCGGCCGGTACCACAGCGTGACGACTTCGTGCGAGAATGCCTTGACGGGGATGCCAAATGCGCGCGCCAGGCCAAAGTCGGCCAGCTTGACGTCGCCGGTCGCGCGATTGAGCAGCAGGTTCTGCGGCTTGAGGTCGCGGTGCAGGATGGACTTGGAGTGGCAGTACGCGATGCCGCGCAGGACCTGGTACAGGATGAGCTGGACGTTCGCCGGCGCCAGGTTCTTTCCGCACGCGTCCATATGCTGCTTGAGGTCGCAGTCGAGATGCTCAAAGATCAGCGTGAGGCGCTCGCGGGTGTGCGCGACGTCCAGCAAGGCGACAATGTTGGCGTGTCGGAGTTCCTTGAGCAGCGAGATTTCACGCAGCGCAGTGCACGGCGTCCCTTCGTCGCGGTTGAGGTTGATTTGCTTGAGCGCGACGAGGGTCGAGCTTGGTCTGTAATACAGCAGGAGGAGCATGGAGGAGGTGGTTCAGTTCAGAGAGAGAGGATTAAGGTGTTGAAGTGGTTTTGAGGTTTGAGACCGCAAAGATGGAAGATTTTCTGAGATTTCTGAGATTTCTGAGGGTTTTGAAAGATTTCGAAACATTTTGAAAACACTCACTTGTGAATGGCGCGGAAGACGCTGGCGTAGGTGCCTTCGCCGAGCTTGGTGGACAGCTCGTATTGCTCAAGCTTGCGGGCGTACGCGTCGGATAAATGGAAGGACATTGGATTGAACACAAAGAGAGACTGAGAAGGAAAATATACATTTGGGGAAAATGGCAATACAAAAGACTAATAACAACATAATGGACGAGTCGAGGTAAGCAGCTTGGTCAAAAAAGCACACGCAGCTGGATGAGAGACGATTAACAACAATAAATGAATGAATGGATGAATGAATGTCGGGACTGGGAGATAGAGGATGGTGAGAAGCGCGCGCTCAAGTTAGAGCGTTGCCAAAGAGACTGGTGGCTGTTGGGTGGCTCGATGGGAAACAGCGTCGTTGAGATCACTCGGCAGCAGCGCTGGATATTGATTCGGTTGATCGCTGACTCTCGTCAATTGGGGCTCTCGCCAGTCTCCTGCTCGCCAAAATCTTCTTCCTCAGGAACATACGACAGTCGCCCGGTGGGACTCGTCGGAGGAAGGCTGGCCAAAGACGAAGGCGGTGTCAAAGGAACCACCGCTGTGACATCGTCGGGCGATGACACTTTCGAATCGAACGGGTCGGCCGACAGCTCCGACAAGTTTGACAGTGACGAAGACTCGGCGGATGCCAAAGGACTATTGTCGAAAATCGCATTCAGCAAGCACGCCTGCACGCCCGCCAACACGTTGTCTTCGACCGTTCCTGAGGAGATTGTTGACCCGCCTCGCCTGGTGACTGGCTCGTGTGTTCCAACTACAAGCAGAGGACACAGAACAAAACATCAACGAGTTGGAATGAGCATTGGTGGGAGGGGGGGGGCAAGAGTGCAGACATTTTCCGACGAACGGACGAAACTCACCTAAATCATTCAAATCCACTAAAAGAAAACTGCCAACTCGCGTGCGCGAGGAAGCACGAGGCTTGACAGTGCCACCGACAGCCATGACGCTGGCAGCATTGTCCAAGTCCTTCAAACTGTCGCCGTCGTTCTCGTCTTCGTCCATGCGGTATTCAAAGTCGCGCAAGTCGCCATAGACGTTGATGGTGACAAAGAGAGGCTTGATGGAATCATCGTCGTCGGACTCTTCGTCGTCTGGGAGGTCTGAGATGTCCATGACGCTGTCGCGCACTCTGCCGACAGAAACAACTGGCTCTGTGTTTGACTCGATTGTTTGCTGAGACGCGCGCCTTCGCCTCCAGGGCAGTCTGCTTGATCTTAGTGACGGTGCGGGCGAGGTGGCTCGAGACGAGGCTCGTGTGCTGCTCGGAGAAGATGCGTTGGAGGAAGTCGAATGAACGGACGGCGAGTAAAGCGGGTTCATGGAGCCAGCAGAAATCGTCCCGCTGTGTTCCCGTGATGGGCTGGAGACGGTGGTGGCCTCTGAGGATGTGAGGTAGGATGCTGTAGGAGGAAAGACCTCGAGAAACTCGAGAATTTCGCGGAACGGGGCAACCAGGGATGGCAAGTTGGGAATCGACAAGAGCTCCTGCATGTACTGCTCCAGCTTTCGTCTTCGCATTTCGATGAATTCGGGTCGCTTATTGCCAAGAGCCTGTTTTGAGTGATGTGGGAAGTGTTGGGGGACGAGTGAGCTTCAACGATCGAGAAAGCAAAAGTTCAATCCGTTGAACATCGGCCGCTGCTGCTGCTGTACCTTTTTGCCTGGAAAGAGTGGGAGCGCAGTTTTGATGGATCTTCGCAGTGACTCGTTCAACGAGTAGAATTGGTTGTATCTCCTGTGGTTGGCACCATGTTGTCTTGGTGTTAGCAAACTGCAAACTCCTGAACAACTGAAAAAGAGTCAAAGAAAAAAAAAAGCAACAGACCTGAATACTGTCCACCGTCGCCCCATCACTGAGCTCGACACTTCGATGCGATACGTAGCAAACAATTTCCTACAATCACGCACCATCCATACAAAGTGAGTCTATATCTGAGCAGCTTTTCAATGCAATCCCATTTCAAAAGCAATGCAATGCCTCGCTTTTTCTCGCGGGGCAGACCCGACTCAACTTGTTATCTGCAGCGGACGATCGCATCTCGGCGCCTTGGACTGCGACGCGCAGTGCAGACTGGTCTGGCAGCGGCGGGCACACGGACGAGACGCTTCCATATCCAGCCAGCGGTCCGACAATGCTCGCGGCTGAGGGCGGCCTCGCCAGCATCGCAGCTGCTCCTCCTCCGAGCTGCTGATACTGCTGATATTGCAGCTGCTGGGGCCGCAGCGGCGAGAGTGCCTCGACAACATCGTCGTCCTCGTCCTGGTCGTCCTGGTCCTGGTCCTGGTCTGCTTCCTCACGCCGACGCTCAGCCCCGGCGGCAGTGGCGCCATTGCTTGTGTTCAATGGGATGAAGATGTTCGAGGTTGGTCGGTGTGGTGGCGCGGCTGTAGTGGTCGTCGCAGCCGCTTGCTGTAAGGAGGGCGCATTCGGGCGAGGTGGGCGCTGCGGCGGTGGCTGAGCCTGAGGCGGCGTTGACGGCTCCGATGATGGGGATGATGTTAAGGAAGGGCGCTCGTCATCTGGTGCAAGCGGCAGTGGTGGTGGTGGGTCGGTCTGCTGGACGAGCTCATCCAAGGCAGACATTGTTGAATGGAAGTCGAAAGAGAACGAAAGAGTGATCCGAGTCTGAGCGACAGTGACCACAAAAGTAAGTGAACATGCAAGAATGGGGAAAATGAGCATTGAAACGAGGGGCGAAGAGCAGGGGGCGGCGGGAGGTGGAGAGCGGGAGAGCAAAGTTGCTGAGAAAGTGTACAGAGCGCCGAGCGTTGAGAGTGTCGACTATGGTAGCCTGAAGTAGTGGTGGAGATGAGGTTGAGTACAAAGCGAGGGAGTTGAATTGTGAGGGGCAGCAGCACCGAATGGACGGAAAGGGAGAACGAGTTTGGGAAGAGAAAAAGCCGGGAACGTTGGCTCTCGAGCTCAGACAAGCGTTAAACGTAGGACACGTGGTGGGATGGAGAGAAGGGGCAGAACGATCTCAGAATGACGATCTGAGCATTGTAAGGGACAGCCGCTGAGATTGATTACCCATCTTGAAACTTCAGACGAATGAGGCTGTTTGGCAGCGCTTCGTGTTGTTGATCTCACTTCACTCTGACCAGTATCATTATGCCCTAGCGTTGCATTAGATGTTGTTGGATTACTCTATTCTCGATCAGCGCGCCTTTTGTGGAGCTCTACAGAAGTTGCCGTTTACCCACCAAAATCTATTCCCATCACCAGCTCTTTGATTCATCTTCCTCGGCTCTGTTCTCGATCAATGCACTCCCAGTGATTCTCCAACTAATGCCCCTTTCGCTCTATTCTCTTCGAGTGAGTTGAGCGATCTTTCCAATCCAAATCCGATCAACCTTCCTCCGATCCAACATGTCCTCATTCCCCCCCCCTCGTTCGCTTCCGATATAGATCTATTCTCCCTCGTTCATCTCGCTATGCTTCTTTCAATCTCCCGACTTGTGACGTTTTCTTTCTTGCTTTTTGTTTTGGCTGGAGTTGCATTGGGGGAAGATTTCAGTCCCGGTTTTTTTTTTCTTTTTTTTCTTTTATTACTTCCCATTCATTCATTCATCATTGAATGTCCTCGTTCTCTCCTTCTGTGCCTCACCATCCGTCTGCTCCGACGCCCGCTTCCAGCAGCAGTCCTGCGTGGTGCTCTACGCGCACTGGCGGCGTCGCAGCGTGGGCGGAAGGGGCCTCTGCACCGCCTACCGCTGAGCTGTTCCGCTCAACAACAATGATGACGCGCTGATGGTCACGTCGATCAAGCCGAGCCGCACGCTGCAGACCATCACTCACGATGATGCTGTTGATGATGAGCATGGCGAGCAGGCGAAAGGGCCGCTCGTGCAGGACGACGACGGCGACGACGACCAGGCCAACATGCACCTGCTCTGCTGCATCTGCGTCGAGCCGCTCGTCGACAACCGCCAGTGCCCGCGATGCTGCAACATGTGCTGCAAAAAGTGCCTCGAGTCGTGGGTCGCAGCCAGGCCGACGCATTTGGTGGCTGTTCCGTGTCCAATGGTAAAAAACCAAATTTACTCAGACATCTGAGACGAGCGATTTTTCTCAGACAAAAGTCCCCCCATCAGAGACATTTCTGATGGTCAAAGGCACTCATTGCTCACCTCTCTGGGTTTCTATTGCCAAAATTTTGCCATTTCCATCCCAGTGCCGACAACCCGCGCATCTGAACGATTTCAAGCTCAACGCCGAAAAGCAGCAGGCGGCAGACGCAATCATGCTGCGCTGCTCGGATGGATGCGGTGCTGTGCTGCGTGCCTGCGATCGTGGCGCCCATGCGACGCGATTCTGCCTCGAGGCGACCATTCCATGCCCGTTCATTCATTGCAAAGCGACCATGAAGCGCAAATCGCTCGATGTCCATGTCTTTTCCTGCCCATTCCGCACGCAGTACTCTGAGGTACAGTGTGACTATTGTGACTATCGTTCGTCACCCTCCTGTTGAACTCACTTGCCAACCTTTGATTTTGTAGAAGGAGCTGGAGGCCGCAGTCGACTTGGCTGAGGGCCGCAGCGTCCAGGACGAATCGCGCGTCAAAGCGGCTCTTCGTGCGAGCTCTCTGCGTCAAGAAACAATTGTGCATTACGTGAAGGAGAACGAAACACTCGCTGGCCTTGCCATCAAATATGGTGAGTTCTGGGAGCGTTTGTTTGTTTTTTAAAAAGCTGATGGCCTTCTGACACATCAACGGCTTTGCTCCGCATCGTCAACAGGCACGTCAAAAGAAGAAATCAAGCGCCTCAACCGACTTGTGGCTGACAACATTCACACGCATGTGATTCTACTAATGCCGAAATCATCCGTCGTTCCGCCTCCGTACGGTTTTTTTTTGTTTTGTTTTGGTTTTTGTGTGTTTTTCAATACGTCGTCGTGCTGAACCTCCTTCGTTTTTCAATACGTCGTCGTGCTGAACCTCCTTCCCTTTGCACTCACGAACCCAACAAGGAGGTCTTGGACTATAGGCCAGCTGAACCCAACAAGGAGGTCTTGGAGGCCTTGCGAAGGCGCCGGATGCTCAAGCAGTTCATCCGAGTAGCAGAATGCGAGCTGCATGAGGTACGTGTCTCTGTCTTTCTCAACCATGTTCATATGATGCTCACATTGCTT